GGGGGGGGGGGGGAGAATATCTATCAAATTTTCCAGAAGCAAAGTTTACATATTTTGCATATTGTATGGTATACGGAGAGCTATTACGTATTATTAGCATTAATTTAATTGCCTTTATTACGTTGTGGTAAACCATTATTTCAAGCAACACAATATTTAGATATTATTTACGTGAGGTGGTGACCAAACATGATATTCTGTTTGGATAAGTGTTTGATTAAATATTCATTGGAAAACGAAGAAGTCTAAAACAAATAAATATATAATATAATATAAAAACATTCATGATTTATCCTGAGATCCCTTTAGAGAACATTAATCCGTGTATCTTTGAACCTGATGTTGTAGATCTTTAATATTTCAAACAGGCGTATACAAGAGGGGGGCAACTATGGGGGCTGAGCCCCCTGGATAAATGAAATCCATGATTTCTGCAGAAGGGTTTCGCTAAGCCCCCCCCCCCCGAGAAGAAAAAATATAAGCTCCCCCCTGGGACAAATTCATGTATAGGCCCCTGATTTCAAACTATGAATTCTGTCTGCATATCATGTAGTCAACGTTTGAAATGTCAAAGGTTTACATTTTCAGGTTGCAAAGCTATAGGAATAATTAAACTAGACTTTGAGGCGAATAACCAGTTCATTATACCGAATCTTTTAAAGGAATTGAGTCTTTGCCACTCACTCAAACAGTCTAACAGACTTCATGTTTTGAAATATCCAAATAGATTATCAAGTACAATAGGTGGCAACAGAGAAATGAACCAATTATACACGACGTCACAAAAACGGAAAAGAAAAACGAAATTTTCTTACATGTTTTCCAAGATTAAATAAAAAGTTTAACAACAGAAATAAAGAACACATATATATATATATGCACTTATTTTACTGTAAGATAAGCACTTTATTCTAAAATTGTCACCAATATTAATATTTTTGTCGGACACAAAAACTGAATTGACACTTTTGACGTCAGAATACAGCTGTTCTGAGAGTGTACAAATTCTACGTTGCCATCTATTGTACTAGAATCTATTTGGAAATATCTAAGGTCTTCGACATCTGGGTTAAAAAGATTAAAAGGATTAAAAAAAGAGTTTGTGGCAACGGCTCATTTCCTTTGTGTAGGTAAAGAAAGTTTAGAAATATAAATAGATAAAATTAAACTAAATTTTTATTGTTCCTTTCTTAGGTTAACTTTGTGTATCTTTTATCAAGTGTATTGTATATTTTCTGGTTTATATATTGTACACTGTAGTGTATAGGGTAAATATTAGCTATGTAAACTCCGATATAGTGTTATTTTTATATTATCCAGCAGCTAGTTGGACCAAACATCCTATCTACAAAATATTTATGTGGTGGTTAAATCTGGTTAGTATTAAGTAAAAAAAAAGTTTCGTGGCATCCTGTTTTACATTTACTTATAATCAAAACTCAAACTTTTTCGAATTGGATTTTCGTCGTTAATCACAAACTTTTAATTCCGTCATTGTAGTTATTAATTAAAATAGTGGTCTTCAAGTTTTCAATGTTTTTTTTTTAAATCTATGCCTGTTTCCAGTGCTGAAATCAAACTACTCGTAATTTTGTAATTATTTGGAAAATATTGTTTCTTATAGCTAACTATATACGACGCCTCCTAACCTCGAATTAATACTCATTAATTTCATAATTTCATGAAAAACTTCTTTTACAAAATATAAAATATTAGGAGTCCCTTGTTGTCTGAATCTAGTTCTATCTCTGGGTGTTCCAGCCCAGCTTCAGCTACCTGGCTCCAGGCTTTGCAGGTCAACCTGTCAACAATCCTCTACATTCATTCACATCAGGTACACAGTACAAAGTAAAGTGCAATACAATATACAGTACAATACGTACATTACAATACAGTACAGTACAGTACAGTACAGTACAGTATAGAACAGTACAGTACAGTACAGTACAGTACAGTACAGTACAGTACAGTACAGTACAGTACAGTACAGTACAGTACAGTACAGCACTGTACAGTACAGTACAGTACAGTACAGTACAGCACTGTACAGTACAGTACAGTACAGTACAGTACAGTACAGTACAGTACAGTACAGTACAGTACAGTACAGTACAGTGCAGTACAGTACAGTGCAGTACAGTACAGTACAGTACAGTACAGTACAGTACACAATACACAGTACAGGACAGTACACGTAGTAGAGGACATTGCACTGTACAGGAAAGTACACAATACAGGACAGTACACAGTACAGGACAGTACCGTACAGCACAGTAGAGAACATTACAGTACAATAAAGTACAGTACAGTACAGTACAGTACAGTACAGTTCAGTACAGCACAGTACAGTACAGTACAGTACAGTACAAAACAGTACAGTGCAGTACAGTACAGTACAGTACAGTACAGTACAGTACAGTACAGTACAGTACAGTACAGTACAGTACAGTACAGTACAGTACAGTACAGTACAGTACAGTACAGTACAGTACAGTACAGTACAGTACAGTACAGTACAGTACAGTACAGTACAGTACAGTACAGTACAGTACAGTACAGTACAGTACAGTACAGTACAGTACAGTACAGTACAGTACAGTACAGTACAGTACAGTACAGTACAGTACAGTACAGTACAGTACAGTACAGTACAGTACAGTACAGTACAGTACAGTACAGTACAGTACAGTACAGTACAGTACAGTACAGTACAGTACAGTACAGTACAGTACAGTACAGTACAGTACAGTACAGTACAGTACAGTACAGTACAGTACAGTACAGTACAGTACAGTACAGTACAGTACAGTACAGTACAGTACAGTACAGTACAGTACAGTACAGTACAGTACAGTACAGTACAGTACAGTACAGTACAGTACAGTACAGTACAGTACAGTACAGTACAGTANAGGTTCTTAGAACTTGGTCTCAAGAAAGAATTTAAAATAATTCTTTAAACCTATAGTTCTCAATTTTTTTACATACACTTATTTTATTTTATCTGTACTCCTGTTATACGATTCAATACTTGCTTATTAGCTTCCAATACAGTGGTTCCCAAAAAACATATATTTTTTTTGCCCAATCTTCCCAATTACTCTAACTACCAACAACCCTTCTTATCATCCTAACACTCATTGATCCCTAATACCAGTTTTTCCAATCCCAAACTCTACAGTTGATTTCCATCTCAATACCAACTTTCTCTTTAGTTGATATCAATTCCAATTCCCAACATATTTTACCTACTTGGTCCTATCTCATTCATATATGGTGGTGAGCAATTATATCACTACAATGAAGACGACTTTTATTTAAGTTTTGATTGTTAACAAGCTTTTTTCGAATTACAAGTTTACAAGTAATCAAAGAGAAGCTTTTTTAATTGATAGCTTCTCTTGACTTCTATGTTTAAGTGTATCCATGCTGTTTAACAGCTTGATTTGAATCAAAATTGAATTCAAAAGTCGTCTTCATTGTATTGATATAATCGCCTACAACTGTGCCTCATTCTCAAACCAAGTCCAATCCAAATATCTTAAACATTAGTTGATAGTCGTTTGGGATCCCAATAGTTTTACATAAAAGTTACGACACTTTAGACTTTTTTTTATATCATGCTTCATTTATGACAATTGACAATGAACAAGGAAAATATGAATTCTAGAAGTATATGAAAAGAAACCAGGCCTATGAGCATGTTTTTACGCAGTAGTATGCCAATCCTAGCTACATAGACGTTTTGATCACTTGTAACAAAAGTTTGAATATGTTTTCATGTTTTCACTTTTATATCTTTTTTTATACCTTTAAGTGGTTAAGAACTTTATATATATGCTATTCTACCATCAAGCCACTTTATGTGTATTTTTCATTTCGAATACAAATAATTTTTCAAAACTTTGTTTTTGAGGGAAAAATCGCAAATATTTTAAACTGTGGAAATTTGCTTTGAAAAAATGGTAGGACGGGATGGTATCCAGTATCCAGTACAGATAATAATGATGTATATCCAAGGATAAAGATACTGGGGAACCCTGGTTATGGTAGGACGGGATGGTATCCAGTATCCAGTACAGATAATAATAATGTCTATCCAAGGATACAGATACAGGGGGAACCCTGGTTATGGTAGGACGGGATGGTATCCAGTATCCAGTACAGATAATAATAATGTCTATCCAAGGATACAGAAACAGGGGGAACCCTGGTTATGGTAGGACGTGATGGTATCCAGTATCCAGTACAGATAATAATAATGTCTATCTAAGGATACAGAAACAGGGGGAACCCTGGTTATGGTAGGACGGGATGGTATCCAGTGTCCAGTACAGATAATAATAATGTCTATCCAAGGATACAGATACAGGGGGAACCCTGGTTATGGTGGGACGAGATGGTATCCAGTATCCTCCGATGCATTTTCCTCCCGGAGAAAGTACAGATTCCTTCCTTGATGTTCTAGAATCTGCTCTGCAACCTAAAGGTAAAAAATTCAAAAGTAACGATTTTTACCGCCTTTTGACCATAATTACCGACTTATGATTTTTTTCCGCCTTTTGACCATGATTACCGACCTATGATTCCCCTAAAAGAGGATGCTTAAGTTACCAAACATCCCTTGGGACAGTTATGTAAAATAACCACCCGCCTTGCAAAGTTTCGCAAGAAAAAGTTCGCGTATTTTCATCTCGATAGACGATAAATCTGTGTACAACTACTTTTCTGGGAAATTAACCACGGGTTTCCTCGACCATTGCTGCGCTCTGGATGTTTTGTAGGCAAAATTGGTCTTGGAAACTCTCGGTAACATAAAATTCCCTTAACTTCCCTGTAAAGTAGATGTAAATAATTAATCTTTTCAATATTAAGTGTGATTGAAGTCAAAATGCGAAATTTAAAAAAAAAAAAAATTAGCATTAAGAAGAACGCGGAAATGCCGGGGATTGAAGTAAATAGAGCGGGAAAATGCCGGGGATTGAAGTAAATAGAGCGGGGAAATGCCGGGGATTGAAGTAAATAGAGTGGGGAAATGCCGGGGATTGAGGTAAATAGAGTGGGGAAATGCGGGGGATTGAAGTAAATAGAGCGGGGAAAATGCCTGGGATTGAAGTAAATAGAGCGGGGAAAATGCCTGGGATTGAAGTAAATAGGGCAGGGAAATTCCGGGGATTGAAGTAAACAGAGTGGGGAAATGCCGGGGATTGAGGTAAAGAGAGCGGGGAAATGCCGGGGATTGAAGTAAATAGAGCGGGGAAAATGCCTGGGATTGAAGTAAATAGAGCGGGGAAAATGCCTGGGATTGAAGTAAATAGAGCGGGGAAAATGCCTGGGATTGAAGTAAATAGAGCGGGGAAAATGCCGGGGATTGAAGTAAATAGAGCGGGGAAATGCCGGGGATTGAAGTAAATAGAGCGGGAAAATGCCGGGAGATTGAATCGGATATAAATATTTTCTTTCAATATGCATCAATGTATTGAAATTTAACCAAAACTATTTATAAAAGGTTTTTTCAATAAAATAGATTGAAAGCAGAAACACTTATTACAAACTTAGTTTTTCAAATAATGCTTTTTAAACGAATAAGTTCTCTACATTCCGACCAATAGTCAACCTCATTGAATATTCCCCAATTGCGTTTTTGCGCCGACTTAGCCCTGGTAGAAAACAATGAAGGAATATAATGAATTGGTTCAAAGTGTATTTCTCTGTCTTTATATATCTAATCTGTTGTTTTATCAGTTTCGTGATTAGGTTTAAAAAACCGGCAGAAGGACGTCGAAGGGCGTCAAGGAGGGGGATTGGAAAGGATTAAGGAATTTAAGGAGGGGGGGGGGGGGGTAAAGGTTTAAGGGATTCCGAGTTTAAAGGGGAAGAGATTCAGTGAGGGGATTTTTGGGGGGTAGTTAGAAGGGAAAAGGGATTCGGGGTATTTTGAAGGGGAAATGGGATTCGGGGGTCCTTTTCCGGGGTATAGTTGGAAGGGAAAAGGAATTCGGGGGGCCTTATTGAGGGTATAGTTGGAGGGGAAAAGGAATTCGGGGGGCCTTTTTGGGGGTATAGTTGGAAGGGAAAAGAGATTCGGGGGGGCCTTTTTGGGGGTATAGTTGGAAGAGAAAAGGGATTTGAGGAGGAGAAAGCTGGAGGAGGGAAGGGAGATTTTTAAAAGGATATATTTAGGAAAATATCAAATGTCATTTCATAAATCTAACAAAAGAGCTTTTATTGAATTTCTACTTCTAGTCTGAGATACAAAGTATATAATTTGGAGTCCTTAAATGGAATACTTAATTGTATTCCAAATCCCGGTTTTATGTGAGTTCTTAAATACAAATTAGGCGAATAATTCCTAGCTTTACCTTGATACAAAATCTGCAATATTTTACCGTTTTTTTGCAAAGCTACGAACCCTTTCTCACTTCACACCCAGAAATAACGCCACACCGACCCTGAAGTAAGAAATAAAAGCTTTTAATTTACAAATGTTAGCAACATAAAGAAAATAAAGAATTAGTTATGGTAAACGATACTAACAGATTATCTATATTTTATTGTAAAGAAAAAAATTGCGCACTTTAAGAACGTGTTTGAACTTTTCTAACCATCTGGCTACTAATATTCTTCGTGGCTGCCACACGGAAAGTGTTGCGGCTAGGACATTCTTTGGACTTCTAAGTGTGGAGAATATGATATGTTAGGGAGAGGGCCGGGAGGGGGAGGTCTGTAGCTATATAAAGTAAATAATCAATGAATTTTATTTTTCATCAAATCCTTTATATTTGAAAAGCTCTGTATTTTCTACTTGTTCTGTGGAATCTATTTTAACGCCGAAATGAAACCTTTGATATATTTCTACTTTCTAGGAAAGTTTTAGATTTGAACAAATTTGAATTTGAATTATATTTTAGAAATGTTGGATCCGCCCCTGGGAGGTTCTAAGGATTCAGAAAATCTCAGGTAAAATCTTTCTTAAAAATTTTTATTTAAAATCTTTATTTTTATACCATCAGGGGCTTAAATTTGTTTCTGTTCAAAGGGGTGAGGGGGGGGGGCGGGGTTCCGCACCCGTTGTGCCTGAAAACCCTCTGGAAACCATATATTTCATGGACCCTGTCTACGCCTCTGCAGTGTCTACCATCTACAATATATTTACACTATGATGATGTAAAGCTGAACCAAAATACATTTTTCTAATAGATAGAAGTTAAATCTGGTAATGGATAGAAGTTAAATCTGGTAATGGATAGAAGTTAAATCTGGTAATGGATAGAAGTTAAATCTGGTAATGGATAGAAGTTAAATCTGGCAATGGATAGAAGTTAAATCTGGTGATGGATAGAAGTTAAATCTGGTAATGGATAGAAGTTAAATCTGGTAGTGGATATAGAAGTTAAATCTGGTAATGGATGAATGAATTTAATAATTACTAGGTTAAGAGAGATGAAATGAAAGAATGCATATGTCAATTGATCAATATATGAAAGGATGAATAGATAAAAAATATGAATATGAATAGGTGAATAGATGCATAGATGAATAGGTGAATGGATAAATAAATGAAAGGATAAAGAGATAAAATAATTAATAAGACTTTTATCGATTAAACGAAAGAGTGAATAAATATATAAATAAATAAAAGAACGGATAAATCAATGGATGAGTAAACGAAAATATGAATAAATGAAAGGATGAATTGGGATGAAAGGAATAGATGATAGATGAATAGAAAGGCCAATTAACGAATAAAGAAAAGGGTGAATATGAAGTTGAAAGAAAGAATAAATACATTTGAAATATGAAATTATATAAGGATGAATTTAGGGAGAACGGTAAAGATATTGTCTACAAGATAAGACCAACAACAACGGGAAGAAAAAGGTATTTATTCTTAACAGGCGTTAATTGCTGGGATTGCTAAGGCGAAGTACAAAATATACTGAATAAGCTGTTTAATCATGCCATTCTTCCGGTATATAATTACTACTATGGAGAAAACATTGAAAAAGCTTCATAGTTTGATGATAATATCATTAGAAATATTCATGCTTACAAAAGTAATTAAAAACTTTCAGTTATAGAGATATCAGTGGTTTAGTTTATTTATTTTCTAGGGAGGTCGAGTGATTTAGTTTATTTATTTTCTAGTGAGGTTGAGTGATTTAGTTTATTTATTTTCTAGTGAGGTTGAGTGATTTAGTTTATTTATTTTCTAGGGAGGTTGAGTGATTTAGTTTATTTATTTTCTAGGAAGTTGAGTGATTTAGTTTATTTATTTTCTAGGGAGGTTGAATGATTTAGTTTATTTATTTTCTAGGGAGGTTGAGTGATTTAGTTTATTTATTTGCTATAGGTTGAGTACTTTTAGCTTTCTGAGGACAATATTTTTGTGTTGTAAATCAAGCAGTTTCCTGCATCTTCTGCTTCTGATAAGGAAAATTCCTCTTGGATATCTCATACATAAGCCCGCGATTAAAAAAAAATTGTGAAAATAAGACACAGGTCTAAGCTTTCATTAAGGCTCGAGCTTTCTAAGTTATGTTGCAACTAATTTTCCACAGTGCAGAGTTGGGTTTATTAAATCCAAAGTTAAAACCAAAGTCGGTTTTATTTGTATTGAATCTAACTCCCTAAGTTGAGCCTAAGAGCTGGAAGCTGTCGATCAAGTGACACGAGCTGTCAATCAAGTGACACAAGCTGTCGTCAGTTGATTCAAATGTTGGGTTTAAGATTGAGCCTTAAATTTGGGTCCAAGGAATTAGGACTCGAACTGAGCCTTTAAATCGCGGGCTCACTTTTAATACATTTTCATTACATATGCGTAATTTGTTCTCAGCTTAAATAATCTATTTCAAATTTGTAAATAAGTTTTCCATTACTTTTTTGATACTCCTATATTTATATATATATTTGTAAAGAAATGCTATTACTTATTCTTTATATATATAATGTACTTAATAATCCCTGAGTACTTTCAGTATTATATCAATACTTTTACTTTTACATTTCTTTCCCATCTTTGTGATATATTTGCGCATTTTAGATCTAATATCCTGTATTTTGGATCTAATATCCTGTATTTTAGATCTTATATCCTGTATTTTAGATCTAATATACTGTATTTTAGATCTAATATCCTGTATTTTAGATCTAATATCCTGTATTTTAGATCTTATATCCTGTATTTTAGATCTAATATCCTGTATTTTCTCTTAAATGGATTTTAAATGTAACTTAAAGTTAACCTTTACAAAACCCGCGTTCAATCTTTCAGATCATTTATAGAAAATCAAGTTTAATGATAAAAATAAAAACGAAGATACTTCCATCATTGATGCTTTCATTAATGTTTAAATGGAGTTGTGATTAATAAATGTATTATATAACTAAAGAAAAAGAAAGCATGCATGCAAGGAACCCTGAATGCAAGAAAACGTAACAAATAAATTCCGCACAATCGTCTCTGAAGTCTCATCCTTTGTGGGTAACCCTGTACTTGTGTTCAATCATTTTTAAGTGGTCTTAAAAATTTTGAAATTGCGGAGCTATTTATCTATTTTCTATCTATGTTGTTTTTGCTGTAGCTCGGATGATGGGTTGACTGCGCATGACAGTTTGCATAAAACGAAGAGTTTAGACTGGCTGGCTAATTTCTTCCATATCAGTAAGGTAGGTTCAAAGTAGGAATCGTACAAAGAGAATAAAATTGGAAGACGACTTTAGACTCAAGTTATTATTCTTAATAGTCCATTGAACATGAAACACAAGGATTGTGCAGAGTACACAGACCCATTTAATTTATTGCTTCAGGGTACAATTACCATGTGGATATCAAATAAAGATTAAATTAATCCGCAGATTAAAAAGATCGAGTTCAAGCAGCATTGATCTCGATATCCACAATACAATAGTTTCATGCTTTAAATATTTACACTTACTTATAGCTGCACTCAAAGTTAGTCAAAACTTGCCTTACACTACACAAAACTTGCTTTACACTACACAAAACTTGCCTTACGCTACACAAAACTTGCCTTACACTACACAAAACTTGCTTTACACTACACAAAACTTGCTTTACACTACACAAAACTTGCCTTGCCTTACCCTACAAAAAACTTGCCTTACTCTAGACAAAACTTGCCTTACACTACACAAAACTTGCCTTACTCTAGACAAAACTTGCCTTACACTACACAAAACTTGCCTTACACTACATAAAACTTGCTTTACACTACACAAAACTTGCTTTACACTACACAAAACTTGCCTTACGCTACACAAAACTTGCCTTACAATACACAAAACTTGCCTTAAACTACACAAAAATTGCCTTACACTACACAAAACTTGCCTTACCCTACAAAAAACTTGCCTTACACTACACAAAACTTGCCTTCAACTACACAAAACTTGCCTTACACTACACAAAACTTGCCTTCACTACACAAAACTTGCCTTATCCTACAAAAAACTTGCCATACACTACACAAAACTTGCCTTACACTACACAAAACTTGCCTTACGCTACACAAAACTTGCCTTACTCTACACAAAACTTGCCTTACACTACACAAAACTTGCCTTACGCTAAACAAAACTTGCCTTACACTACACAAAACTTGCCTTACACTACACAAAACTTGCCTAAAACTACAAAAAACTTGCTTTACACTACACAAAACTTGCCTTACACTACACAAAACTTGCCTTACGCTACACAAAACTTGCCTTACACTACAAAAAACTTGCCTTACACTACATAAAACTTGCCTTACACTACACAAAACTTGCTTTACACTACACAAAACTTGCCTTACACTACGGAAAAATATTTGAAACTTAATCGGGTTTGAATGTTTAAGTGCCTTGAATATGTATTTAATGAAATTAACTGTATTTAATTTCCACCTAAAATCCTCTGAAATTCATAACTAATAATATTTACATGCTGACAAATAGAAAACTTAAAACGTGTACATTACAAATAGAAAAAAGTATTATTTTTGGAAGGAATAAACCATTTTTAAAAAGAAAAGAGGATTTTTAAATTTTTTTGACTAACTAGGCTTTAGGGCGCTTCGCGCCCTTCTCTCCTGTTTTAATTGTGAACATTTTCTCTTTGTATACATTGTGATACAAAACCCAAAAAAAAGTTTGCGGATTTTATAAGATATATTTTGTGAATTTTCAAACTTAATGAAAATCAAATTTAGTTTGAGGCAAATTTTTGAAATTTTGATCAAACCTTTCTTGGGTAAACCCCCACACAAAATTTGGGCCTGATCGGTTTAGCCGTTTTGACGTTAATTGGATACAAACAGACATACAGATAAACAGACAAGCACGTATATATATAGATTAAAATTGGTTTTATTTGTTTAGAAAATGCAGAGCTTGCCGGCACATACTTATATGCTTGAATCTGAGGTTGAAACAGAAAATAATGAATACAAGGAAAACATTCTCAACTTTTTTATCATTCTCATTCAATATTTTTAATAACCTAATTTCTATTTTTTCAAATTAAATTTTCCGAGCATATGGCTATTCTTTTCAATTAAAATTGATGACCTAACACTTTTTGAAATTCATACTTTTTGTATTTGTCATTTATCTACCCTCCAGGCTCCAGGTAGTTAATTTCCAGCTTGGTGACAGTTATTTGAAAATGTTATGTTTACGCCAATGATAAATACAATATAATAGTTTTTAAAGGGAGTGTTTGCGATATTTCATCATGTTTTTTACTGACACAGAAATCAATACATGTTTCTCTTTTTTATTAAACATAATTAAAAAGCTAGATTAATTTTTAAAATTTTTAATTTTTTTTGTTAACTTTTTTCATTATTTTAATTAAAATATTGGATAACACATTTCCGCTTTCTAAGAACTAATCATCTAGTTTGTTAAAGTGTAGATAGAAAACTCCATTTATCTTACATATACACATTTGTGGTTAAATTTTTTTTTTTCACTTTAATAATAACTAGCGTTGTCCAGGTTTATATTATAATTCATAGTCCCAGTTACTCCTGCCTTTTTTTGTCCACGCTTGATTATAAAATTATGGATATGAACGATGAACATGGTGCAGTTTTTAGATTTTTTTTGTCTATGGGTTTCAGCAAATATTTCAGACAATTTGGTCAAGTCGTTTGGCAAGTCACACTGAATAAATATTAAACCCATAGATATATTCTCATTTACATAAGGTTGAAATAGTTTTAGGATAAAATGCTAACTTTGATTTAAATAATTCTATAAAATTGTTTTATAAAATATATCCTAGCTATTTATTTAAGTTGAAAATTAAAGAATGATTTTTTATTAGATATCGCCTGATGATTACACTAGGAAATAATCTTGTCAACTAACAATTTGTATTACTTTATTTAAAGCTCGTCAAAAATACTCATTTTTTTTTTATAAATCCTATTCTTAATCCTAATAATTGATATCATAAAGTTATAACTGGTTTTCTCGAGGATATAGATTCATTTTTCATTCCTTAAGTTTTTCTACTTTTTACGAAGTAACATGGTTTGGATGAAAAACTGTTCAAACTTTCATTTTGATAGCAAGAATTAATTAAGATATCTTTCGGAAAGCTCTCAGAGTACTCCTAGTCCCAGCACCCCTATCAAGGAAAAAATTGTACAATGTACACTGTACAATTCTTATTCATGGATTTTCAATGTCAACAAAGATTTAACAAAATTATTAATTTATTTAAGTCCAGTTCAGTACCATGAACAATCCTTTTTGTCATACTTTCAATTTTAGATAATTTAAATAATAATGATTTTAATAATTTTGAACAAATAAACTTATCCTTGAACTCCAATTGTACAATTCCGCGTTAAAATCCAGGGACTTTGCCGCACAATGAAAAATCAGCTGATTTCGCGGGCTTTCTATGGCTGGTTAGCGCACTGTCGCCACATGAAAACTGTCAGAACCCATCTTTCAGGTAACTATATAGAATCAAATGCGTCTTCAAGGGGGGGAGGGTGGGTGGTGAATGTTAATTTCGTATTGAAAGGCGAAAATGATTTGTATAACGCCCGTGTTAAATAGCATAGATTTAAGGTAAAAATATTTGTTTTTGATGAACTTTGTTGGGTTCAAGTGGTTTATAGAATGGAGTAAATAATAATGTCAAGTTGGCACTTTTATTTTCCTCAAGGGAAGAAAACTTTCCTCTTTTATAATATTTTAACAGCTATACTTTCATTCATAATAATGTAAGTGTAAAAAGAGTTAAATAACTAAATGACCAAAACTGTTAATTTGATGGATATGCAATTGAATGCCATATATCCTTGGTTATCCTTGTGGATGGGCAGGGGTGTAACATTGTTGTTACAACTCTCTAAGTGCTAAAAGTAAGATCACACAAACGAACACATTTGCATTTAATTCTAGCATTTGAAACGAGTTCATAGGTCAGTTAAAAAAAGGAAATTTAAAACTGACCTGAACATTTTTTTGAAAAAATATTGATGAATATTCTTTATAACAGTATATTACGGATATTGTTTTCTGCTTGAAACTTGATGGTCACTATCTAATTAAGTTTTTATTAAATACATTTAATAATAGTGATTATCTATGTAGTTTTCTAAAAAGTTATTTCAATAGATACTCTACTAAATAATTATCTAAATGTGCAATTAAATTTTCCAAATATTAATTGTTTAACTTTCTGCTAAATCCAACATTTTGAAATTTTCTGAATTTCTATCTATTTAAAAATCTAAATTATATAACATTTATCATGAATCAAATAAAATCACTTTAAAATAAAGAAAATTACACTTATCCATACCTTCTCTTATTACGTATTAAAGAGATATTGAGAAGAACAATCATAAATTTGCTTTTCTTCTACATGTGAAAAAATCAAAACTACCTTCTCCAGCCTTCGGTTCTTTATTGTGTAATCTAACTATACAATTATTAATTAAACTATCCTTCTAAAATCTATCAATCTTACCAATAATATAAAATAAATACTTACAGCTCAATCAAATAAAAGCATTTAATTTTGTATTGTAACTATCCAACTATCCATTAATCTAATCTTCTAATGTTAAGGTCTAGTATTACCTGGGTTTGATCCCAGTGAGTCTGAATCTGACGGGTTGACCGTAGAAGCGTGGACTGGTTTCAAGCTACAGGGTTTAGGGTCAACTCACATTCAAAATAAAATTTACAGGTCGATTGCTTAAATACATGATTTACAAAGAAATGATAGCCCCCATTAGGCAGGGTGATTTGATATGGAGGCCCCGACAGTTAAAAGAGTTTCAGATAATTGCAAAGGATTTTTAAAGAGTTCCAAAGAATTTAATAAAGTTTAAAGAGTTTCAAAATGTTCCAGAGAGGTTCAAAAAGTTCCGGAGAGTTTCAGTGAGTTACATAGGGTTTCACAAAGCTATAGAGAGTTACAAAGAGTTTTAAAGAGTTTAAAAAAGTCTTAGAGGAAATTTTTACATTAATGTAGTAACCGTCTGAAAAAAGTTTCTGTTTTATGAATGGTCTAATAAAATATATGATTTTTAGACTGATCTACAATGGTGGGATGGAACATGAGTTGAGGTATTATAGTTTATATAGTTTATATTTAGGTCTAGATTAAATTCATTCAATCAATCAATTAATTAATCAATAATCTGGATTGTATGTAATTGGAAAATAAATATTTGTTCTCTAAACCATTGGAAATGTTTTCCCTCTCGATACTGGTGGTTGTGGGGGGAGGGGAGGGGGGTAAAAAAGGAAAAAAAGCAATATGAAAAATAGGTGAAAATCTCGGATATTGAGGAAATGCTTATGAAACATTCTGACATTTTTATATGAAGCATTTTTCCCATTCTCCTCATATTTCGAATATTTCATGATAAATAAAAGCTAACTTTTTTTTATTTTTACCACTTTTGTTCTAGAATTTATTACCATACTAATAGTAGGCTTGCAGGGTTCAATTCTTTATTCTTATTAGAAAAAGTGAATTCGAAGTGCCGAAAATTACTAAATGAAATTGATAATAAGATTGATTTTGATGTACTTTAGTTTTTCATATTACATTTTATGAACACACATCTACCCAATTTGTCAAAAAAACATGTTGGGTAATATTTTAGAAAAGAGGTTTGGCCATATCTGTTGGGTCATCTGAACTGGAACTTTACAAGTCAACAAGTTCACATTAAAGACGGGTAATTCATTTTCTGTCCCATAGTTAATATTGGAGTAACCTTTTAACCTCTTTTTTGTTTTGTTTTACCAGCTGATTTTAAGTTATAATTTTACAAAAGAACCAAATGTAAAGAAGAAATTAAATAGATTTAAAAAAAATAGCTTTTTTCATTCTAACAATATGGGAGTTTTTTCTAAAACAAAAAATGGATTTCATCAGAACAATATTGAAATTATATGTTAACTAATAAGATAGCTTTCTTGGGATTAAATTGAAAGTTCTATCTTTCAAAATTAGGGAACTCGTGATACAGTTCGCTGGTTTAAACCACTGAAATTCTTTGTTAATACTTTATTCTGCACTAAATTAATTCTGAGAAACCTTTACAAAAAACATCATCATTACTTTCCTGAAGAGAGAAAAATAATCTCTTTTTTTAAGCAGAAACTATTCAGTTTTATTTTCATTTTCTGTACTTTCAGAGCAATTCAATCTGAATACGAGAGAAAAATCTCTGAGTGGGGTGCGCTGGAAGCCATTGTTCTTCAGCAGGATAGGGAGATAAATGCCGCAAATATTGCTAGGTCGTATAAATCAATTAATCGATCAATCATTTTTTTTATAAATAACAGAGTGTTGACTTTTAAAGATATTACTATAAATGATGATGTTTATATTCTAACAGTATTATTTTGTAGAGTAAATGGACAATTGAAAGAAAGATCTGACAGTACTTCAAGTTATGGAATGCCAAATAATGATGTTTATATTCTAACAGTATTATTTTGTAGAGTAAATGGACAATTGAAAGAAAGATCTGACAGTACTTCAAGTTATGGAATGCCAAATAATGTTTATATATTCTAACAGTATTATTTTGTAGAGTAAATGGACAACTGAAAGAAAGATCGGACAGTACTTCAAGTTATGGAATGCCAAATAATGTTTATATTTTAACAGTATTATTTTGTAGAGTAAATGGACAACTGAAAGAAAGATCGGACAGTACTTCAAGTTATGGAATGCCAAATGATGTTTATATTTTAACAGTATTATTTTGTAGAGTAAATGGACAATTGAAAGAAAGATCTGACAGTACTTCAAGTTATGGAATGCCAAATGATGTTTTTGAATCTGTTGATGCACATGGTAAATATAAAGTTTCAAATTTTAAAAACGTTCTTATTTTTATATTTTGTAAAGGTTACCCACATAGGATAATAACTTAAACCAAGTTTTAGTGATAGCAAACAATTATTTAGGAGACATTGGTCGGCGTTTGTATCATTACAATGAAAACGACTTTTCCAGCCAAATTTTTGATTTTACAAGTTTACAAGTAAACAAAGAGAAGTTTTTAATTAAAAGCTTCTCTTTGTCGCGTTTTTTATTCATCCACGCTGTTTGAGAGCTCGGTAGAAATCAATAAATGAAATCGAGATTCGAGATTCGGCTTTATTATTTTGATTTATACGACTACTGTTAATAAGTTTAACACTTGTCTCTTAAGCCTAATATTTTTTGGATCACCCAGTATCTTTGAGAAAATGATGATGTAGCTCTTTAAAATTATAAGATTTGATAATATCTTAGATCCATCTCAACCACCTGGATATCATGGAACTCTCTGAAACTCCTGATTTCCTAGATGTATCTGAAACTCTTGATATCCTATATCTATCTGAAACTCTTGGTATCCTAGATCTATCTGAAACTCCTGATATCCTAGATCTATTTGAAACTCCTGATATCCTATATATATCTGAAACTCCTGATATCTTAGATATATTTGAAACTTTTCGTATCCTAGATCTATCTGAAACTCCTGATATCCTATATCTATCTGAAACTTCTGAAATCCTAGATCTATCTGAAATCCTTGTATCCTAGGTCTATTTGAAACTCCTAATATCCTAGATCTTTTTGAAACTCCTCATATCCTAGATCTATCTGAAAGTCCTGATATCCTAGATCTATCTTTAACTCCTGATATCCTATATCTATCTGAAAGTCCTGATATCCTAGATCGATCTGAAACTCCTGATGTCCTAGATCTATCTGAAACTCTTTATATCCTAGATCTATCTGAAACTCTTTATATCCTAGATCTATCTGAAACTACTGATATTCTATATATATCTGAAACTTTATATCCTAGATCTATCTGAAACGCCTGATCGGCCATCAACAATTACTGAAGTTACAGAACAATCTTCAACTTCCAGGTTAAAGAATTTTCTAGAAGAATTTTCTAGAAATCTTTTCTAAAAGTCCTTCAAGGAACACAATTTATCCGACTACTAACATGGATACGTACAGTACATTAATCTTTTACTGTATCTTACATAATATTATCTGATGAAGCTGAAGTACACATGCAAAAAATTTTGTTTTAAATGATGTTTGTATGTAAAAAATAGTTTTAAATCAATGAATATTATTATTAAAATAAGCTTTTTGATTCATTAATAACTATCCCTATATCAGGTGTAGTTTAATACGTTGTTATATACCTAAATCACGATGTTATATACCTAATAAAATTGGTTTCTTTTAGATCATTCTAGACTTTTTTCTTCTACAAAGATCATTCTAAAGTTTTTTCTTCTAGATTATCATAGACTTATTTCTTCTAGATCATAATAGACTTATTTCTTCTAGATCACGTGTGTCCGAGGATTCTGAAAACTCTGGACCTAGATCTCACACGGAAAATAAAAGGTTTTTATCACTAGCTGAAGTGCCCGGCGTTGCCCGTGCCATTTAAAAAAATTGAATTAAAAAAAATGAAAAGAGAAATAATAAATATTTTTTCCCCTTTTCAGATTTTATAAGATGACATGTTATTTCTTTAATGGATATCATGTTTTCAATTATATCATATTTTTTTTTATCTTTTGGTTGAGCAGGGTCTAATGTTTATTATATTCTAGCATGCAATGATGCAAGGTCCTAATGTGAAACATATTCCAGCAGGGTCGTTCCTAATGTGAAACATATTCTTGCAGGGTCGGTCCTAATGTGAAATATATTCCTGCAGGGTCGGTCCTAATGTGAAATATATTCCAGCAGGGTCGGTCCTAATGTGAAATGTATTCCAGCAGGGTCGGTCCTAATGTGAAATATATTCCAGCAGGGTCGGTCCTAATGTGAAATATATTCCAGCAGGGCCGGTCCTAATGTGAAATATATTCCAGCAGGGTCGGTCCTAATGTGAAATATATTCCAGCATGACTGGCATTAATATTTTATTTAAACCTAGAGCTGGAAAACGGGATCCTATTCTAGTATCAGCATCAGATGAGGGTAAAATTATATTTTAATTATCGGATAAGTATTAACAAAAGCTAAATAAATAAAAGTAAAAAGTAAAAAATACTTTTAATTAAATACAATCTTGATGTAAACTTCTGATATCGTTTAAAAAGACTTCAGAAAATCTTTAAAACATACAGGGTGTCCCAAAAAACATGGGAATTCAGTGACGAATTTGATATCGTCTTTGTTATGAATTAGCATTGTAATACCTAATTTCAAAAGCCATAATATTATTATGTCTGCTAGAGCTTATTTTATGAAAAGGGTAAAAGACTGTAAAGATGTGTCTATCATGTCTCCACAAGATGAACAGTGAAGACGGACAAGTTTACTCTGTTTGTATACTGCAATTTTCTTGTTTTACTAAGTACAACCGTATGCAGTCAAAACATAAACAAACAAATGTGAACATAGCAGACGAAACTCTTACATATTACAGCTTTCTCAGTAGGTATCACTATACTAAATCAAAGAATTAGTTAAAAAGACGATATCGAATTCGTCACTGAATTCCCATGTTTTTGGGACACCCTGTATATTTTTTGGCGTTCGAAGTTTTATTTTTAATATAAGGGAAATTTTGATGTGCAGAAAATTAAAATAAATAAAAATTAAAGATTAAAAATGCATTATTTAGTTTTCAAAATAACATAATTTTTTTTTGCAAATTTTACTAAGAAAACAACAAACTATTTACAAATGTTTTTCATCTAACAGATTTTTTCCAAAATAAAGTCTTCAAATCATAAACAAAGTAACACAAATTTAGCCTTTCTTACAGATTTTTAGTTGTTTTAAAACTCTTCAACTGATTCAAGGGTTTCTCACTATAAACATATTTTTTTACACGACATTTTCCTATTTAAAAAATGGAATTCTTAATTATAAATATTTAAAAAATACATCTGTCTAGGTATAGAAGACTTAAACGATGAAGATGAAACATATTCTATTGAGAACAAGTATGATGGAGATGGATTCGATGGATATCGTTTAGGTAAATTCAGCAAAATCTACCAAAAATATAAGTGTACACAAACAGGAAAATTCCAGGAACGTCTCCCCCCAGGGTCCTTGTTGGTATAAATGCATCAGATATAAATAAGTTTATAGAATCAGGAAGACGACGTTAAAATAATAATTAATTATATTTGATGTTGTTGCAAAGCAAATTGTTTTATTAGTAATTTTTAAATCCCTTATTAAATGAATTTGGCCTTCTTAAATCGCACAATTCCTGTACCTCATGTTCATTGGATTTTTTATAGTCAAAACTTAACTTTTCTGTTTCTCGAAAAAAAAACAAAGATATTTTTTGATTTAGGTAATCCGCGAAAATTGAGCCGAGCTAATCATGATCAAGGATTCGGTTTCAAGATTACTACTCCTAGTATTGACAGCGGAAATCCGGATTCTACTCCTCCAGGTAAATAAACAAACAAAAACCGGTTTTCATCCATATTTAAAATCTTAGCAATTTGAATAGTTTTTTAAATGTAAGTTTAAGGAAGGGAGTATTTTACTATTACTTTTACATGATTTTATTATGATAACGTGAAATAAAACTATTTTAAAACAAGTTTATACAATTCTTGTTCAATCATAAAACGGCATAATGTAGGATATACATATAGAATTTACCAAACAAGACTGAGACTTCCAAGACAACTGTTTAGACAAATATTGAGAAATTGTGAAAATTTTATAATTAGAGATATTTCTAAATTCCCAAACGACGGTTTGAAATTACTCCAAAGTTAAAATGTAATTAAATCAGAAAAGTTTTTTTCCTCGATAGTTTTTCACTCTGTAGTCTCAAATCACTTTTATCTTTATTGTCTCAAAATAGAGTTAGTAATTTGTGAAAATTTTGAATGTAATCCATGTTTTATTTGATGTAGAGGGTAAACTAGAAGCTAGGCTGATCTCCAGAAGTGAGAGTGATGAACACAGTGTGTGTGGTTCTGAGATCCAGGAGATTACAAGAAACATCATGAATCTCAGCTGTGATTTCAGGTTTTGTACACAAGGTTATTCACAAAGAATAAGACTTAAAAACTACTGAAGACGACGGACCAAGATGTGCACGCGCTTACGTAAAAATCGAGCAGTGTTTCGCCCATTACTCCCTTTTAAACTCAAGCAGCTAAAAACAAGCACTTTTCATATCTAGAATGTATGTGCTCTTAGGTTTTTAAGAGTAAAAATAAAAAAATTGAGCTTTCTGTAAGACACTTCCCCCTTTCTGTACAGAGTACGCCCCTTGAGAGCTCTTAATACACCTACTTCATTATAAATATAATATTATATTATCTCATTTATCTTTAGATTATTAGAAGAATTTAGAAGTAAGTACTTTCATGAAACAATATCTTTTCTTGGAAATTATTTTTATTAATATTTGTCCAAATAAATGAGTATTATGTTTAGGGATGATTTGTTGGCGGCCCCCTCCCCAGTATCCCTCTGCCCCTCCCCAGCCAGCTCAGAGGGTGGAACCTATACAATGGTAAAATATAGAAAAATATATTAATTGAATAAAATATCATCTCTTAGAGAAAAGATATTTAGGAGATATTAGAGAAGTTTGGTTTGAATCTATACTTCTCATTGTGTTCATATTTCTCTGTTTAGGAGATATTGGAGAAGTTTGGTTTGAATCTATACGTCTCATTGTATTCATATTTCTCTGTTTAGGAGATATTGGAGAAGTTTGGTTTGAATCTATACTTCTCATTGTATTCATATTTCTCTGTTTAGGAGATATTGGAGAAGTTTGGTTTGAATCTATACTTCTCATTGTATTCATATTTCTCTGTTTAAGAGATATTGGAGAAGTTTGGTTTGAATCTATACTTCTCATTGCATGCATATTTCTCTGTTTAGGAGATATTGGAGAAGTTTGGTTTGAATCTATACTTCTCATTGTGTTCATATTTCTCTGTTTAGGAGATATTGGAGAAGTTTGGTTTAAATCTATACTTCTCATTGTATTCATATTTCACTGTTTAGGAGATATTGGAGAAGTTTGGTTTAAATCTATACTTCTCATTGTATTCATATTTCTCTGTTAAGGAGATATTGGAGGGGTTAAGTTTGAATCTATACTTCTCATTGTATTCATATTTCTCTGTTTAGGAGATATTGGAGAAGTTTGGTTTGAATCTATACTTCTCTTTGTATTTATATTTCTCTGTTTAGGAGATATTGGAGAAGTTTGGTTTGAATCTATACTTCTCATTGTATTTATATTTCTCTGTTTAGGAGATATTGGAGAAGTTTGGTTTGAATCTATACTTCTCATTGTATTCATATTTCTCTGTTTAGGAGATATTGGAGAAGTTTGGTTTGAATCTGCACAGAATAGAAAAGGATGTTGCAAGATGTGACAGGAACAAATTATATATCATTTATTTTTAACTTTTCTTTAATCCTATTTTAAACTTTAAAACCCGCATCTGACACTTTTCTAATATGTTTCAGCCTTTCAACTTAAACTTCACTCTTCTCTTTCAAAATTTTAATTTAATTTTATGTTGAGGCTCTGTAGCCATTTGCTGTACTCGGCACCACTTGTCAGTTCTAGCTGCATCACATTACCTTAATAATAAGATTTAGAGGGACAGTAAACATATTTTCAAATAACTGTTTATTTTTAAAAAAGCGGTACGTCCGATTCACAGCAGTACCCTTTAAATGTTTTGTCTTATCAAGTATGAATTAGACATTTATGTTTTTATTCATGAAAACTATTTAATTTCATTTGCCGTTTCTCTACAGAAGTGACTTGCACATTTCTAGTTTCATAAACAATGAAGAAATTATATGAATTTAAGACTTTTCAAATTATAAATTCGCATAGTTATCAGATCAAGGTTTCAAGGGTGCATGCGCCTCTTTAATGAAGGGCATATTAAAATTCCAAATACAGTCCCTTTAAAAGAAAGGTTGTGATCTCGTAGATATATGCGAATAAAAAGGCAAGAAACCAAATGATCCCTAGAGAAGACCAATCTTAAGTAGAGCGTTAATACCATTTCCTCTGATTGATCAATCTCTTTTATCGTTTTTTTTTGTTCTGGTAAACTGGCATTCTAGTTCTTTTGATAAAAAAGTAAACCTTGAGAGATATTATTGTTCTCCAGGAACCTTGAATACTTCAGCCAACCAATCAACCTGGAGAAACTTAGAAATGTGATTACTACATACGTCTGGGAAAACCTTGAAGACGGTTATATGCAGGTAGATATTCATTCATTCATTCTTTCAATTATTTATTCATTCATCCTTTCATTCATTTATTAATTTTTCATTCATTATGAATAAATGTTTGACTCATTATTCATCAATTCATGTATTCATTTGTAAATACATTTATTCTTAAATTTGTTTATTTATTTATCTAAAATTTGTTTTTTATGTTTTCTGCTCCATTTCTTTCTTCTAAATATCCGGTTTCTTAAAAAGTTTTTAAAAGTTTTTTATTTGTAGAAAACAATTGTTCAGGAATTGCAAATGTCTAAAATAATGACTGATTGTCTGTATTTTCTCCAGAAAAGAGAATCCTGCAGAATAAATAAAATCTCCTCTCTCACATGTTTTCTCTTTTATGTAATGCCAAGGAGTATAGAATATAAGGGAGAGGAAATCGACCCGGCCCGCCCTATCATACAAATCCCTCGTACATGTATTCAGTATTGTAAACAGGGACAAATCAGGCTGAATAACGCAAACAAATACATTTTTTTGGGATGCAAAAATATTAGCAATACGAGTGTATTCTTTTATAATATAATAAATTGGTTTTATCTAATATGGTATAGTACACAACCACATTTGAAAAATTAAAAGACGGCCTATTAAAACTTTTAAAAGCATGTATATTGTAAAATCATATGGTGGGACGGCCGGGTCAATTCATTCTCCCTTATATGCGTTATGCTTATTCAGACTATTCATTTTTATTGTAGAGGTCGTGGTTTTTTGATTGTTTAGTTAGATTTTTTAAAAATATCTTTTATTAAGATTAAATATTTGCTGTTAATTTTCAAATTTTAAATTAAATAAAATTTCTGTTTGTAAAATATATAATTTGTGAAATTAAAACTAAATTGTCCCGCGGACAGTGTGCATATGTAGGAAGATTAACAAAATGCCCGTTTTATATTAAATGAAAAATTTTAATTTATCAATTATTTACCCGTATCCTAGACCTTTCTGTATTTTTGAAAAAAATATGTTTATTGTTTTAAGTTTTACGTATTTACTTGTTTTTTTAGTTTAAACCTCAAACAAACATAAATGAGTGAAAATCCCAGTAAACAAAACAAAAACACAATATGCTTCACTACAAACTTTCGAATAGTCCTATTCATTCATCTTGTAATACCTACTCATTCCTATTCATTAATCTTGTAATACCTACTCATACCTATTCATTCATCTTGTAATACCTATTCATTCCTTTTTATTCATCTTGTAATACCTATTCATTCCTTCTTTTCATTCATCTTATTATGCTTATTGATTCTTTAATTAATCCTTTTTATTCATCTTGTAATACCTATTCATTCCTTTTCATTCATCTTATTCTACTTATTCATTCCTTTAATTAATCCTTTTTATTCATCTTGTAATACATATTCAATCCTTTTCATTAATCTTATTCTACTTATTCATTCCTTTAATTAATACTTTTTATTCAGCTTGTAATTCCTATTCATTCCTTTTTATTCATCTGATTCTACTTATTTATTCTTTTATATTCATCTTGTAATACTTATTCATTCCTTTTTATTCATCTTGTAATAACTATTCATTCCTTTTTATTCATCTTGTAATACATATTCATTCCTATTCATTCATCTTGTAATACCTATTCATTCCTTTTTATTCATCTTGTAATACTTGTTCATTCCTTTTTATTCATCTTGTAATACCTATTCATTCCTTTTTATTCATCTTATTATGCTTATTGATTCCTTTAATTAATCCTTTTTATTCATCTTGAAATACTTATTCATTCCTTTTATTCATCTTGTAATACCTATTCATTCCTTTTTATTCATCTTGTAATACCTATTCATTCCTTTTTATTCATCTTGTAATACCTATTCATTCCTTTTTATTCATCTTATTATGCTTATTGATTCCTTTACTTAATCCTTTTTATTCATCTTGAAATACTTATTCATTCCTTTTTATTCATCTTATTATGCTTATTGATTCATCTTGTAATACCTATTCATTCCTTTTTATTCATCTTGTAATACTTGTTCATTCCTTTTTATTCATCTTGTAATACCTATTCATTCATCTTATTCTATTCTACTTATTCATTCCTTTAATTAATCCTTTTTATTCATCTTGTATTTCCTATTCATTCCTTTTTATTCATCTTTTAATACTTGTTCATTCCTTTTTATTCATCTTGTAATACCTTCATATTAATTTCTTTAATCAGTTCTATTCATAAATCTATTCATTTATATCAGCATACCTTTTTATCCCTTTAATCAGGACTGAAACATAAATAATTAGCTCCTGTTTTCACTTTGGACCAGTCCTATTCATTCTTAAAATCTGTATTCATTTATCTTCGTTTTCTATTCATTCCTTCAAATGTACATATTCATTCCTTCAATTATACATATTCATTCTTCAAAACCTTTTTATTCACTTCCATCAGTCTTAAGACTTTTTTTTATCCACTTCTTTAATTCAAATTAATGCAATTCACCTCTATTTAAGGTCTACGCTACAGTTGGTTAAGTGTGGGGCGGGGCTTTCCCCTGAACGTCCCCCCCCCGGGCAAATATAGCTAGCTCCTTTAATTCTATTTTCAAATGAGGATTCATCCCCCCCCCCGGCCCCGGCAGTTTCATTTAAAATACATTTAAAAAAAATATTTGAATAATTTCAGAGGGTGATTTTTTACCCAAAATATTTTTTTCTCTGGAAAATTTTCATGCATGCCTCATTCTAGGTTTTTTTCTAAAACTAAAAAAATTACAAACTAGGAACTGATTTTACGAACTGTTTAGGGAATGTGCGACCTTGTCGCTCCTCTTCTTGTCGTTATTGACGACGAAGCGATCGTGTACTCCTGCTTTACCACTCTTATGAAGAGGATGATCAAGTAAGTCATTTGTTATCAATCAATCAATCGATCATCCTTATGTACAGGGTTACTCACAAATGATGAGACTTCAGAGACGATTGTACGGAATTTGTTTAGTCCGTTTTCTTACACGCCCCCGACCCTTTCGTAAAAGTAAATTCAACCAAAAGTCTGACCCCGTCAACCTTGTTGCACTGATTAGTCCTATTGAGTGTCTGCTTTATTTAACCAATGTCCGGGCGATACAGTACAAACTGGGACCGGAAAGGTTGACCCGGCTCGGAAATTCAAGTGAACTACGGCTGCCCGTGCTTGCATTTAGGTTTCCTTGTAAGCCAAAACTGACTTTTTTCTGTGCTTAATCACCTAGTAAACAATTAAAATACTCAATTAAATGCAGAAACTAAAACTCTAGCTTTAAATCGTCATATTTTTAGAGTTTTGGGTCGTCATTGCAGTCTCATCCTTTGTGGGTCACCCTGTATACTGCAAACACTAAAAACATCCCATTTCTTATAACTATAAAATCTCTATTCTAAAACCTGATGTTGTAAACTAGATATATTTGTGAAAATTTAAATATTTAAATGTATTCGCCATCATGCAGGCTGCAAAAATATTAAGATTATAAAATAGTGGCTCGAGAGTTGAGTTCTTTTAATTTTTAGTATATTAAGTTACATTATTTTTAAACCTCTGTTTTTAGAAATTTTCCAACAGGAGAAGCCATGGATTCAAATTTTGGAAATATGAGAGCTCTGATGCAGGTTTTTATTAGATATTTTTATAATCATAAATTCATTCCATTAAATACGTTTGAAAAAATGAAAAAGAAGAACTTTAATTTGTTGAAATATTAAGTTCGTGAGAATCACAGTGTAATAAGATAAATACTAATCTATTCTGATATCGATATGTAACAATAAAAAAACCGTTCGAAAAATATTTAATTTTCGTTCTTATTAATCTTAAAACAAATAATTCATGTAATTTCGAACTAGTTGTACAGTATTTAGAAAGAAAGGTAGCGAACTATAATCGGTAAACAATCCTATTGACTGAAATCAAAGGAACTGAGTTTTTGCCACAAATTATGATTTTACAATCGCTATTTCTTTTCAACCTGATGGTGTAAACCTTTGATATTTCAAACTATCGTTATTTGATCTAAAATGATTCATAGTTTGAAATATCTAAGTTCTACAACATTCAAATGTAAAGATATAGGGATAAGAAAATCAGAGTTTGTGACAAAAACTCAATTCCTTTAAAAGATTTTTAAAGTTATTTTTCAACCTTGACAAAATTTTTCACAGAAGATATTTGTTAAAATTTTGTTCTCTGAACTAAATCCTGAATCCTAATCCGATTATCCCAACAAAATAATTGATTCATTGAAATACATTATCTAGGACTTTAATATTTAAGTATTGTACCGACTTTTACATGCAGTACAGTACACCAAATGAATCACCCCGGGTTCTTGAATGTGAAATATAATTACGATGAAAGGAAACAAGCTGATTTAATTCTATTGTATTTTGCGAAGGAAGTTATTTGAGGTGAAATATCGTCTTAAAATTTTATTTCTAGGTTCTGGATCAGAGCCTACATGATACTATTCTAGGTTCTGGATCAGAGCCTATATGATACTATTCTAGGTTCTGGATCAGAGCCTATATGATACTATTCTAGGTTCTGGATCAGAGCCTATATAATACTATTCTAGGTTCTGGATCAGATTCTATATGATACTATTCTAGGTTTGGATCAGAGCCTATATGATACTATTCTAGGTTCTGGATCAGAGTCTATATGATACTATTCTAGGTTCTGGATCAGAGCCTATGTGATACTATTCTAGGTTCTGGATCAGAGTCCATATGATACTATTCTAGGTTCTGGATCAGAGCCTATGATACTATTCTAGGTTCTGGATCAGAGTCCATATGATACTATTCTAGGTTCTGGATCAGAGTCTATATGATACTATTCAACAAAATGGCGATTTTTCACACTTCTACTTCTGCTACAGATGGTAATCGTTTCTATAAATATTCTATAAATAAAAAATAATTTTCGTTCTTTTGATTTTAATTATATCTGATTTTAGGTTTCTTCTTGACTTTAAACGAGAGTTTGAATATTCTTCCGTTTATTTGGTTTGGGAAACTATCTGGGCAGCCGCTAGGTAAACCGGTTTTTTTACATGTTCATATTTATTTGGTTTGGGAAACTATCTGGACAGCCGCTAGGTAAACCGGTTTTTTTACATGTTCATATTTATTTGGTTTGGAAACATATCTGGGCAGCCGCTAGGTAAACCGTTTTTTTACATGTTCATATTTATTTGGTTTGGGAAACTATCTGGGCAACCGCTTGGTAAACTGTTTTTTTACATGTTTATATTTATTTACCTGTAGCTGTATACTGTTTTTTGTTTGTTTGTTTAATGTATTTTTAAATGTCTGTTTCCTGTATACTGTTATATTTTTGTTGTTAGTTGTAATTTTACATAACACTTCCCTTTTGCTGTTTTTTTGTTTGTTTGTTTTATTGTTACATGTATATTTCAATATTTGTACTTTTTTGTTTATTTCTTGTTTTATTGTAAATGTTTACTTTTACTGTTTTTGTTGTTGTTGTATTTTTACGTATACTGTTTATGTTGTTGTTGTATTATTACATATAATGTTTCTGTTGTTGTTGTATTTTTACATATACTGTTTCTGTTGTTGTTGTATTTTTACGGTTCTATTGCCTTTATACTGTTTTTTTTTGGTTTGCTTGTTTGTTCGGTTCTTACGGTTCTATTTTCCTTCATACCGTTTTTCTTTTGCGTGCCTGAGTGTGGAAACGGGTGTGTGTTAATGTACATTGTTTGAATATTAATGGATTTTAAAAACCACTTGTCTTTACAAATTATTTTTTTTAGTTCTTCTTGGTTGTTTTCTTGTACCAAACAGAGATACTGATATTTAAAAAAACAACTTAAAATCTTTAAATTACATTCTTTGATATGTTTTGTTAATATCTTTATTCAAAACAATATTTCGCATCATAAATCGTGTTTATTGTTTATGTTTATGTACTCTCTTTGTTTGTGTTGATTTAATATTTGTTTAGAGTTTCAACTGAGCATTTCTATTTGTTCATTGCCCTGGGACTAGTAGAGACCTACAGGGATATTATTCTTGACAGGTAAATAAAATAAATTTATACAGAAATTACTCTTGCTTTTAGTCCCCCCCCCATTCCTTGAAATTCTAAAGAACTTTCAAACTGATTAAGCGTATGTTGATCAGGGGGCGGAAACGTCATGTGTGTGTGTCTGTACCAAACGTGTGTGTGTAAGGTTTACCGAACTTGTCTGCAATGCAGTGCGACTGGCTTTCTCATTCCAGACCAGCGCCTTTTCCTTTATTCCTATTCCCTGATGTTGATGGGAACAGAATTGCGGCGATTTAAAATATTTATTTAATCAGATAATAATTTTGCAGAAATATGGATTTCACAGATATAATCAAGTTCTTCAATGAAATGGCTGAACGACATCAAACAGATCTGGTTCTGGCGGAATCCAAACAATTACTAAACTCTTTACGTAACCTTGTACATGATACAGATTAAAGTGCAGTACAGTACAGTAGTGTTGTTTACTGTTGCACACATATTTTACAGCTTTTACATTTCTCCAACACAAAACGTAAACAAAGAATGTACAACTCTCATACCTTTGGTTTACAAGTCTACTGCACATTCTGGGTGGAATATAAACAACACTCAGCACTGAGTTTGTTTATTTTCCTTAAAGCAACTCAATTGTTATTTTTTTGTTAACAAAGATTTAAAGAGTTTAATGTTTCTCTCGTATATCTTTTTAAAACTGCAGTACACAGTACATAAGTTTATTAAAGGAGGGAGGGGCGGCTGCGCAGTGCACACAGTCACACAGCCACCACTCCCTCCACGATGATTACTGGACTGGTGTAGCCCAAGATATCGTTATGAAGCCCAGTATCGGAAACCCAGTTTCTTGAATGGGGTACGGCCATTTTGTCAATACTATTCTTTTGTTAAAAAATATAACATCTTTTATATTCTCTTAAAGAGTTTATATTTCTTAAAATTGAAATCTACACAAAGGTACAGACTCCGTTACGGAAACTCGGAATTTTTGTTCAATACTTTAAGATTTTCGACTCGGAGCTGAAACCCTTTTATTTGTCCTTTTGCTAACATGACGTGACCGACTGTGTCTGTCCGAAGTACGTTGAAACACGACCTCTCTCGCCGAAAGCAAATGGAAAGCCTATTAAAATTAGATTATGTGCTGAAATATACTTTTGGTGACATCTAGCTGACAAACATTGTAGAGTACGGAGACATACAAAGTACGTCTAAGTTAGTTTAAGACAATTCGGGCTCTGGGGCACAATGCAAATACGTATTTCTTGACTATTATGTTTCTAATGAATGCAGTATCAACCTTTAATAAGATAAACGATATACTTTGCAAATAGTTTGGATCAGATATCATATTAGTGGTGGAATCTATGGAGAAATGTAATATTTTTTATTAGAGAAATAATTGGGAATCTTTCTTTATAACTATTTTTGCACTGTAGTGCACTGCACTATACTGTTTTTTAAATTGAAAAATTTAAACAAAATCATGTACTGTATTTTCCCATAAAGGAACTGAGTCTTTGCCACAAACTCAAATATTCGTATCCCTATATCTTGGCAACCCAATGTCGTAGACCTTAGATATTTCAAACTATTAATTCTGTTAGATCAAATAATCTAAGTTTGAAATATGAAAGGGTTAAACCCACTGGTTGCAGAGATATAGAAATTAGAAAATTTGAGGTTGTGGCAAAAACTCAATTCCTTTGGTTATAATTCTTCATAAAATATCAAAATAAGTGTCTAAATGTCCGAGAAAAAATAAAATATTTTTAAACTATTTTTTTATAATACTTGGAATGTTAATTTAAGAACAGTTTTAAAAGTGTAAATATCCTCAATAAAAATTTGTTTTAAGAGCAAATTAAAAATATTAAAGATTAATGTTTTGTAAGAAGATGTTTTTTTATAATTTGCAACTATGGGTTTATCAACCTAGAGCCAATATATTTGCTTTCAATTTCTTCATAATCTTATATTATTAATTTATTTATAATCTTATATTTTCAATTTATATCTATAATCTTATATTTTCCATATATCTTTTATCTTATATTTTCCATATATCTTTTGTCTTATATTTTTGCAAAAAGAACTTGCATCAATATAAAACACTGCGAGATCAAATTGTTTAATGATAAATTTTTTCTTTTGATTTTAAAAAAAAAACACCAATATTTTCTTAGTTTAAAATATCAACTTCGAAACAGTTGAACCAATTTTATGGTGTTTTCAGTTTGGTTGCGATAGACGATAATTCCTGTGAGTTAGAAAGACTATATCAATCAGTTTAAATAAAAACTTCATATCATTAAATTCATTAAGTTAAAATTTAAATTCGCACAGAAAGGTCTAGAAGAATTTCAGTCGTTCAATCATGTTGTATTAATGTAAATTTATGTAATTTTATGTAAATTTATGTAAATTTATGTAAATTTATGTAAATTGTGTTTTGATATTTTTTGTTGTAAATATTAATCAATTTAGAGCTGTATATATGAATTATAAGTGTATATTTATATATATTTTTAAACTGAAACCTACTTAAACCTAATCCCTTTCCTCTTGTAATTTACTTGTTACCTTAATCCTGTCTCTAATCTCTTATCAACGTTTTTCACCAAAAAAACAAGTTTGGGTTAATTTTATATACAAACATAACAATTTTATTTTATATTAAATCCTTTTAAAGTTTCTATTTTGTATGACACATTTAATCATAATTGTAATGTTGTTAATATTTATGATAATTTATTAAAACGAAAATAGCCAAATTTTTGACGAAAAATGTGATTATTGTTTTGTTGATTTATTACAAAGTATATTTTAACAAATATTTATTTATTCAAGAGTTGGTCTTGTATTTTTGTATTTTGTTGCATAACTTGCGTTTTCAATGGTAAATGATTCAAATAAACTATTAAAATATTCCTTCAGAAGTATTTAAAACAGAGTCTATACGGTGGGGGGGGGGGGCTATTAGGCACAGCCCTCTAATCATTAAATTCTATGGTTTCCAAGACCCCAATGTTTTTTATTATAACTTCTATATTTGAAGAGCTATTGAGAAGAATAAAATTGTTTTGAATTGCTAATATGTAACCTAATTCGCTTTTATCATACTTGTGCGTAAAATCCAAACTAGAGGAGCAACAAGGATGCAAAGGTATACCGATAATATTAATTAATATTACCTGCTCCTCCTGGTTAGTTTGCAGTGTGTTTGAACTTTAACATATTCCTAGCTAAATCCTATGGTGACCCAAGCTCTTTGGTGCCTATAGATGTAAATAGCCCTAAAATCAAAATTGGGGTTATATGTTATTTTTTTCCGTACGTCTTCAAAAATTATAGAAAACAAATACAAATATTCAATTCTCAAAAAAGAACGTTTGTGCGTTTCAAATGCACAGGTTCGACTCTCTCTTAAAAACATTCATTTCACAAATATGATATAATTTAGCAAAATCATGCGTTTCTGCGTTGCGCAAAAACGCATGAAAATCGCACTTGATAAAAAATTCAGGACGGCATGTTTTTTTCCGTGAGCCTGTGCGTTTTCATTCCGATCTGTAAACTTTCTGAAAAACTTTGATTTAATTTATCCAATATGATATTATTTACAGAATCATTATAACCCCAAAGGATAAAGACTATTTAAAACTCTTAAAACATGTCGATTTGAAGCTTTAATGCTGGTTTCTGTCTTCAAGTTAGCATTTTTATGCTTTACTAAATGATTAAGCTCCAAGGGTGCACCCTGAACGTAAGAAAAGGGACTAAAGAAATTCTGTACAAATGTCTCTAGAGTCTCATCCCGTGTGGGTAACCCTGTATATCGAACAGATCTGTACGGTTTGATGAGAGCTTAGCCCTGACTCCCATGGGATGATGATTGACCATTTTATTTATTTATAGAAAATTAGAATAACAAGAAGACTAATTTACAGGGGAAATTATCTAAAAGGAGCTGAGTTAGTTGAAAATAAACGTTTGTTTTTCATACTGCTTTATTCTTTTATAGACGCTTAAGCTAGCTCCCTATCAAAGAATGTGTTATTTACTTCAACTAAAAAATAATAAATTTTACATTTTTGATATTTTATTAGAATTAAAATGTTACAAAGCAAACAATATATTTGCCAATATATAATGTACAGGAAGACGATATCTCACCTAATATAGAGATCAATGCGGGACAAATATCTTTTAAATGTTGACGTAAAAAACAAGATTTTATCAATTTCAATTAGGATTCGTGCAATTTAATTTTGAATGATCGCATGTTATTGATGATTTTAAATCATAAATTATAAAAAAATGCTAAATCAGTTTAGCAATTAACTAAACTCAATCTGTGGTCTATTAACATAAAAAACAATAACTATGAGTTACATATATACACAGAAACTGATAATTAGCTCTACAACTAAAATGTATAATGCCTGGTAGGCGGGGGGTCAACTGTCGACAAATAAAACTGGGTATATCAGTAGAAATGGAATCAAGAATTTAAAACATCATCACGTGACGCGGATTTGAGCAGGTTTTGATTACATATCGGGAGTATGAGGGCAGGATGTGTTATGTTTAGTCCTAGTATTTTTTTCTATCTGCCCAAGAGCAGAGAAGTTCTTGTGTTGTTGGATATTCTAAATTTTAATTTCTCCCGTCATCAGATTCGCTGGTGGTTTCAGCTGCGCTGGTCTTGCTCTTTTCTAAATATATAAAAAATTGAATCTTAAACTTTGCATGTGTTGAATCTATTAATAGATAGAACAATGTGTAATAGCAAGGAAAAACTATGCAATCTATTAGAAGTATATCTAAATCTACAAAAAAGTAAGTATTTTTGCTTAAAGCTTACAATGTCCATAAAAAATATTCACTTTTATTCCCTTTTTTGAGATAACAGTACTATAAAAAATAAATGTTTTATAAGTTTAGGCATACCTTTCTTCCCGTTGTAAGCGTGCCTACGAAGCCTGTCATAAAGCTCTTCTTTGTTTCCATAAAGACTTGCGTTGGATCGAGCCAGCGAGTTCATCTTCGCTTCCTAACAAAACAAACGTGTATTTTAAAATACAATTGTAGAAATTTTCGCGGATTTCTTAGAATTTGACTTTTCCCCGGATTTTTTTTTGATTTTCTACCTTGTTATATCCTTCTCCGTAGAAGTTTGGCATATCCCATCCATCCTCTTCATCGTCGTAATAGTGGGCGTATGTACTGTGGTGGGAGGGGGCAATACTTTCAGCATAGGGGGCAGGGGCTCCATAGTAGAAATTTACTCCACTAAAAACACAAGTTATTAGCTATGTATGTAATTAAAAGGAATATTTAACAGTACACAGTATGAAAGACAAATGTATAGATTTTAGAATAAGTTCAAGACCAAAAAATGCATCGGTTCAGTTTGTTGCACTGGTAAATTGATCTCGGGTCGTCTTCCTATTTGAATATTTTGGGTGGGTTATTGTTTACCTGTGAGCGACCTCTGCACCAGGTCCAAGACCGGATTTCTCAGGTGCGCGCCTTCTAGTTGCACGTACACAAATCATCCAGATGAGCAGTACGAGCAAAACAATGAAAATGACAGCACCAGCAATACCTGATTAAAAAATAATATATTTTTCTACATTTAAGATCTTTATATTTATTTCAAATAATCAGGTAACTTAAATCATAAATATTTATTTGTTAAGAATTGTTAAATAATATGAGCTTCATACCTCCTGAAATGTATGCAAACTCAGATTTTTCCTCGCAGTTTGGTCCAGTGAAGGATCCTATACACTGGCAGTAAGGAGATCCAAATTTATCCTTCAAACACTCTCCCTAGGAAAAAATTATTTAAAACTTTACTTTCATTTTTAATTTAGTTTCTCTTTCTTTCCTACATACATTTCTCTCTCCCCATACATCTCTCCCGCTATCTCAATTTTTCTCTGTGACCTACCTCATTTCTGCATCTGCCCTCACATGAATCCCTACAGTCTCCGACTTGTCCATTTCATGGTAACCTACCTCATTTCTGCATCTGCCCTCACATGAATCCCTACAGTCTCCGACTTGTCCATTTCATGGTAACCTACCTCATTTCTGCATCTGCCCTCACATGAATCCCTACAATCTCCGACTTGTCCATTTCATGGTAACCTACCTCAGTTCTGCATCTGCCCTTACATGAATCCCTACAGTCTCCGACTTGTCCATTTCATGGTAACCTACCTCATTTCTGCATCTGCCCTCACATGAATCCCTACAATCTCCGACTTGTCCATTTCATGGTAACCTACCTCATTTCTGCATCTGCCCTCACATGAATCCCTACAGTCTCCGACTTGTCCATTTCCGTCATATCCTAGTTTACACTGGCAGCTGTGCCTGCAAAATTATTAGTTTTATATTTTTGATTGTATGATAAAAAAGTTTTAATATTTTATATTTAAAATTCAAACTGTTATCAAATCAAATCACATCTTAAAAGGATGACTTAAAGCTCCTAAATGAGGGTTTAAGTTTAAAATTTAAACACTTAAATGATAAGCTCAAACTTACGTGTTGTTTGATGGGTGGAACAGACAATCTGCATTACGATCACATAGTTCCTCTCCTCCAGCTACCTTACACCTGAATCAGTTCAAATATTGGTGGATGTAAAAAAAATTGAAACAATAAAAGACGACATTTGAAAACATTAAAAACCCTTTTAACAATTTAATTGTGTTTGTTACCTGTTAGTACACATAGAGCTATCCACTGCTCCCTCCTCCTTAGTAGATGTATCTGATGCACACTGCTTACATTGAGTTTGTTGTTCCTCGTCCTAATAAACAATATAAATTAAAAAATTTTCCTTAACAAAGTTTAAAAAGTCAAACACATTATTTGTTTTTAAACTAACCTGATAGTAACCCCTTGGACAGAGAGTGCAAGAGTTGACCGTAGCATTGAGATAAGATCCCTTCAAACAGATAGGTAGAGAACAATCAGATATATCAGAGCTAGCAACCTTAGCTGTTGTAAAACCAGCGGGACAACGCGCGCAGGCCAGCTGAATACCACGGCTTCTATAGGTTCCAAGGGGACAGCTTACACAATCACCCTAAAATTAAACAAAAATTGTAAGACAAATCAAAGGAAAGAATTATTATAAAAGTTGAATATTCATTCAAATAGCAAATAATTGGTGATAAATAAGCATCCAATTTACCTGAAGGTCAAGCTGTTGACCGTCAGCACATTCAGGTTTGCATTCATCCTTAGTCATTGCCTAAAAAAGAAGATTATAATACATTAAGATCATAGAGATAAAATAATGCTCAAGAAATTTGTTTTACCTCTTTAGTTCTTGTTGTCAGTCCATTGCCGCACATAATACAGGAGAACTTGCCAGAGTTAGGTTGATATCTACCATGACCACAAGGACGGCAAAGGCCGGTCACTTCATCATAATATTTTCCAGCCGAGCACTCCTCCTTACAGTCTGATTGCTTTGTAGATGCTTCTGATTGTGTGACTCCGGGATTTCCGTTAATTTCAGGACACGTTGTGCACTGTATTTGAGCTTGCTTACTGCTGTACTGGCCTAGAGGGCACTTCTGACAGGTTCCTCTGTTGAAGAAGGTCCCCTCTGGACAAGGTACACAGGAGCTGTCGACAACAACGGAGCCTGGTGGACAAGAGAAGGATGGTTCAAGAAAAATAGATGTTTTGTCCAATAATGTGCCAGGAAGAGTTTCATCAACATTAAGATTAGTGTTCTCAAGAAGGATGGATTGTAAGAGTTGATCAATCTTAGCCCTTTGCCCATCACTGTTTACAGCTTCATCTCCTTCCAGGGTTGGGAAAGAAATCTCAAGATCATAAGCTTGCTCCTGTTCTCCAATCTGTCTCTTGACTCTGTCCTTTTTGATACAATCAATATTGACTCCAAGTCCTTCACAGTCCTTCTCACTAATCTTGTCACATGTTGAGAATCTCCATTCTTTGTTGAGGTCTTCCAATGCAGAAATAATCTTATTTTTGAGCACTCCATGTCCCTGTTTACTGCAAAGTACAGATGCCAAGTATTGAAGTTTTATGGTGTATATCTTCTGTGCTGGTTTGGCAGCAGAACAAGCAGGGTAAACAAAAGGAACAGCAGGGTCTTTGTTTGGATTTGGTCTCCAGAACCCTTCAGCACCACAGGTGTAGAACTGGGGAACAGGTTGAGAGAACTTCATGCCTTCATCGCATTCAATCCTGCAGACCTTAAACCTACCTCCTGGACCCCAATCATCACAGATTTGAGATCCAGATTGAGGAGGGTCAAGAGGTGGGCAAAACGATTCAAGAACATAAATCTTGAAACTACAATCAACTGAGTTATCAGAGTTGTCATATGCAATATAAGATATGTCATAGGTTCCCCAGTGAAGGGCATTACCCGGAGCAAGGCTGGGTCGGAGAAGTCGGGAAATATTGACATTATCGCTAAACCTTGGTTCATCCCAGTTAACAAAAGCAGTTCCGTTGGTGGTTGCAACCCAGATATCTCCAGGACAATAAAGTACCTCAGGAGCGATCTTGTCTTGATCTAACTGTTGACAATCAGGTCCAGTGTATCCAGGCTCACAACGTCTATCTCCACAAACACTTGGCATAATTCTCTCAACTCCACCCACAGTTTTGTCATATCCAGCCCATCTTAATATTAAGCCAGGGAACAACACCTGTGAGTTTCTGCAAGATTTAACCTGTCTAGGGATCTCCAGCTGTGTGTCCAGGGCTCTATCCCAAATCTGGACACGGGTCAGTTTTCCATGAAATCCTGATTCTGTCCTTGTCCTGCCATCATCTGATTCCTCACTTCCCAGAGTTACATACCCATACTTGGGCAGCATCTGCTCAGATCCATAAAACTCCTTTTTGTCAGCAATTACACTGTCAGCTGTTAGAATTACATTACCAGTGTAGGAAGACCAGGTGAGAGCAACATGATGCCATTGTCCATCAGCAACTGGAATGTAAGATGGGAATTGTAGGAACACTGGTTCTTCATTATCAAACAGATGGACATAAACTCCACTATTCTGAGCCTGCAGAAGGATCTGACGATCAATTGGATAGTATTCATGTGAAACTGAGTAGAGAGTAAAGTAAGTTCCGGTTTCTCCAATTGTATCAAACTGAACCCACATAGCAATAGATAGCTCAGGTGTTCCGAGTTCAAAGGGAACAACTAGAGATGCACTGGAAGATTTACTTTCATCTGTAAAATGAAGATCATATTTAATTGTGATCTGTTTTCGACAGTCTTCTCCAGTCAGGTTAAAGGGGCATTTACAATAGAAGTCATTGGTGAGGTCAATACATGTAGCAGTTGGAGGACATCTACCAAGAGCACAATCATCAATGTTTTCATCACAGTTCTCTCCAGCATATCCATCAGGACAAATACACTTGTATCCTACACCATTATCAATACAAGTAGCACCATTTTTGCAAGCATTAGCAGCACAGGCATCATATTCATACTGACAACCAACTCCAGTATAGTCCTTAGAGCAGGAGCAATTCAATCCATAGCCAAGGTCTTTGCAAGCTCCACCATTCATACAAGGATCTCCAATACATCTCTGAGGAGAAGTTTCACACCTTTTGCCATCAGTTCCAGAGGGACAAGCACAGAACACATCTTGGAAGAGATTAACACAAAGAGCATTATTCTCACAAGTAGATTCATCACACCGCTGTTCATCAATCTCACACCGTTTTCCCTCCCAGCCAATTGGACACTGGCACTCAAAATCACCAACAAGGTCTCGGCATCTTCCACCATTTCTGCAAGGAGAAGAAGCACAATCATCCACATTAGTCTGGCAGAATTCTCCAATATATCCGTCTCGACATTTGCATTCATATCTGTTATCAAGATCCAGACACTGTAGCGTTCCAGTTGGATCACAGGGCGCAGTACTACACTCATCATTTTCGTTCTCACAGGTTGGTGTGCTAGAAAACCCAGGTCTACATTCACATACAAAAGAATCTAGATTGCTCTTGCATGTTCCACCATTCTTACATGGTTCATCCACACAATAGTCAATGGTATGCTGGCAGTTTTTACCTGTATATCCAGGTTCACAGGAACAAGTATACCCATTAACCTGGTCTACACATAAACCATTGTTCACACAGGGGTTGCTGGCACAGTCATCAATATTAATATCACAATCAGCTCCAGTCCAACCAGTCTCACAGATACATTCATATCTGAACAGTTTATCTATACACATTCCTCGGACACAGGGTTCATCCACGCACAGGTCAACCTTTTCTTCACATCTTTTACCAGAAAACCCATTTGGACAATCACATTTAAAGTCATTTACCAGGTCGGTACAATTTCCTCCCAACAAACATGGCTGCTCTAAACAATCATCAATATTGTTTTCGCAAACTGTTCCCTCCCATCCCTCTGGACACTGGCAGGTGAACCTTCCCTGTGGCAGGGTCTTGCAGGAACCTCCATTATTACAAGGGTTTCCATTCTCGGAGCACGGATCTTCAGTAACATCACAATTCTCTCCCTTAAAACCATCTCTGCACAGACATTCAAAATTTCCTGGACCAGGCAGGTTTTTGCACATAGCTCTGTCTGGGCAGGTTCCCTCAACACAGTCTGAAACTTCCTCTTGACATTGAAGACCGGAAAATCCTTCTGCACAGTCACACCTATAGCTCTGAGGTAGATCAACACAAGTAGCTCCATTATAACAAGGTCTTGAAGCACATTCATCAACATCAACCTCACAATATTGACCGGCGAACCCAGCTGGACAGTAGCATTTAGATCTATGAAAGATGGGCACACAAAGTCCTCCATGCATACAGAGATCGTCATCACAATCAATAGCATTGCAGTCATCCTTACTTGCTGCTCCAGTGGTCAGGGTTTCCTCTCCAGACTGGCACTTGAAGCATTGTCTCTGTCCACTAAGAGGTTGGAAATGATTAACAGGACAAGGAGCACATGGAGCAAGTCCAGTAGGACTGTAGTATCCAGGAGAGCATTTTTCTTGGCATAAATCAGGACTGTTTGCTCCAGGCTGGAAAGTAAACATACCAGCAGGGCAGGTGGCACATTCTCTGAAACCATCAACTGGGGGTTCCTGAGAGAAGCTACTTCGGGGGCATTCCAGACAGGGAACCAGACCAGTTGGGCTGTATGTTCCATATCCACAGACTGGAACACAATCTCCTTCAGTTTTAGATCCCTCATCCCTAGTCCATCTACCAACTGGGCATTGTTTACAGGATCCTTGTCTTGCTTCATCTTGATATTGTCCTTTGGGACATCTAGTGCAAGCTGTTTCTCCTTGCTCGGCAAAGAATCCTGCAGGGCACTCAAGACAACGGGGAACAAGAGAAGAGGCAATCTTATTAAGAACTTCTCCCTCACTGCAAGCAAATCCTCGAGATACTCCAGAACTCATGGCAGTCAAAGTTGGACACTGTTCTCCAACATCAACCTTTGTGAGAGCTTCAATAACTTCATTGGTACCAATGGTCAGATCAAAGATGAGTGAGTGGGTTTGTCCACAGAGCTCATATATCCTAGGCTGAGAGATGCTTGGGTCAACCATCATAGTGTAGATTAGATCCAGATTGTTACCTCTTACATCTCCAATCATTGTTTTCTTAAAGTTGACTTGAATGTTGACTCCACCAGCAGAGCAACGTCTGGTCAGGACCTGACTCAAAGCTTCATAGTTCTGTTCAACATTAGCAATATACTGATCATAGCATTCAGATGGAACTTCAGCACTCTGAGTCTTGTATGTCATTGTAGCAACAACATCGTAGGTGGATTCCCTGGTATTCTCTGTAACACAGTCAGGAACAACACGAGATGGTGTCCAGTCTGATTTTGGCTCAGTATTCTGACAGGAATAAGTCAACTGTTGTTGTCCATCTGTAAACCTGAAACCAGGTCCACAGGTTGCTGTGCATTCATATCCATCAGGACGACCTTCACAGTTAATATCTCCATTTGCAGGTGGTTTGAGCTCCCAAGCTACACAAGGTGTTGGCTGAATAGCTACTTGGAAGTGACAGGTTGCTACATTATCATTTTTGTCTCGGGCATATACAGTAACATTCTCATAGTCTCCGGTCTTAATCAGAGCTCTTTCAGGGGAGAAGGTAATAGTAACCTCTCCAGAAGGATCACTTGCATTGACTTGACCCCGCAGATTTTTGAAATTGACTGGATATTCAGTTTTCTCTTCCACAAGCTCAATCACAAAACTTTGCGGGCAGGTGAGAGTGGGAGGAGTATCATCAGGAACAGTAAGATTAACCTGACAAATTGCAACATTCCCATCATAATCATATGCAAAGTATTCAATCATCATGTCCTCAAACGTAGAGAGGGGTAGGCTGAAACCCTCAGGTTTAACATCAGTCCTTGCAATACTTCCAGAATTATCCACAGCCACAGGTTGTGTAAAGTTTACGGGTAAAATGAACCCATTTGGACCCTTTTCTACAACAATTGGATGAGCAGGACAGTTTCTGAATGCAGGGGGCTCATTGTCAACACAGAAGGGGAAACCATTGTTGAAACCTAAATAATATTTAAATAAGAATAAATTAACGAAGTTAAACCAAACGTAAAAAATGTTCATTACCTAAATGTCTATTTTCCTTTGGTTCATCTTCACATCCCATTAGCTCAAATTTCAAGCATGGATTCTTGTCAAAACTTACAATACCCAGGATGACAAAGCGGGCACGCACAGGCAAGGGTAGAGTGATCATTGCCAGTTCACCATAGTTTCCTAAATACACGTTCATAAACACTAAATATAGAAATAAATTAATGTGAATTTAAAATCTAAGCTTTAATGATGAGTTTTCCAATTAATTATGAGTGACTAGTTTTTTAAAAACATTTTAGTGAGTAAATTTCCGTAAATTTTAAGAATACATTTTCCGCCATTGTTTTTTTTTGATAATAGTTAAAGCACTGTCGTTACTCAACTCCTTATTCATTAACCTTAATGTTAAAAGCAGTCCCTTTAATTACCTGGATCCCTGGCAGTAAGATTAATGTTAAAGGCAGTCCCTTTAATTACCTGGATCCCTGGCAGTAAGATTAATGTTGATGACGGTCCCTTTAATTACTAGGATCCCTGGCAAAAAGATCAATGTTGATGATGGTCCCTTTAATTACCTGGATCCCTGGCAGTAAGATTAATGTTGATGACGATCCCTTTAATTACCTGGATCCCTGGCAGTAAGATTGAAGTTGGGAAAGTAAACAACGTAATTATCCTGTTCATCCTCCTTGTAGAAGAACCTAATCTCTGTAGGACGACCGACCACATCGTCAGTAATTACTCCCTAAACAATGCAGATCTTAGATATTGACAAGAAGTTTTGTTTTGTTTAAGAGAATGAAATATCATAATAAATGATCATGACAAGTATTATTGCATAAATATTTTGTAGAGCAGTTCCTCTCTTGACCTTCATATTTTTTATTCAATCATTTTCTAGGAACTAGGATTGAAAATAGCTACAAAATCTTCATGAATTATTTTACACCCTCTAAATTTATAAATGAAAAGAATTAGAAAAGAGCCTGAAAAACTTGCATTTAATTAAATCATTAGCATTACACCTCCAGAATTAAGAAGGATAGGCAATACATTAAAATATAAATGTGAACTAAGAACTTAAGTAGCTCTTTTCGTACCAGCCTAAATTCTCTTTCCGAACGAGAATAGTTAAACATCAAATCATTGCATGGTTTTAATCATGAAACAAGCTGACAAATATGAAACTAAACTATTGTGGAAGACGATGCCTGGCCGCGTTAACTAGTTCCACAAGAGTCAACAGAATAAGATAGAACGGATACGGGGCATAGTACTGATAAAACATCTACACGTGTGATTTCGATATTGACTCTAGTTCTGAACCCTCTAGTAATAAGTTATAAGAAATATATATATACTGGAAGTTATTTATGCGTTGTTATTTAGAGTCTGACTCACGTCCTCTATACTATAATATATTTAAAGATATGGATTCTGCAAATATCAGGTTGCAAATATATAAGGAATAGCAAATAGAGTTTAAGTTTACTGAATAGAATATTACCAACCTTGACAAGAATAGCTTTGACTCTATGTATAGTTCCTAGATCTACGGATACATAAGTAAATGCTTCCTGCTGACCACACCATCCAGTCACAGCGTTCAGTCTAATCAAATATAGAGATAATTGGAAGAAGAGACGAGAGGATGGGATGTGATGGTTCTAAAACCTGTAGAAGAAAGGATGGAAAAGGATTGTATGGAGGGAGAATGAAACCTGGAGAAAAGAAGAGAAAAAGAGAATGGGAAGTGTATGGAAGGTATTAAAATCTGGGGTTAAAAAGATGGAGGAGGATTTAATGGAGGGAGAATGAAAACTGGAGAAAAGAAGAGAAAAAGAGAATGGGAAGTGTATGGAAGGTATTAAAATCTGGGGTTAAAAAGATGGAGGAGGATTTAATGGAGGCAAAATGAAAACTGGAGAAAAGTAGAGGAAAAGAGGCTGAGAAGTGTGGGGAAGGTAATAAAACCAGAGAAAAGAAGAGGAAAAGAGGCTGGAAAGTGTAAAAGAAAAATGAAACCTGGAGAAAAGAAGAGGAAAAAAGGCTGGAAAGTGTGAAAGAAAAATGAAACCTGGAGAAAAGAAAAGAAAAAGAGGCTGAAAAGTTTTAAAGAAAAAGAATAGGAAAAGAGGCTGGAAAGTGTTAAAGAAAAATGAAACCTGGAGAAAAGAAGAGGAAAAGAGGCTGGAAAGTTTTTAAGAAAAATGAAACTTGGAGGAAAAAATAGGAAAAGAGGCTGGAAAGTGTGAAAAAAATGAAACCTGGAGAAAAGAAGAGGAAAAGAGACTGGAATGTAGGGATGGGACTAAAAACTGGAGAAAATAAGAATAAAAAGAGACTTGGAAGTATACAGAAGGGAATGAAAACTGAAGAAAATAAAAAAAAAATAGATAAAAATTTAAATAATATAAGGAAGATGAGGATGGGAAATGTAGAAGAACTATTAATGGAATAAAAGAAAATATAAGAAAGCTAGAAGATTTGCCCCACCCAACAAATAAATCTTATAATTACTTCAAATTTTTTAAAGAAATAAAATCTAACACAACTACACCCCAAATAACAATTTACAATTCTTGCAAATTTAAATAAAATTTCAAAATGAAAATTGAATTCAAAGTGGTTAAAATAAAATTTCACATCACGTTAAAAATAAAATTATTCAACTAGAAATTGTATGAGATGACACGGAAGAGTGGAAACGTTGACATGAAATATGCTTTTTATTCAGAAGAAATTTCATATGTTTATTATAAAACTATATGACCGGAACAGAAGAGTGGGAGAAGAGAGGGGGGGGTTTGTGAAAATCCAAAAGTTTAGTATTAAAGGTTGGAGGTTGTGAAGAAAACATTTTTATTCAAAATTCATTTTTGGATTTAAGTTTTTAAATCAAAAAACAACTTACATTTATAAAATAATTTGAAAGATGTAGAAAATACAAAATGTTATGTTTTAGTTTAGAGAAATGGTATTTATAATTCTGTCAATGTCAGGGCGTTGATATACTATCGTATATGTACGTCGTAAACGATTTACATACCATACCATTCTATGTTTAGTTGGGGTTGGGGTAATAAAATATGGGATATGAAAATGCTTTTTTCCTCTTTTAGCGACAGGAGAGTGGAGCATATAAAATGTGGGTCCGGGGGGGGGGGGGGGGGGTATGAAGGTAAAGAGATTTTTATAGGCAATTGTGGGACTTTTCATATCCGCAAGCTGAGAAATTTGTACGTGTGTGGTGTACACTGCAAGGTTTGCAACATTGGGCACTTGCCACAAACTCTGATTTTTGAATCACTATATCTTTTCAACCCATTGTCGTAGACCTTAGATATTTCAAACTATGAATTATGTTAAATAAAATAGTGCAAGTTTGAAATATCAAAGGTTTAAACCATCCTGTGGCAGAGATATAGGGATTAGAAATGTAAGTTTTTGGCAAAAACTGTTTTTTTACAGACAGACAAGCAAAGAATATATATAGATTTGTATCTGTATATGTAAGTAAAGGTACCTGATATTCTTTGCTTCGTAGTTTCCTCTCTCTGAAGTAGCATTGATAGCGGAGTCAGGAATAAGTCCACTAGTAATACCCAACGGTTTAACAATCTTGCATTCTGGCTGCTCAACGCACTCAATGGGCTGGGGGTTGATGGGAATGTATCCGGGCTTGGTGCAGGTGAACTGAACCTTGGATCCCTGCTCGTAGCTTTCAGAGATCTGGGTTCCGTCCGCAGGACGTCCGGGATCCTCGCAGACTGGTCCTTCACACCTTAGGTTTCCAAAGTCCCAAACTCCGTCCTCCATACAGGTGACAATATTGGTTTTTTTACTGCTCTGTCCAACCAGCCTGAAGGCTTCGTCCTTGCAGCCGAAAAAGAAGTTTGCCTGGTATCTGGTATCAATAAAATCTCCGTAGTCTGCTCCTGGTATAAGAGGTGGTACTCCGCAGTCTATCCTAGGACAGCTAGGTTCTGCTCCTGACAACCAGTAGTCCGGACTATCGGGTCGAGGATCATAAACACATTGCCTGAATCCAGCGGTGGTTCGTCGTCTCAAAGGTTTTCCCATCTGGTTACAGGTCAAACTGATGTTCTGTCCGAAGGGAATTTGAAGTTCTTCAGGTACTTCTCGTCTAACCTCTAATCCTTCAGCTGGATCATCAGCTAGTGATGTACAGGTTGCTTGGCGGCATTCTGGTACTGAACCGTTCCACTGTCCACTAGAAGTGCAGAGAAGTGACGGGTTTCCCTCCATGAGGTATCCGAAGTCGCACATGAACTTGATCATGTCTCCAAACCTGTAGTGCTCCTTGCTGGTCAGAATACGTCCATTTTTAGGGTAGTCCAGTGCAGGGCAGAGCTTTGGAACGCATGTCTTGTTTAACCTGTAGATATCTCCGTCTCTCTCTCCGGTTTCAAATTCGGGAATATAAAACTCAGATGTTCCGTCCTCAGTAAACAGTTCATAACCTACATTACACTTGCAGGAGAAGCCCCCGGCAGAGTTTAAACATTTCTGGTCACATCCACCATTCTTATCCAAGCATTCATTCACATCAGAGCAGGAGGTTCGGCTGCAGCCATTGATTTCAACTCGCATACATGGAGCACCTTCAAAGTTAATAATGTTTAACCGAACATATCTAGCTTCAATAGGATTAGGCAGGTTCATGATGGATTGAGAAGCTCCGTCCAGTACTCTAAACTCAACCTGAGATCCGTCAACATTTCTTAGCTCCTTGAATTTATCAGATAGTTGATCAGCATACATGAGTCGGATTGCACTGGGATATCCGAGTCTACCATCTAACCTTTGAACTCCTTGGGTCCTGAAACCACGAATAATGGTTGGAGCGCGTAGGTCTATAATGACATAATTTCCAAGGTTGGGGTCGGCTGCGACGGCAGGTCCCGCCTGTTGGGACACTCCGCACCATCCTAAACTAGAGCTGAGACGGACCATATTCTTACTGTATCCTTCCTCAGTACCAGATACATAGATGCTGGATTCAGGGAGACCACCGTTTGCTAGTCCTAGATCTATAACAGGTCGACACTCCAGTACTGGTTCCATACCCTCCATACACTTACAGTAGTGTGCACCATCAGTATTTACGCACTCTGTGCTGGAGAAATCACACTGGGGGTTGGCACACTCGTTGATGTCTTCACAGGTGGGAACGTCAATGAACTCCTCATCAGGACCGCAGGTGATGATGTTAGTACCAACCAGACGGAAACCCTTGTGACACCGGACATAAGCACGGTCCTATAGAATATAAGGTCAGAATAAGAAGAGGAAATGAAAAGAAATAATTAAAAATATAGTAAATCTCTGTTTTGTGATTAGATATTTGTAATTATCTAATACCTGGAAATAATATGATTTAGATTCATCCTCTATAAAACCGTTTTCTATCTCAGGCAACTTGAAACATTTCATCCTGGTGCAGGTTGGTACGAAGCTACTCCAGGTCCCGTTGCTCTGGCAGAGCAGGGTTGGGAGACCTGAACGCTCGTATCCCGGTTCACATTCATACCTGGATAGAGCAGATGAAAATATCATTAAGAGGGTGAGGGGGGGGGGATGATAAAAGTTTATTTAAGGTTCGTTTGCTCACCTGATAACAGTTCCGTAGTTGAGTCCCTTTCCTGCAAGTTGGTTTGGAACTGCATGCTCTACTTCAGGTAATGGAGGACACTTAGAGGCTAAACAATTCAATCAATTAATTAATCAATCAGTTAAGAATAAACAAGTTGCTGCTCCATTATTTCTGCCTTGAGTTGCAATTTATAAAGAATCAGCAATACAATATTGTATACAATATCTTTATTATATGTAGTATTGTACTATTGTATGGGTTCAGATAGAAAGGTTGATTGTAATGCCACTGTATTACACAAGTCTGTATTGTAAGTATGCTACGTGACAAAGAATGCAAAATATAGAATAGGTATTTAAAAATAATAATATCCATTAACCTTCATGACGTATGGGAAATTCACAAAAACTAAAATGAAAAAGATAAGGTGGGGGGGGGGGAGATTGAAATGAAACAACAAAATAAGTAAAACTGAGATGGTTTAACATCTATCATAATAGTCATAATAAGAGTATTAAGAGATGAGATCTGCAAGAAGCCCCAGCTTAGGCCACCGAGACCGACTAGAGGTAGCGTCCGATCAGTACCGATAAGATAATAATGATTTATAACCCTTAACATATATCAGCGGACCTTGACAGTTAGGTAGAGGGCTCCAGCTGCCATCCTCTAGACACGTGATAGATTCTAGAGGATTTCCGCTAGGGAAGGAGAAACCAGCATAACATTGATACAGAGCTACACCCTGAATATAGTTGAGTTAATTCAAAGATCAAGAACAGATTATGAATAATCATTATAAGGATTTTAGGATCAGGATTCGGATCTAAGGATCAAATTGGGATTGTAAAATCAGGCTTGGAATCTGAGTATCAGGATAGAGATCTTAAGGTCCAAAAAAAGGATCTGGGTCTAAAAAGGGACCTTCGGACAAATTAGGGATTTAAAGAACAAGATAGGGATCTAAGGAATCCAAAATAATGTCTAAAAAAGGGACCTTAGGAGCAAACTAGGGATATTAGGACCAAGATAGGGATCTGAGAGCTCTGCTTTTGATATATAAATCAGTAATGAGATCTTTGGATAATGTTTAGAATCTTTTAATCATGATCAGATTCATAATTTAAGTCAGAAGTTTATGTGATTTTCATCCAGGACTTGGAATGATTATATTTCACCTTGAATGTAACATTAGAAGCTTCTACAGCAAACCCGTTATCTATCTGTGGAACCGGTCCACAGTAAACAGTTTGACAAACAGGAATATATTCTCGATCCCAGGATCCTCCGGTCAAACAACGGATACGAATATCACGCACACCTACAAAAAAATTCAACCGTTGATAAAAAAATGTTTTTATAAAAACATAATTTACTTTAAAAAAATTTTTTTTTACCTGTGGCAAAAACTTGACCAGCTGGGCAAGTAAATGACACAACTGAGCCGAATGTAGTATCTCGGCTAGAAGCAATGGCTCCGGTTCCGGCAACAATATCCGGGCAGTCCGCAGAGTAGATGGCGGAGAACCCAACTCCGCCCTTGGTAGAGTCAGTGATAAACCTGAAAATTAACATATTAGATCAATCTTTAAAACATTCATATAATGAAAGTTTAATAATTTTTCTTACAACAAAAAAGTTTATGAAAACGCTTTCATGAGTAAGAAAGAAATTCAGATATCCAGCATTCAATATTCATTATTCATGCCGTAAGAACTACTATAAGGTTGATGTAAATTGAAAAGATGTCTGAATAGTATTTAAGATAAAAAACTATATGGGAAACAAGAATTCTAAAACTATTACAAAAGAATTGGGTCTTTGTCGCAAACTGAAATTTTCTAATCCCTGATGGTAAAACATATAATATTTCAAACTGATTTTTTTTGATCTAACAGAATTCAAAGTTTGAAATATCTAAGGTCCTAGACATTTGGTTGCAAAGATATAGGAATAATTATATCAGAGTTTGTTGCAAAGTCTCAATTTCTCGGGATGAAATGTAGCTGTTCAATAGATAAGTGAGAGGACAAAGCCAAAATGTCCGCCAAAAATGGTTAACAAAATTTAAAAAAACTGTCTAACCTAACATTAAGTTCTCCCCGCTCTGCAGACAGGGTTAGATCTGGAGTACTGTATCCGGTAAATCCGTCGTCGGGGTGAAGCTTTAATCCTCCTTCTCCATCAAACACCTAGAAAAGGATTAAATTAAATGTCTTTATTTAAACACCTACTTAAAAATACACATAATACCCTAACTGCCCTAAGTACCACTCAAAAATGTTCCTGAGAACCCCAAAAATCTCTACATTTGGCACATTTATCAATTTATTTCGGGTATTTTTCTTTACTTATCATTGCTTGATGGTCAATCTGGCATTCTTTGGCCGGACAGATAGTTCACAATCCCAAAAATGGGGGTATTTAGAGTTTTGAAATATTTAATTTAATAATAATTAAAATGTATGAACTTGTCTTAATCTATATAATAAAGCTATAATAAAACAGTCATATATATTTGTTTGTATGTCAGCTATAGGAGCTACAGCCGGCCAAACGACTGCACTGGACCGAAACTTTTTGAGGGACCCCTAAAGATTTTTAAATTAATTTTTTTACATTTCGATTTTAAAAATTCCACGGGCAACGCCAGGCACTTGAGCTAGTTCTACAATAATACCGAGTGTAGACTGTAAAATTAAAGAAACAATGCCAAGACAAGCAGACATTATACAGGTGGTATATACAAGTAATTGCCTTGTACAAGGCCTCTTCTAAACAATGCTTGGCTAGATTGTTCTATTAAAATACTGGCACAGATCAGCTTGTGCAGTGATATATCTAATTTTATAATGATGAGAGCTATTTGTTTAAGAAGATACATTGTAAAAACCATTTTGGTTTTAATTCAGTAACATTATATTTATAATCAGATTTCTCCTTATATTTCAATAAAACTTCTAGTTCAATATTAAAATTCTATAAAAGGTGAGATGACAGTTTTAATCCAACCCCTAAAAATACATATCCCCCCCCCCCCACCATAAGACAGGTGATCCCATTCTTGAAATATTAAAATATCGTGATTTGTGAGAACTACAGTGATACAGGGTCCTTTTAAAACAGAACTTTGACCCGTTAAACTTTCTAATTCCTCTGTTAGAAATGTGGTGGGGGGGGGGGGAGGGAATCTTACTAAATTATCCTCATCTTAGGTTGATTGACAGGCTAACGCCAATTTGAGGCTTTTATTTAGAAAATAATTGATTAGATGTGTGAGAAATATATGTTTGGACAATGTCTACTATCCAGGGTTTCAAGAGAGTGTACTTACATTTAATTTAATTCGTAAAAAATAGAACACAAAATGTTAAAATTGAAATGACATGAAACTTTTCCAGGTTTGATAAAAATACCCCCCCACACTCAAATGTTCGCCCCTAAAACTAAAAACCTGAAGAATTTAAAAGAAATTGTGGGAATATGGGAATATGCCAGGATTCCCAGTTTCACACTGCTGTCTAATATCTTACAGGTAAATTACTACTGTCTATTGTCTAGTGTCTAGCAGAAATCGGACATTATGTGTTGTTAATCCCTGTAGAAAGCATAAATCTATATATTTTGTGGTCTGACGGATTAAACTTAATTCTTAAAGGGACAGTAAAGGAAAAATGAAAGGGGGTATAGGCTGAAAGCTAATCACTTTAGCTCTTGATCGCGACTCATGAAAGTTATATCTGATGCTCCTATCTCGAGAAATTGATATAAAACTGTGTCAAATATATACGAAAATTAATATATATTAAATTTTGTATAAAAGTACTGGGTTTAAACAGATCATATTCAGCAAATAAGCAACCAATCTGAAAACGATGATATCCCAGAGAAAGCTAATTGTAAATTAGGTTTACTTTTATATTTGCTATTTCTATTTTCAATAGATTTAATTCATAATATTATTTTCACGTCCGTATTACTTGACCAGAAATTCCACCAATGGCAGTGCAGTAAAGTGGTCACGTGATACAGGCGGACACACGTGACCAGCATACTGCTCTGCCATTGGTGATAGTTCTGGTCACGTGATTTAAGTTTCAAATTTTCTAAATTTTACATATTTGAATTTTCGTATAATTTTAACACAGTTTTATATCAATTTCTCGAGACAGGAAGATCAGATAAAACTTTCATGGGTCGCGATCAAGAGCTAAAGTGATTAGCTTTCAGCCTATACCCCCTTTCATTTTTCCTTTACTATCCCTTTAAGGATAACCTTAAAGAACATTTTATCAAAAGTTGCAAAAAATCTGATCTTTGCCTACCAGTGCTTGAAGAAATACAAGTTACACCTTCAATTGTCATGTCATGTCATATGTCAAGTTTTCATTGTGGGTGTAGTTTAATGTATATTGAATAACCCTCTATGTACACTGTACTAAGTGTGTAGTTTAATGTATATTGAATAACCCTGTATGCACATCTAATCAGATTACAGTCAATACATCATCTTCTACATGTTTGTTGTTTTCATTTTCCAGCTTATCTCAATATTAATGCATGGTGTGGATACTAGACAGAAGACACGATACTAGATGTTTAAATGATACTGGATACTAGATGTAAGATAATATTGAAGTGCAGGATACTTGTTGCAAGTGATACTAGATACTGAATATAAGTACAGGATTCTTGTTGCTTGGTACTGGATATTGAATATAAGTACAGGATACTGGTTGCTTAGTACTGGATATTGAATATAAGTACAGGATACTAGTTGCTTAGTGCTGGATATTGAATAAAGTACAGGATACTACTTGCTTAGTACTGGATATTGAATGTAAGTATAGGGTACTTTTTGATTGCTACTGGATATTGGATATAAGTTGCTTTGTACGGCAATTATTGCATATAAGTACAGGATACTAGTTGCTTGCTACCGGATATAGAATATAAGTACAGGATACTAGTTGCTTAGTGCTGGATATTGTATAGAAGTACAGGATACTAGTTGCTTGGTACTGGATATTGAATATAAGTACGGGATACTAGTGACTTGGTTCTGGATATTGCATGTAAGTACAGGATAGTAGTTGCTTAGTACCATGGATATTATATAGAAGTAATGGATACTAGTTATATTGATACTGGATATTGGTTACTGGAAAAAAGCAAAAGTACAGGGCATATGCCATAGGGGTTTGGAAATGGATACTGAGGCAAGTGTATTTAAATAAAATAATCGGATAATCAAATTATAAATGCCCGCAGCGGATATCGAGATCAAGCTATCGGAATTCTGAGTATCCAACAAAAAAGTTAACAGCTCTGAACATACATTTAAATCCGTGGTTTTGAATAATGGTATTTTGCACCAAAGGAAACTGAGACTGGATCATCATGAGTAATTTGCAGTACTGAGTACACTACATACAAGTTTTAAGCCAAGCAACGGTTAATTGATACAATTGGTGCAATAATAAACCTCATTTATTTTCATAGCAAAACAAAATGAGAGTGAAAGTGTTTAGATGAGAAGGTGATGTAAGGGGGGGGGGAGATGACTAGTATTTTCTTGATCAATTTAAACACAATTCACAAGTTTTTATTCCCGCATCAGTATATTTATAAATCTATTAACATTGATTGATGTATTGTTAACGGTTCTAAATTGACATTAAACCAGGCCTGCTTTAAGGCAAATACATTCCAAACCTTCTTTTTATCTAACAATCTTGAGTCTGGCTTTCTCTAAACCTAACCTGGCTTGGAATACATGAGCTAAGCCGACCGAGGAATTTCAAGCTTGAGGCCTGATGCCTGATTTTATTTCCACGACAGATGTTAAAATATTTCGTGTTGGAAAGCACTAACGGAACATATAATACTCAAAACCAACTAAAAGTCCCCTTCAGGCCCCCCCCCCCCTCCCTGTCTATATTATATAAATCATATCATCTGGTTTTATAAAGAACTATGTTGATCTGTTGAGAGGGTATGAGAGAAAGCTGAACAAGTTCTAAACGGTTCTTTTCTTAAAACTAGTTTATTTAAATCCCACATTATACCGGACTATAGGCAAGGCCCAGTTTAAGGGCTTAGTGGGGGGAGGGGGGGGGGGGGTTAAAAAGAGAGGGAAAATAATATTTAAAAACAAGTTGTTAAAAACTTTCTTTAAAAAAATTATATAAAAAAGAAATGATATAGGTATGTAATTTTGAGTAAAAAATTATTAAAACAATAATTAAAGCTTTTCCATTTTTTGAAAAAATATATATTTAATACTCAAACGATAAGAATGTTTACAAACATGAAACAACTAAACCAAATTAAAACAAATTCGACCCCAACCTAGCTGTTGAGTCTGTTGCCATCACCCATATATTGGTCATCGAGAGAAATCTATAGTTGCAGTTTTTATATGAAGGAGGGCCCATCTTGACCTGGCGGCGTCATACAGTTAACGTTACAACGCTGCTTTATAACTGTATACAACAGGCCAATTTTACAGGCAAGTCCCTCAGGCGTTTGAAGAAATTTAAAAAAGATGTTGGGGCCTGATAAATATTTATTCTAAAATTGATATATGATCCAAAAAATATCAGATTAGAAAATGTAGAGATCTCAGATAAAGTATTGATTCTGAAAATTATAATGGATTGGCATAAACGTAGAGTGTTAATATTGAACGTGAGCAGAAACTAAGGAAAGAGAACTCCGAGATATAATTATGCGCACAGGATGAAGTTCTTGCAACATACTTGCTCATTCATAAATACACAGACTGCTCTGCGAAAACAGGAAGAAAACAATTAAGAACAACATAAAAAATACACACGGAAAAAATCAATCAAGGGGGGAGGCGTAGAAAAAAATTAGAATTTGTCATTTAAACTTTATTCAGATTTTACAAAGAAAACAAACCATTAGCCAGCATGAGAGATTGGCTTGGAATTAATTTAAAAAGTATTAAAGTAGAAGTAGAAAGAAAAATTAGGGTTGGGGAGAAAGATAGAACGTAGAAATAAAAATTAGGACTGGGGAGAAAGATAGAACGTAGAAAGAAAAGTGGACTGGGGAGAAAGATAGAAAGTAGAAATAAAACTGGACTGGGGAGAAAGATAGAACGTAGAAAGAAAAGTGGACTGGGGAGAAAGATAGAAAGTAGAAATAAAACTGGACTGGGGAGTAAGATAGAAAATCTTACTTAAAGAAAGATAAGAAGATGGATAAATTATAAGATTACATCACGGTTGTATTGAATCCAACCCCAGGATACGAGAAGGGAGGAAGGATGCGGGGTAAAAAGAGTAATGTGCGAAGCATGCACTGTTAAATAATTCTTCCCTGCGTTCTCATGTACACACACCAACTTGCTCAAGGTTCAAATACACCTGTGAGTGTTTGTGTGTAAATGAGTTTTCTCATTTTATGTTTACGACGTTGTTCTTTAGCACGTTAAAGTCTTTTCGGATGAAAATATTTCAAGTGCACGTGGATATTTTGTAATAAATCTTTCCGAGATTTTTTTACAACCCATATCACTCTTCACACCCTCCCATATTTACAGCTATATTTTGCCAACACATCCCCCCCCCCTTTCCAACCATTTAGAACCTCCTTTATATTCGTTTAATTTGCTCTCTCATCCCTAAAAACTTGTTGTGCTTAATTTCTTTTGTATCCCTCCCCTCCCTCCCCATCACTCTGTTATTTCTCCGTACCCTGTAAAAGTAATGGTTGATTTCTAAGAAAGTATTTCAATTTATTCTTTGTACAGTTTTGAGAAATGATTGTAGGATATTGGTGTTGCAACCCTACAGCACTCTTGTTTATTTTCTTCTCAACTATTTTATGTACCCCTCTGTAATAACTAATTATGAAATTTATGCAAGAAACTTCAAAAACAAAAACAACAACATTTATTCAGGAGAACTAAAGAGGGTAAGGAAGGTAAGGAGTGGTAAGGAGTGGGGAAGGGGTTAAAAAAGGAGTGGGGAAAGGGATGGAAGGGAGTGAGGGAAGAGGGTTAGCAGGGAGTGGGAAGAAGGTAAGCTTTGGGAGAAGGAACTAAAATGAGCTAACTAAAATAAATTTATAAAAATAAATAAATTTCCTTCTCCATTTCTTGCTTTTAACACGGGAAATCTGGATAAAAATTTGGTATTTTTTATGAAAATATTCACAAGATTGTCAACAATAAGCATAATAAGCCTGCTAAAATAGAAGGATAATAAATAGGATTTCTACCAAACTGCGTCCAGGGCGAATGCAGTGTGCGCGCCTAAAGTTTCTCGTGTGCGCAAAAACTTGACTAAGAGCAATGAGCAAAAACCAGGTCCGAAGGCAGAACAAAAACTCGCACAGAAAAACGGGGCATTTAAATACATTAAACCCCGGCAGTAAAATTGATTTCAAATATATTTTTAAAATAACAACAAATTTTAAAAAAAGTATAATAAGAAAAAAATAATAAAATTTGGTAGAAATAGTTACCAAGAAAGATAGCTATGATTTGCATAAAGTGAAAGTTTAGAATTTGGTCACTAGGATTTACTGGGCAAACATTCATCGTGAGCTATGAATAAATTACACAAGCCACGGTATACACTATACAGATAGATAGATAGAAATACTACATATATATACATACATACATACATACATATATTGTATTAACCATATCTGTAGCGATTAAAAGCCACGGTATACACTATACAAATAGATAGATAAACATACTAGATATATATATACATCTAGTATGTATATCTATCTATCTATCAATCTGTATATTTGTATACCGTGGCTTTTAATCACTAGATATGTTTAATACAATATACAATTCTTCTAAATCTAACACTCTCAGATCCGTGAAACAAAAACTCTTTTTGCCAAATTTTCGGTTTATTTAACCGTCTTCAGGGCATATTCTTGCTTTAACTCGACCAAAGATTAATACAATATATGTATGTATGTACATCTAGTATGTATATCTAATATCTATCTTACTGTATATTAGTATGCCGTGGCTTTTAATCGCTAGAAATATGGTTAATACAATATATGTATGTATGTACATACATACATATATTGTATTAAACATATCTAGTGATTAAAAGCTAGATATTAAAACATTCTTTTATCGTTTTAAAGAATCTTTAACTGCGGTTAATTCCAAATATTCAGGGTTTATTAAAGCAATAATATCCTAAGAATTAAAATGTAAAGAAAGTTATTTCAGAAGTATACACATTTTTTGTACTGCAGCATACTGTCTCTGGGCTGTAAAGTAAACACAAGACAGATGTCACATTCTGACATGGGATCTATCTCTCACATAAAAAATAGAGCTCAGAGATAACTGGTTTCAAATTCAGGGGTCCATATAATTCCATCTGATTAATCCCAAATGTTGATTGATTGTTATTAGGGGCAGAAATAAACCATGTTGTTATTGTAAACAATTGGAAGTATAATGTCAAGTTGTAGAAAAAATTCCATTTTGCAGAATGTGTGCTGCAAGGAAGTGTTTATTTTTCTGTACATCATAATTCATCTCTTATATTAAATACTAATATTTACATCTTTTAACACTCCGAATGCAGTACACATTTCTGAAGTGTAGTACATGTACACAAAAACTTGTCAAAGTTCACAATGACATATAAAGTGTACTTTCATGCCCCTAAATGTACTTTCAACCCCGATCCCATTTGGGATCAGAAATGGAATTATATATGGACCCCTGGTTTCAATATGTGCGCAAAAAATACGCAACAGCAAATAACTTTCCTTGCCTTATTACCTTGAGTTCAAGAATGGGAACTTATAAATTTCCATGGAAATTTTACCTCAAAATTACAATATTCATATTTTGTCCTTTAAAAACTAATAACTCTTTTTATACATTTAAAGTTTTCCATGTCTGGTTTATACAATCACGTTAAACTTTAGTAAATTGCATGTGAGATTCAAACCTTAAATGTTTTTGTTTATTAAAGAGCTATTGAGAAGAACATGAATGTTTTTGAATTTGTTACCAGATAATTATGCTCTTCTCCTACTTGTGCATAAAATCAAGGAGCTAAGAGGTCACAAAGTCGTAACAATATTTGATCTTCTTCTTCTGTCCAGGTTAATGTAATATCAAACAGTTTTTTGACCCTTACCTGTATTTTATCACTGGGGTGAAGCCTGAGATCATTGAACCTCATTGATAGACGACCTCCGGTGGGGTGTACAACACGGAAAATACAATTCTAAAAACAAATTTGTTATCATTTATACATAAAGCTGTAAACTCTGTTTTCTTTCTGTTTGTTTGTTGTTCGATCATAACTCAGGAACCCCTGAGCCGATTTGCCTCAAATTTTTATTAGGGAACTCGGGAGATTCAAGGGAATGTTCTCAGCTTGGTTTTAGGATTCTAAGTTGAGTGGGTCGACTTTAATAGCGAAAAAAAATGTTCCCAGTTAAATCGTTTAAGTGCGGGTAAACGGCGAGAGAAACTTTTAGTAATCTGGGCAGCTCTGGGTTCCCAAGCTAGTATATAATAAACTAGTACTTTAAAAGGATAACCTGAGGTTAAATTAAGCATTGATTTTGTAAGAAAACCACGCAATTGTTTGTCGAAATGAGTTGAAGAAATATTATCTTAACAAATATTTTTTATATATTTAACCTTAACCCGGAAAGGAATGAAGAGGGTGAGAAGGAAAAAGATTGTATTTTGATAACATTTGAAATGATTGTGTAAGCACGGAAAAATAAAAACAAATGTTTTAAGATCACAAATGTTTTTCAGAAACATATATCTGATCTGTGTTAAACATTAGTTAAGAAACCATTGAACATTTTGAAGTCTTAATTCTATAAGAACTTATATATACTCGTATTTATTTATGAATACATTGCTAAAATAATAGTTTTGCTACGAATGAATCATATGAAAATCATATAATCGTATAATGTATTTGTAAACTTCGGTTATCAGAAACATTTATAAATACACCATTTCAAATCAAATAAATTATATCGTGAAGTATAAAAAATGTTATTCTTTTTTCTTTTAACGAGAACTCAGAAACAAGTGAAGAATACTGAAGAAGAATGATGAAGATAAATCTATATGGGTGTCTGTTTGTTTGTCCGATCATAACTCAGGAAACCCTGAACCGATTTGCCTAAATTTTGATTGGGGAACTCGGAAGAGCCACGGAAATGTTCTTAGCTTGGTTTTGAGATTCTAAGTTGAGTGGGTTCTCTTTAAAAGGAAAAAATAGCTAAAATCGTAATTTTTGACAAAGCGCGGGTAAATGGTGGGACTAACTATGAGTACCCTGGGTTCCCAAGCTAGTATATATAATGTACAGTCAATATGTGAAAAAAAACTGAAGAAGAATTGTAAAGGAAGGGTTGGATATCCTTGTAAAAAGATATCCTTGAATCCTGGGACAAGTAAACATTAATGCTCACGAAACTTATCTTTTAGTTTCATACAAGCATACAACAGTGAGTCAACATCAGGATCAGGAAGGAGAAAAAATATTCAAAATTCCGACCCACTGTGGTATGTCGGCGGAGAAGGGTGGAGGGCGGGGCTATGAACACGATTTCATGCATTTTTCGCGAATTTTTCAACTTTAGAATTTTGGCATTTGATCAAACCACATGAATATTGAGATTACTATGTCTGAGCGCGCATAATTGCATGCTGTGCGTTTATACGCGCGTAAATTTGAAAGTATGTAGAAAATCTTAGAATACTTTCTCTGCTTTGGATTTAAACCTTGAGGGCAGGGGTTCGGAGGCACGAAACAATATATAATAAAATGAACAAAATACGGAGGGAGAAAAGCAGCGTCTACTTTTTATAAAATAATCTTAAAACTGTGACACGAGAATACAATCCGTATTAAATCCGTGGATTTCAGGTTATTACGATACAAAATCCATATTTAGTTACAGAAAATTTGTTCCGCCTGACAAATTCTTAAAAAATAGTAGAAGAATAGGTGGCAGGGTTCAGATCTATTTAGAGGATTAAAGATATCTTTGGTCATCCAACCATTCCGGGAAAATACCAAGAAATACTTTTTTTCTCTAAATAAGTTTAAAGTCCTTAAAAAGGCGTATTTGATCTAAAATACCACCCGGGTTATCTGGAACTCAAGATCTTAATCAGAAATCACAAGAAAACATGAAAACATGAAAAAATGGTTTTAACTAAGCGTGGAGTAGATCAAATAAACAAAGAAATGATCATTCGCCACAAAATCTAATTGTTCTGATTCCAATATCTTTGCAACCTGATGTCGTAAATCTCAGATATTTTAGCTAATGAGTTTTGTTAGATAAAAAATGCAAAAATAAAGATTAATTTGAATATTAGAATTTGTGGCGAGTATCCAGTTTCTTGATGTAAACTCTACCTGATTAGCAGGGTAGGACGTTACTCCGTAGGCTGGAGATTCAAGGGTTCCATTCAATTTATTAATAACTGATGTACATCCAGCGTAATATTTCATTCTAAACACAAAAATTAAAAAAATATTTTTTTGGCCTTATTTGAGAAAATATTTCGATTTGTAAACAATTCAGGACAAAATGAGAATAGATATGAATGTACCAATGGACAATGAAATGTGTACAAAGTATCTTAAAATAAACATTGTGCAAAAAAACATAAAGTAAACAAACCTGTAACCACGTCTGCTGTCGGCCTGGTCGGTACGAGTGTATACATATAACCGGTTTCCTGTTGAACGAACAAATTGCGGATTTGAGTGCTGTTGTCCGGTCAGCGTGACCAGCTCAATAGCATTAGCATCTTCACCATCACGGATAAGAACAAAGTCTTTCTTAGGTTCCATGTCAAAGTCTTCAATTTCTAGTGTGATGATTTGTCCCTAAAAATATTGAATTTGTGCGTCTTGAAATTTGCAACTAATTTTATGTCATATGGGACTTAAACCAGTACAGCAAATCTCAAGAGTCAATTACTTTGGTAGGCGATTAAATCAAATACAATGAAGACGACTTTTGATTTCAATTTTGATTAATATCAAGCTTTTAAACAGCACAGATACACATAAACATGGAAAAAAAGAGAAGTGGTCGATTAAAAAAACTTCTCTTTAAATACTTGTCAACTGGTAATTCGAAAAAAGCTATTAAACATTCAAAACTTTAACAAAAAGTCGTCCTTATTGTATTGGTATAATCGTCTACTACTATAAACTACTCAAAATATTAAAATTAAATCAAAATTTGGTCAAAGCTTTTTGGAAAAATTGTCCTTTTCAGATATAATTGATTGTGCTCATGAATACGCGAATAAGGTACATTGTTTACAAATATGAAAACACAAGTATGCAATTAGTTCCATGAACAGCTGAACGTTTATACGAACTAAACTGAACAACTCTTCCTGGCTGTTTAGAAATTAGTTCCCGCATTTATACCAACTTCATGCTGCTTCTTTGTTGCTGCGCGTGTAGGAAATACGAGAAAAAATATAAAACGTGAAGATTTCCTTGAAGTACCATGCAATTCAAACAACATAGCGATACAATGCATTCAGACTCGAGGAATTCTTAAAATAACTCTTCATCCTTATTGTATACTCAGATTCCATCAATGTACAATGTACATACAAATATTGTATAGAGGTTTAGCTAAATTGAAAACTTCATTTCTCTCCATAAAAATAATAAATGTATATTCGACCTTACTTAAAGGAATGTACGCTATATGAAATGTAGGAATACAGTTTAAAAGATTTACAGAGCTTTTATATAGTGATAATCTTTTTACGTTGTACACAATAACCCTAAGAACTATACTGTACAATAGATATTAGAAAAAATAAAAGATATATTATTAGGGAACGGCCTGTGCACCCTGTTAAAGCCACATCTTTTATTTTAGCTTAAATCCTGATTGACTTTTTGACAATAAAAAAGAAATACCTTTAGAAATCTTGATTCTTGACCAAGAAAAATGAAATACGACATGTGTAATGTGTATAAAATAAAGAAAAATTAAGTAAAATAATTCTTGAGATTTAAGAGCCATCAACCAAATCTGGATCTTGAAATGAACATGGTTTCAAATATGAAATAAATGCAGTTAAAAAATTAAAAGCTATAAAGAGATCTGCATAGCAAAGACATTTTATTTTACAATCACTCTTTAAATCTCTAGTGCAGAGCCAGATTGTTTAAGAGGCTTTTTATAAAATACTCGTATTTTCGTAAATTTTTACTAGAATGAGTGGTTTCTGATTTAAGAAATCAAAACTGTTAGTTTTTCATACAAGTTGGAAACTAAATTAGATATGGATTTCTGTCTGTTCATGGTCTTGTTCTGTTTAAAGACCGTGCCTTAAACTTTAAAAAACTAATCGAATACAACAATTTTATACACTGAACTTATAGTTGAGATAGAAAAATAGCTTTTTAGGTAGGTGAGCAATGAATATTGTTTAACGATGGAAAGCTAACGATGAAAAATCTGAACTGATTGGCATTTCCTTTTTTGGTTGACAAGGTACGCTTTGTACAATCAGCTTATGGCAGAACAACCATTAATTCTGCTTAAACATTTCTCAATTAAGATAATGTACAGTAGAGCCCATACAACTGTGGAATAGGAAGACGACATTAAACTAATCCTATGGGTATTTGATATTCTTATAACTCAAATAGTTTTACTAGTGATTTAATAATCTATTTTAAAAGTTTAATGTGGATTGAACAGAAGAAGTTTCCTATCATAAATCTGTTTTACTAGTTTTTGCTCTAAACTTTAAAATGTGTCTGAATTTATGACAGCGTTTACATAGGTTGCGAGCCCGATTATTTGGTTTTAATCTTATGGATGCATTATTCTATTCACTAATCATCATATTGTCATTAAACCATATTATTAAGGGTTTCTGTTACCAAAACGAATCCTAAATTGGTATAAAGATTCTACTCTTAATTCAATTAATCAATTTTGTGTGTTTCCGTTTAACAAGTTAATGACTTGAAGTTTAGAAGGTATTGAAAGGCTTACTTGAGGTGCTTTGAAGATATGAAGGCATTCAAGTCCACCAGGGTATTCGCTGTTCCTTCCATATCCAGGACTAGTGAACACCTAGGCATAGTTCATCAGTTACTTGGTTATTTGAGAAGTATGTCTATCGTCTATTTGTCTACATTATGTGTCTTAAGGTTTATCTGTCTGGGTGTCTATATGTCTGTTTGTCTATCTGTCCATCTGTCTATATATCTAACTGTATATCTGTCTACCCGTCTATCTGTCTCTGTCTACCTGTCTTTCTGTCTATCTGTCTACCTGTCAATCTTTTTATCTATCTGTCTATCTATCTGTCTATCTGTCTGTCTATCTGTCTATCTATCTGTCTATCTATCTGTCTATCTATCTGTCTATCTGTCTATCTGTCTATCCTATACCTGGGGTTGGTTGCCGGCATTAAGCTCTCCTTCACACTTCTGTCCGTCTGAGTTAGTTGTCCAGCTAGCGTGGAAACCGGACTTCTCAACAACCTAGAGCATCACGTGTTAAAAGATAATAAAATACCTTAGACAATTTTTTTTCTTTAAAAATTATTAAATGGTTTACCTCGTCCGAACGGAATTTAATGATCATAAAGTTTGATGCGGAAGTAAACGTTCTTGCGGATATTCCTTCCAGGTTTCCGGAAAGGGTGGCGATATTTACGGCAGATTCTTCGGTTCGACCTCCTAGATAGAGCAAATATTAATATTTTTGGGAAATTTTCGAAAAAATCTAAAAAATTTCTATTAAAAAATGCTATTCACTTACCTCCCAAAATCTGTACTGTATCAAAGATCTTCTCAGTATCAAAATGTGAAAACTGAAAAAATAAAATGTATAAAAAATGTTTTTTTTGTCAAATCTTTTGTATCCACACTGTTTTTGTTTCAACAAAAATATTTCTATACAATTAGATACAGTTCTTATAAACAGCTGGAACACAAACCATTAATTACTTAAATTTAATTACATTAATTAAATCCGAGTAATTAGCAATTCTATTAGGATTCGTGGATTTGCATTCCATGCTTTCAAAACAGCTTCTGTAAGACTAAAAATAATGAACTACTATCTACTATCTAGCCAATAAAAAGTTGCCATGTGATAAGAATACCATAAATTGCATTTATTCCAATCGAACCTAATAGAAATTTATCAAGTTTGGACAAATAGTAAAAAAGTTCTTTCAGATAAAATAAAACCAGTCCTAAACGAGAAACTGTGGGGGAAGATGACCTATTTTAAATCTAGGCCAGTGTAAGGCCTAACCATTGCAATTTAGGACAGTGGAGAGGCTTGAATCAACAGGCCTAGTTTGGGCGATGCAAAATCAGACCACGCCCAACCTAGGCCAGGTTCAATCACAATACTAAATTTTAGACAAAACGTTAAATCATGACGAGTATGAATGGTTTTATCTATTATGTATCTTTCTGTCAAAATACAATCTTTACACCCTTCAACATCAACTATCCTTAGTCAATCTATTTTTATGAAACCATCTTAATCCCACCCTAACCCAAGTAACATTGCTGTTTAATCTAATTCTTGATACATTCAATATCCACATTTTTGACGAAGCAATTGATGATCAAACTCTGGTTTTCTAATCCCTTTGCAACCCTAGCTTAACACAGCTAGTAAAAACATAGATAAAAAAGTAAATTTTAATAACTCTTGGAATCAGTAATTTCTTGTGGCTTATTCGAATCAAATATTCCTATATTACTATTTAATCACATTGTATGTAGATACATTGTAAAAGTTTACTACAACACCTATAAATCTCATTGTCTTTAAACTGCATATTTACCCTGACGTAGTCGTGAGCCTTGATTGAAAGAAGAAAAATATTTACACTAAACTTTGAACCGAGGCCATTACATGAATTACATAGGGACGTTGGGGAGGGGGTCTTTAAATCTTATCCGATACAGAAACATAAAGGTGCACTTAATCGAGAAAAAAATTTGTTTTGAAGGTTTCTAACGATACTATTGTCTCGTTAATTTTTATATTTTTCATTCGTGAAACAACTAATATATCTTATCAAAGTATGCACTATGCATGCATATTGGATAAAGCACCTCATCTCTGCATGAATAATTCAGTAGGGAAGAAATGTATGATTGAACCAAGGTAAAAGAAAATGGGCAACACCCATGATTTCTATGATATTCTATGTTTATAGGTTTGGTCGCAAGAGGTTAACTTTTTTCAGAGGAGATGGGAGGGAGGTCCATGACACAATTAGGAAGAAATCTCAAAGTACTCTGTTGTAGTATTGTTAATTATTGTTTAGTTGGGTTCTTGAGTTTGCACCCAACACTGATTGTTTGCCCATATTTCCCTCCAATCACTAGGTTCAATACCGTTGTCATGACTTGACAGTTTTTCAACAAGATTTCCTTCATGTACATAGTCCAAGATGACAGGATAAATATTACAAAGGTGTGGAAGACCGTTTCCTGTAAACAGGGTGAGGTAGTGGTATAAAAAAGTGTACCTGGAGTACAATATTGGTTCCTTGGGGTCCCTCAAGGGTCCATTTGCAGTCTGCGAACTGAGGATATTTGCCGCGTCCATTGTCAAAGCCAGGGCTTTCAACCTAAATATCCACCATTTGCTTTCCTAAATTCTAGTTTTTATTTCATTAAAAATAATTGTAAAAGGTACTTACTTGTCCTCCTGATAGTTGGTTGTAATGAAGTTTACAGTTGGACTCACAATCAAGTTCATCACTACCATCCCCACAATCATCCTAAAGCATATCACTGTTAAAAGGCTAATCTTGAATATTCAACAATTGGACATTTTATGAATGAGAAGGGGTTTACCTGGCCGTCACACAAGAACTTAGAGTTAACACACTTCCCGTTGCTGCAGTGCTTGGAGCCGGAGGGGCACGCGCGTATCTCGCACATAAAGGGTAGAAGGGCCTCACAGGTTGTTACCTCCCATTCCTGCCGGGCATCGTTGATCACAGATCGGACGCATCTAAAATTAGTTTTTAATATTTTGGAAAGCCAAATAAATGCTGTTAAATAAGCTGAACCTATAGTCCTTCTGGGGGTTGCTAACGAAGAGAATCAGCATGTCAAATTACAACTGCAACAATGTTAAAGATAAAATGACTAAGTTAACCCACCTGCCCTTGTCTGTATCAGGCTGGTTCATCCCCCAATGTCCGTAGAACTCGGAGATCTGATTGCCAGCATCTGCTGCCAGGGTATTCGTCTGAAAAATAAAGAAGTAAGAATAAAAATTTGCTGATAAAAGTTAATTTAAAAAAATAAATACAATGGGACCAATACAAGAACATTAAACAATCTTATGTAGCAAGTAGATTGAAAATCAAAATTTGATCTGTCTACACCATTTGCTTTATTTCATAATTTCCTGTCCATGAAGTCCATGGGACTAGTTAAAATCATAACTTGAGTCTAATCCAGAAAACCCTGGAGTATTAAGACGACTTTTAGAATCAAGTTTTAACTTTAAAAAGTTCAATGAAGACGAAACACAGCAATTGTGCAGTGTAAAAAGACCCATTTCACAAAAAAATGATTTTATAAGTGTTTGGTAAAACCATTTGCTTTGTAACACCATCAAATACACTTAAGTATTGCTATAATGTCGTCTTCCTATTCCATTGTTATCTGGTTATCACTGTAGTTATCTTCTTATTCTACTGTTATATTGGGTCTCACAGTTTGAAATTATTAGCTGAGAAGTTCCTACCTGTAGATCATTGTAAGTCTGGTATCCTAACCAGTATGCAGGAGTATCTGTCCTAAACGGAGGGAAAATTAAATCTTTTTTCTTGCTTAAAAATGGATCTTCAAAAGAATATTGAAAATTACGGTTACAAATAGGTTAAATTGAATACAAATACCTCCCCCCCCCCCCGTAGCTGTTATATATTGAAGGCTTGGTTTTTACTCTATTTTTGTTCAAGTTGCATGAGTAGAAGAGAAGAACAATTCTGGATATTTCACTTTTACAACTTTTTCGCCGAGCTGTTTTCCAAATATAAAAACTATGGGTTTTATGATATAGAGGGGGTTGGGGCTATAGTAAGGTAAATTGTAGGGTAACATAATTATCTCAGAGATGTAAGATTACGTTTTGTTAAATTGAAAATATGAGGAAGGAAGGCCAGGGGGGGGGGGAGGGTTGAAAAATGAAAGCACTAGGTGGACTAGATTTAATAAAAAAACAGTCGTAAATTGTGAATTTGTTCCACAATACGTCAAAATAAAGAATAAAATAATATTCGAGATAAAAACAGAAAAGTTTATGGGTATTCTAATTTATTATTACCACCCTCATGTTAGATGGCTGAAATATCAAAGATTAAGTAAGGTTTTTTTTCTATACCTGGGGTCAACAACTTCATTTTATTCAAACATTTCGACCATAAATTTTCCACTGGAAAATATTAGACACAATTTATTTAAGTTTGCACCCCAGGGGTCCAGGGGTGAGGGTTTGAGTAATATTGAGAGGGGTTTAGGAGGATAAAAAGAGAAGGAGAACAGGCTGCATAATTGCATAATAAAAGAGGGAGGAATTTAGAGAGAAAATTAAGGAGAAAGAGAGGAATAATTTACAGAACTTTGGTACGGATAAAGAAGGTTAGGAGATAAAAAGAAGGAAATGAGAAGAGCAAATAAAAAACCATTGTACCGGGGATATAAGATGGTCGAAGGGTGGAGGGGGAGGGGGGAGGAGGGTTAGCAGGAAGAATATAGAAATAAAAGGAGAGTTTAGAGAAAGAAGGAAGTTTAAGAGGACAGCGGAAAATAAAATTAGTTTGGTTTCAACTAATTCAAAGAGAAACTTAGTTTAGGTGAAGGATGGAGAAGGAAAACTTTAAAGCAGATGGGAAAGATGTGGAGAAAAGAGAGGAAAAATGCAAATCAAATTAACTTTCTTGATAGGGATTGGAGGGGGGTGTTAGGTGTGTAAAGAGAAATTTCTCAATCTACCATGGTTCGGCCAATTTAGCAAAATATTCAAAGCTTACGCCCGAAATTAACAGGTTTGACTAAAATAAATGGTTCACGCTGAATTTAAAAGCTTAACGTATTAAACTCTAATTCTGGTTTAGAAAGTTTAAGGAAACTTTAGTAATCTACATGCAGTACTTCATTTTCTTGCTAACCTGGCAGCTAGTGAAGAAAGGGCCAGCTCAGCTGTGAAATTATTCTGTGCGTAGGATTCTATTGAGACCAGATTACTACCATATCTGAAAATAAGTTATTAAAGATTTTATGTAAAATAGGGAAATATTTGGCGAATTCAGTGAAATATCAGCTTAATTATTAAAATGTTAGATGCAACTAGTGAAATGTTGGGAGAAATCATTGAAACATCGGGACTCGGGAGTCTTTGCCACAAACTCAAATTTTATAATCCCTTTAACTTGATATTTTAAACTTAGATTTTTTTATCTTGCAGAATTTAAGGTTTAAGATATCTAAGGTCTACGACATGGGAAAGCTTTAACATAGGGATTAGAAAATCAGAAACTCCTTAGTGAAATAGAAGGTGAAATAAGTAAATTATTTGGTGAAATTAATGAATTATTGAGTGAAACTATCAAAAAATATAAATTCTACCTCTGACATAGTTCTGAGGCTTTCTCGTAGGAATGTTTAACATCAAAGAATTGATAACAATTTAATCCCTCCAGGCTCCATCGACCTGAATTAATAAGATTAATAAAATTTGATGAATAATAATAATGATAATTTCTTCTTCATTCTTGAGTGAGAAACTGCATTTACTATAAAACTCAAAAGAAATTGAACACTCGCCACACAACTCTAATTTTATAATCTCTATATCTTTGCAACCTGATGTTGTTCGCCTTAGATATTTCAAACTAAAATATCTGTTAGATAAAAAGTTTAATTTTAGAATTAGGTTGCAAAGATATTGGGATTAGACAATTAAACTTAGTGGAAAGTGATCTTGCATTATTATTGTGGAAATATTAAAATTCGGTCAAAAAATATATACATGGAATTATTGAATTCTACATTAAAAATCCCATCAGACATTTAGCACCAAAATATACAATATAGACAAAACTCAATCGACTGAAAGTGATGTTGAAACAAATGAAAATAATTACAGGTTGTCGTGTGCAAAATCTTAAATTGCATTGTTTACTTAGCCTCGCACTTCCTTCCGAATTGATTTTGCAACAAACACAGATTAGCGTGATTTTGCAAACCTTGGTAACAAATTGTCTGCAAGCCTTCCTCCGACCCCCCCCCCCGGCCAACCTCTAGCTCCGTAATTTAAAAATAAATCAAGGCCTAGAGAAAAATAAAGAATTGTGGAGAAAAGAAGTTTAGTTTTAAAGAGTATATTAAGAAATATTTGGTAAACCACTTAATTTTAAAACTAGAAAACTAGACATATAATTAGACAAGCATATGTAGGACATAGAGATACTAAACAGTAAGATACAGGACATCAGACACATATTAGACAAGCACTTGTAGGACGGACAGTTATTAGACAATCATTTGTAGGACAGAGGGGTATCAGACAGTAAAATATCGAACCGAAAATTAATTAATAAGTCGGATCCCTCCATAACAAAACAAGCGAAAACATTAAAAACTAACATTTTTGAATTGTAAAGGCTAAAAATTAGACTAAAACTTTACTATACTAGAAGACACTGCACTTCCTTCATTTTTTAACCCCTCATAAGACCCCCCCCCCTCCATCTCTCAGAGCTATAGGCCTAGAAACCAATCTACGAGGGGCAATGAACGGCTTGGGAACCCTTGCTTTAATATTCCCAAGATATCTTCTTTACTTCACAATTCAATTCAAATATATTCCTAATTCATATTGCCGAAGGCAGAGAAAAAGAAACTAAGTTTTATTCAAATTTCTTTTCTTTTCTTGTTGAAAAACTTTCCATATTATCTTTATAAAATAACTGGGTTGGGTTTATAGCTTTCCATATCATCTTTATAAAATAACTGGGTTGGGTTTATAGATTTCCATATCATCTTCATAAAATAACTGGGTTGGGTTTATAGCTTTGCCAGGATCCATTTTCATTATCAAAGTCAAGCCGCTGAACTTAGAATTTCAAACCAAAGCTAAGAAGATTCTGTGGTTCTCCAGAGTCGCTCAATCCAAATTTGAGGCAAATCGGTCAAAGGGTTCATGAGTTATAATCGGTCATCCAAACCAACAGACATCCAAACAGAGTTACTAAATTTTTTCTTTCTAAAGTAGTAATCTCTGTTTGTTTTGATGTCCAATCATAACTCATAAACTCCATGACCCGGCCAATTGCCTAAAGTTGTGATAACGGAACTCTGTAAAACTACGGGAATGTTCTTTGCTTGTTTAGAAGTTTTAAGTTTAGTAAGTTAATTTTTATATGGAAAACTTGGTTTCTAGGCACAGCTGGGTTCCCAAGCGTGTTATAAAGGGTTTAAAAATAAAACACTAATAAACCAAAATGAAATAATTATCACAAGGCTTAATTTTTACCCGACCATAATGAAATAATTATCACAATGTCTCCAGGATTAACGTAATCCTAGCATCCTAGAGACATATCAATTTCATTATGATGGGTAAAAATTAAGTTTCTGAGAGAAACAAGTGTGAAGTGTTTGGTTTTGTACACCCTTTAAATAGATTAATTCTTTTTTAAATAAAGATAATTTAACAACTTAACAACTAGAGAAATCTTTCTAAAGCTATTGTTTTTCGAAATTTATCTGGATTAGCTTGAAACAAAATTTCATTTGAATTTCATTATAATCATAATATCAAAAAGATTAATTGTTATGATATTAAAACAATTCAATATTATTTGCACAGATTAAAACATAATGAATTAAAAGTTGAATAAAATCTTAAGAGATAATATTATTGATGAAGAATTATGCTAAAAACAAAATCTAAATATATTACAACAAAATACTTTCTCCGTCTTACCACTATACATCAAATTTGGTTTTTACATAATTTAAAGTGTNGTGAGTATAGGGTGGGGTTGGGGGGTCCTCTATTGTATATATTGTATTGTAAAGTAGCCTGGTAATGTACCTATTGTATTGGTATGTATATGGTTTATGGCTGAGAAGGTATCACTTCTCTATAGTATAGTGGAACGAGAAGATACTAGAATAGTGGAACTAATAGTTGGTACAACTAGAATACAAAATATGTCAACCGTACTTGCTTTAATAAAAACAGAAAATAAAAAGGTTAAATTATTTTTAAATCTCTACCAAGGATGATAAAAATGTGTTAACTAAGGCATGTGCTGCATGTGCATCAAGTATAAGGAATATTGAGCTGAATGTTTTCTATTAAATGTACGTTGAAGGCTAAACAATATCATCCTGGGCAGCGTAGGAAGTACAATATTTTAATATTATGTCGGAACATAAACAACAACATACAAATACTGCCAAAATAAACAAACTTTTTATTATTCTTTTTTTTAAATTAAAACGTGCTCAAACTTTAATTACGCCATTGTGTCGGGTTCTTGTATGTTTGAAATTTTCAATTCGATACAATCCCGCCTGGAGAAAATTTAACTAAAATTTCATATTTTTTGTCCACAAGTTGAAACAAAAATCTAAAATAGAAACCTACCTTTAGGACAAATGAAAAGACCCTTATCGTTAGCTTCAGCTACAAGTACGAGGGAGAATAAGGCGAGGGCCCCCAACCCTCCACAGCGCAACCACATCTATAAAAAGATAGAAAAATGAAAAATAATAATTATAAGTTCAAAACAGTTTTTACATGTTTAGAAAAATTTATTTAAATATAAAACTGGTAAAAAATTTAAATTATCATTATGGATAAATCTGAACATATTTCATAATTCATCAATGTATTTAAATGATACAAAAATGGAAAACCACATTTTAAAAATCCCAAAACTTAATGATATTAGAGATTTCAGAGCATACAAAAGTCATTACTAATTTCTAAAGAGCAAATATTAGTTCGAGAAAATGGTGGATGGACGAATTTGTCCATAAACTGATGAATGATTGATTGATGAATATTTGAGAAACAGAGAAGGGAGAAATTTCCAGATCTGATCTCAGCCATCCAACCAAGCTCCCCAGGCGATATTACTCCCTTCAACCCCCTCCCCCCTCCCCCCTGGAGCGATCATAGATTGAGGACTGTGATTATACAACCCACTGTAAAGGGTAGGGAGGGGATGGTTTGGAAACCGATGAAATTTTTTAAAAATATTCAGCAATACTTTTATTTTAACAATCGACCCTATTTCTGTGGTTTCTTTAATTTATATCATTTTTCTGTTTTTATTAATCATATAAAAAAGAAAGTTTTATTTCACGTTGATTTTTGCAGTTCAGGTTGTAAAAATAGGAGAAAGATCGAGTCTAAAAAAGTTAATTTTCTGAAATGCAATTATACGGTTTCATTACTCTCCGTTATCAGTTTTAAATCAGGATAATTACAGATATATAATGTAAAACAATTATTGTAATGAGTTTACATTTATAATTTTTCAGGATTGGTAGAGGGGAGTGGGGCTATCACCAATCACCCCCCCCCCCCCCCCCCCCCCCCCCCCCCTCCCACTACTCAATTTCAGGTCAGATTTGCTGAGATAACCATTCATTAGTGTGTTGCCATGTTGGACTGACGGAGAAACCCATTAAAAAATATTTCGTTCCAGTCTTAACAGCCCCCCCCCCCCACCTGTCTGATACCTTCTAGCCCTCATCCCCTTCAAATATAATTAAATAAATTACGCAGGGGGCGTTAAAAAGAACTGGAAGAAAAAGTGTAATTAGAAGAAAAATGTGGAGTAATCAAGTTTTTATTCTTATAGTATTCTGTTATCATTTATCAGAGGTATACTGGTAAAAACAGAATAAATTATATTTTTACGTTTTTAGTTCATTAAAAAATTCAATGAAAAAAATCCCAATTGCAGAGAAAAAAGTACTACTCGCATTACAGATATGTTTATTGTCGTGTTCTTGATTAAAGTTTAATCCATTTAAGGAACAACATTAATTAGCTGTATACTGTGCAGGCTACATTAATATTTTTTATATTTACAAATTAGATTCGTTTCCTGCTACAAAGGATCATTTGGGTTTTTAAAATTCAGAAAAAAATACAACACTTAAAAGTTTTGCCTGTGTTGATAAACAAGTGTTAGGGTGGAAAAGACGGAAATGTAGAATATCCGATCTGCTTGTCAACAAATTTAAGAAAAAAAACTGAAATGTTTCCTGTGCCTCCTGTCAGCAGATCAGGGGACAGGTCCAAATCTGATTCTGATTTGACACTGCATAGTGTACTGTGTTGTGTGTACCCTTTGTAAAAAGATACACTCTGAATCTCTTCCTTATGGGACACATCACAAGAGGGCGGGGAGAGGAGGATTAGAAAGGGGTGTGAATGTCAGAATAGCAAGTGGAGCATGACTAAGTATAGGAAACAGATTGAGGATGGGAACTTGGGAAGTCTCAGAGGTGTGCATTGTGCAGTGTAGAATAAAGATGTTTTGGGAATGTAGAAAAATGAAAAGAAAATATGGAAAATTATAAATAATAAGACACACAGAAGACAATCAATATGGAAGAATGGACGTTTTGAAGAATTATGAGAAAGTGAAAATTTGAAATGGTTCGATCTTCCTGTTTAATAATTTAAACAGAAATCAATAAAAGTCCCCCCCCCTCCCCTCCCGGGAATTTTAAACTTGTATTGGCCCGAACGAGGGGGGGGGAATACTATTTTTGACAAGAAAATTACATAATGATAAATTTGATGTGTAGTTGTATTGTTTTTCTAATAACCCAGGGCTCTTTAAATCAGAAAAAAAACAGATGAATCCATATAAATCTTAGTTTAAATATTTAGAATTTCCCTTATAGCACCCCCCCCCCCCTCCACACCCCACTACTTCACTGGAATGCAATGCATGCGAAATTTGAGTCAAGAACAACAAACCCCAATGTCAATGGGGAGGGAAAATAGGAATTTTACTTCATGTGTTTACTTTGTTTGTTCAGCTAGTACAACATCATGAAAAGCTGGATTGAGACATACACAGATAAGAGGATTGAAAAATCTGGGTTTTTGGCAAAGGCTCAACTACTTTTAGGGAAAATTTGAATAGCTGTATTGTCTTATATTTTGTGGAATGCCAACAGGAAAAGTTTGTGTGGTGATGTGGCTCACTCTGTGAAAGAAAAGGTTACAATTGCAAAGGTAAAAATAACGAGACATAGTGAATAGTGACCTTTCATATAACAATTATTGAAATGGATAAGTATGCAGTTGAATATTTGGTTAAATCATGATTTGATTATAAAAATACAGATTGCAAATATACCCCTGAAACGGAATTTAAGGTATAAAAGTCTCATTTTAACGTATCAAATCCTTATAAATTCTATAGAGTCTTGATTCTCGGTGGTAATTGAAGTCCCAACATTAAAGAGATAACTCAACAAACAAACAAAAAAACAATAAGGCACGAACCAAACCGATTACATTTCTTGCTTTAATTCTAGTTTCTACCAATCAATCAATCCCTGATAAACCAAGCTTTAGAGACCTGTGCGTGCCAATGGAGAGGTATCGTAGATTAATTTCAATTTCACGACTTATTCAGTTGAAATAACAAAAACTTGAAAAGGCAATTTCAATTAAGGGACGAAGAAAAATAAATTACCTAGTTTAAATTTTCAATTCCAGCAAATTTTGCGTAGATGAAAAGATAGAAAAAAGTACATTTTTATCAAATAATTAAAGAAAGCATTTTGAATTGTTACAGGAACACAAAATTAAGAACTGAAAAAGTTTTAAACTGGAACAATCTAACTGGAATATATGGCTAAATACTGTATAATATATACGAGTAGAAATCAATGAATAAAATTGGTGGGAAAGTGCAGGGTTATTTTTACGTGAAAGTTCAATTGTTTACAACTATAGACAAGGTAACAGATAACATCTTTACCATGGTACTTAACATTACTAAAGGGGGGGGTACTTAACATTACCTAAAGGGGGGGGAGGGGACTTAAGAAGAATTTCAGGATATTTGCAAAGTTCCCTATGTAAATGCCAGCAGTAAAATATACTGCTTTAAAACTATCTGACGGGAAAGTGAGTTTTAGAAATATTTAAAATCTGACAGATTATAAAATGGAGGTATGTGAATTGTACTATAGGAATGTAGCTCGATGTACAATACTTCAATCCATTTACCAAGAATCACCTGTCTTAAACCCTCAATCATCTTAGCTCAAATCTAGACCCTCCCTCCTTACCCCCTCCCCTCCTAGTTACATCTAAATCCTAGGAACAGTTAAAAAAGTGTCCGTTTTTAGTTAGTTAATTCTGATCTGAAAACTCAAGTTCAAAAAACCCATTAATTCTGGCGGGGTTCAGCATTTTGGAAGATGGGTAAAAAATGTAAATTTATTCTTAAAAAGTTCAAGAATTACCTTCGTGCTTATTTGAAGAAAAATGGGGTTCTAAACCCTAAAGGTATCTTCACATCAACATTAAGAAATATAAAACTAAAGTACTTTTTAACACTTGATGTATAGTGTACACTGTTTGTAAACAAATCTAGTATGCTAGCGCTTCCCTTCCTCACAGCGTAGCAGTCTCTAGCAAACTGATCCAAATTCCGATCCGATCGCGCAGGCGCAAATTTCTCGGTGGTCAAAATCCACGGGCAAACTTTTGAGGTTATAGATTTAAAAGATTCATGTTTGTGAGTAACAAGAAGTGAAACGTGTCGCGGTAGTCTTCTGAAAGAAATATATTTAAGAAAAAGGAAATGTAGAAGATTTTTTTTTAAATAGGTCATTTTTACTGATAATGCGATCATCCCAAAGCTAAGTCGCGAAAATCGGGCAGTAATTCCAAGCAACGAGAAACTATTTTTTCTCTCTGATGCATTTTTTAGTTTCACTTTATCTATTAATAACTGGATATGACCGACAGCTTTAAGTTGCAGAAATGAATACATGGACTGGAAAAAACGACATAACTGTTAATTCATCCACAAGGATCACTTAAAAAATTACAATTTTTGTTAAGTAAAACATGGATTTTTTATTCATTCTTGCTTTAAAGGGTACCGTTGTCAATTAAATATGCCACTCTAAATGCCAAATGGAGGGTTACTTTAAATAAGCATCTTGTCCCTTTTCCCAAAATAAATACTTTGTACGTTCATTCATGTGTATATGACAAGGTTAAAAAAGGTTAAAAAACTATAAACCTATAAGAATGAGAAATTCACAGAAATATGAAGATAAATTAAACCATCAGAATTTTATTCAGAGTCTTTTAAACCATTTTAAATGCTGAGACAAAGAAATCAATAATTACAGTTAGCTAGCTGTATGTCGAACCAATAATTACAGTTATAGCTAGCTGCATGTCGAACCAATAAGTACAGTTAGCTAGCTGCATGTCGAACCAATAATTACAGTTATAGTTAGCTGTATGTCGAACCAATAAGTACAGTTAGCAAGCTGGATGTCGAACCAATAATTACAGTTATAGCTAGCTGCATGTCGAACCAATAATTACAGTTAGCTAGCTGCATGTCGAACCAATAATTACAGTTATAGCTAGCTGTAGGTCGAACCAATAATTACAGTTATAGCTAGCTGTATGTAGAACCAATAAGTACAGTTAGCAAGCTGGATGTCGAACCAATAATTACAGTTATAGCTTGCTGCATGTCGAACCAATAATTACAGTTAGTTAGCTAGCTGCATGTCGAAAAATGAATCTCAAAAATTAGAATTCTTAGTAATCGACTTCTTACCTTTATGGGGAACCCTGAGAATTTGCAGCTCTTAAATATCTGACAATAATGTTACAATGCCTTCGTAACCATGGGGGAGCATTAATACAGTAATTGATCAAAAACATGTTATGGCGGCATTCGTGCTTTTGTCAGCTTATGAATTTCGCTTCTTTGAAGGAATTCAGTATCCTTTCAGGGTGCATAAAGGCATTAATCTAGTGTGGGGGTGGGCTTCGTGCACTGCCCCCCCCCCCTAAATACGCTCTCTTGTATTCCAATCTTTAGTTACTAAGACCTTGAGTATTGAAAATAAAGAAATTGAGTCTTTGCCATATACTCTGATTTCTAATCCCTTTTTCTTTGCAACCCAATGTTGTAGATTTAAAATTATAAATTTTGTGAGGTAAATCATCTAAATTGGAAATATAAAAGGTTTTCATTAAGTTGCAAAGATATAAGGATTAGAAAGTTGGTGCTTGTGGCAAAGACTTCACACTAGGTGAATGGATGAATGATGAATGAACTAAATAGAAAATAGATCAGTCACTTCTTGATTAATTGATTGATAACTATTGTCGCGTGGTGAGGTCAGATAATTTTAGAAAAGTGAGTTTCAAGTTGATTAGATTAGAATCAATTTCACTTTTGTAGTTTAGCCAAACATTCAGGGGTAAACAGGGAAAATTTAAACACGTAAAACTTATTTCATCAATTCTTTTAATTTGTTTCAATCATACATTTTATTAAGTTTTTTATTCTCTTATAATAACGTATGTATGGTTTAGCCCTGTGCCCTAAATAGGTTAAAGTTGTGGGCGACTACTAGGCCTATTAAAGTAGGTATAGTTTGGTTTGGTCAGCGGAATAAAAAGCAGCATATATATAAAAAGAGAGATTTCTTAAACAAATATTGAAATCGGAAATGCATGAACATGAATGCCATGAATGCCCGACGCAGTCGTGACATTCACTGCATTCTTAAACATTAACCATGGTCAGATATTCTTTAAAGAAATGGTCTTTGAGGAATTAAAAAGGAAAGTTAGACCGACCGTTCGGGGTCTTCGGGGTTTCCCTTTTTACAGATTAGACCTGCAGTAAGTTTATTAAACCTAAACAAGTTTCACAATGGAAATTTTATGACGTCATGTACGTCGCCTTGAAACAATTCACGGGAAAATAATTGCCGAGAAATTTGAGTATTTCAGAGTTTTATTTATATGACTGATACGACTCAAGGGTCGAATTCCATACATATATGACTAACATAAGGGGGAAAATGTTCATATACCTTTAAATAGATGAATATATTTAGTTTCAATCTCGAGATTATTTTTTTAATACAGACACTAATTCTAAAGTATGGAATTTAAATGGATTTGGTTCAGTCATGATATTTTCATATACCACGAGCAATACAAAAAGATTTCAGTAAAATCCAATTTTTTTGGAGTTTTAAATATGGTTTTGACACACAACATGCCATAGACAGTTGAGACATGACTTGAAGATCGTCTTTGATATTTGAAACAATTTGAAGATAAAAAACAGAAACTAAAAATTTTTACTACCCAGACTATTTTCTTCTTATATGTTAACACAATAAGCATGTTTTGGTATTAGAGACGCTAAAAGCTCTTAAAAGTGTATTTACGATCTGAAGAAGCAAACTTTCATCTCAGTTCTATAAAAAGTGAACAAAATAAAATGTTTAAATTGTATTTTGTATGGAATAAGTTAAACTAATCATCATGAATGAAAAATGATTGGAGTATAATTTCATTATATTGTATGGATCTAACAGTTTTAGGTTTACAATTCTAGACAAGGGATTATATGTAGGCCACAGGATTATCCACATAGAATATAGCATGGAACTTTTTGAATACCACAATCTGCAAAAATAGAAACTTTTAAAGGAGCGTAATAATTTTAATTAATTTTTTTTAAATGCATTGGGAAAATCTGAATTTTCTAATCACTTTAATTTTGCACCCTGATGGTGCTAACATTTGATATCTTAAACTTTGAATATTTGATCAAGTAGAATTCGTTTTACAATATCAAAGGTCTCAACATCAGGTTGTAAAGATTAAAAAATTTAAAGGTTGTGGCGAAAACAAATAATCAGTTTCTTTTATTTATCAAAGATTTCAAATAAGTAGCTTTACAAGGAACCTTAATTAAAAAATACATCTGACTGTAGTTGTTTCTGAACGTATGAACTCTAATACTTTCTGGTTATCCCTGCATTAGAGCTGAACGGAAGAGAAGATAAACCAAAATAACTCTTTGCAATTTTCTTCTCTTTCATTAAAAATATACAACTATCCGCTCAAGATAAAAAATAAGATTGCTAGTTTGCTACTGACCTAGAAATAGTAAGTTTAAACTCATGCATTGCATTTTTATAGGTTGTATTTACTACATACACTTCACTTGAAGGGTTCAAGAGTAAATATCTTTCTTATAACTTAAAGGGCCTGTAAGCGTAATTTTAACTGACCCTCCATGCAAAGATAGCAATGCACGATTTAAAACGCTACCCTTGAAGCCTTAATCTGATCAAAATGTAAACAGTTTAAAGAAATAAAAAATAGATATGTTCTTTATGCTTGATAAGACAAAGCTTTCAAGGGAACTGTTGTCGCGGGCATTGTCATCTTTGCAGGGAGGGTCCCTTGAAATTACGCTTAAAGTCCCTTTAAATGGCAAAAAAAGTAAAAATGGGCTAAATATTAAACTAGGATGAATAAAAAAGATTTTAAGAATCAAAAATGGATTTAGATTAAATAAAGCACATCAATTCGATCAATATTTTGAATTCGAATAAAATCCAACCTAGCTAAAATGACCAAAGAAATATTGATTTACTGGGATCTCATAAATCTTCAAGACAAAATCTGAATAAAACTTTGATGGAATATCAAACCTTTAAATGTACTGTAAACGTAATTTCAAGTGACCCTCCATGCAAAGCTGGTAATGCCCGATTCACAGCTGTAATCTTAATCTTAACCTTATAACAAAGGAATTGAGTCTTTGCCACAAACTCATATTTTAAAATTCATTTATCTTTGCAACCTGATGGTGTAAAGCTTTACTATTTCAAACTTAGATTATTTGATCTAACCCAACTTAAAGTTTGAAATATCTAAGATACATGACATTGGGTTGCAAAGATATAGGGATTATAAAATCAGAGTTTGTTGCAAAGACTCAATTCCTTACGCTTACATCTCATAAAACACTGATATAATCTAGTTAAAGTTTAAAACTGGTTAAAAATATGTTAGAATCAAGACGAACCTTTAAGAATTATCTCAGGAACTGAGTTTCTTCCACAAACTCAATGTTCTATAAATCTCTTTATTTTTGCAACCTGATGATGTAAACCTTTAATGTTTCAAACTATTTGATCTAACAGAATTCTAATACATTGGGTTGATAGATTTAGGGAGTTGGTGGTGTGAAATCGTAAAATAAATTTTGAAAGGTTTTACGGCCGCCATCTTTTTTTACGCGTCTACTGTCTGTCCCGAACTCTGATTAATTTTTCATTTGTTCGGTCTAGTTGACTTGGTTCAGGATTTCACCATATATCGTTCAGCTTCAATTATTATTATTAAACTGTTTCCCACACTTTCATCCTTGTTTCCTTTTCCTTAAATTTAGTGTGGGAACTAAAGGGGGAAAGAATAAGATAACAAAATGTCAAAATATAATTTTTGAAATTTAATTTTTTGAATTCTTTAATTATTGTCAAAAGTGCTTAACTGTATCAACTCATGAATTCTTAGTTTTTCTATTCGAAAAATGAGTGGACATTTTTTCAGGGGCGTACTAGAGCAGTTGTGTAGGGGGCACATATTTTTGTAACTTAATGTAAACTATTCGATCATATTCACAGTATTTTTTTAAGGGGGGGGGCACAAAATCAGGCAATCCCTCTTAATACTGTGGTGTAAGCTTCAAGGGATGAAAAATATTGATGGAAACGTTTCTAAAGAAATATCTATATTTTCATAGGTTTGATACATATTGTATTATAATGATGATATCAAATATATATTTACACTGAAGGCAGTATTGATTAAAGATTTTTTAATGAAACTTTTTTAGTTAAGGGCAAAAGTGAGATTTTAAATTATTTTTTCTATACGATGTAATTATACTTAAATTGAATACATGCGTAATTTCAAGTGACCCTCCATTTATAGAGTGGCATGTCCGATGTACCTTTGAAACCTTAATTTCTCCATCGTTTCTGAAGCAAGAAATGCGCGAATCACTTTTGTGGAGAAACCACAAAATTTTTTTTTTCAGTTTTCAAAATGGGAAACATGAATGTTTAAATGCATCACTTGATCAAACAAAGTTTTGAAGGGTATGGTTGTGAATCAGAATATATTTTATTTCTTTTCTTAATCTTTTAGTTTGGATGAGTGCAATGCAATGCTATGTAGAATGTAGATTGCGTGAGGAAGGGAAATGCAAATAGATGTAATATTAAAAGAGGGGGCACGCGTAGGGGGTGGGGCTCGCCCCCCCCCCTCGTACGCCCCTGCATTTGTTTGCTTTTTTGTAAGGTAGAAATCCACGAGCAGCTTATAAGAAAGCGGAAACGACATCCTGAGTTAGAAAAATGACGATGTGAAAAGTTTACATATGAAAACCCCCATTATGTATTGTTTAATCTTTTCAATGAATTCTAAAACAAATGTTCATTTCCCTATAATTTTTCAGTTATTACAAAATACGAAGAATTGGGAATTATATAAACAGAAATTCAGCCAATTTTTATACACAAGGGCATGATCAGAGAAACTTTTTGGTTCGTTTGTACTTTAATATGAACCTCCATGATTTAGTAAAGATATTGTTTTTAAATATTGATAGACGTAAAAGCCAGTTTTAATCTTTGAGACCTTATATAAAGGGATCATTGCAACGGTACCATAGAAACCGTAATCTGATCAATAATGAAGAAGATATTGTTGTTTTCTAGCTTTGTTTGATTCTGACCAATTATATATGTATTCCTGTAGCAGAAATGCGCAAGTCACTTATGTAGAGCAACCACGATTGAAATTGATCAATTTTAAATCTTATTCACATTGATATCTAGTTCATACTTGATAAGACAATGCTTTTAAGGGTTCTAAATCCGGCATTGTCATCTTTGCATGGAGGGTCACTTAAACATTAGGTTTACAGTCCCTTAAAATTAGGTTTACAGTCCCTTAAAATTAGGTTTACAGTCCCTTAAAATTAGGTTTACAGTCCCTTAAAATTAGGTTTACAGTCCCTTCCCTTAAAATTAGGTTTACAGTCCCTTAAAATTAGGTTTACAGTCCCTTAAAATTAGATTTACAGTCCCTTAAAATTAGGTTTACAGTCCCTTAAAATTAGGTTTACAGTCCCTTAAAATTAGGCTTACAGTCCCTTAAAATTAGGCTTACAGTCCCTTAAAATTAGGTTTACAGTCCCTTAAAATTAGGCTTACAGTCCCTTAAATTAGGTTTACAGTCCCTTAAAATTAGGTTTACAGTCCCTTAAATCCTCAGTTTTAAGAGAGGAAATATTTATATTTTCCTTGTGTTTCCTTGTATATTCCAGCTAGTTAAACCATACACAAAAATTATTGTTGTAAACGGTGGACATAATTTTCCCCTCATACTTTTAGAATATGGATTCGAGTATTTTACATGCAGTAATTATTGCATAAAGAATGCTAATAAACAGCAGAAAATGCACGGACCTTAAACATTGAATGGGCCTGGAGGGGGGTACTTTTATCGGCTCATCTAATTTTCTCTTTTTAATCTTTCATAAAACTTATAAAGATGTTTACTTGAAGACTTTTCCATATTATAACTCTATTTCTACTTTTTTTATATTTGTAGATCAAAAAAGTATTTCTTTGGATATTAGAATTTTGTATCTTGATAAGAAAATTTATAAATTCCTTGATCTAATTGGACTTTTTGGATTTTACCCAAACCAAATGTATTCTGCTTTTCTGCACTTGTACTTTGCAGTCTGAGTCAACAAATTTCTCTTTAAAACCTGGAACCTAAATATATAAAAACACACATTTTTAATAATTTACTGTTTTTACGGTATGGACTATATACTATTAATTTCCTAAATATTGAAAATTATAATATTATCTTGTCTCTAGAATATTTGCCTAAAGAGTTGGCATTACAGTTAGGTCTGCAGCAGGGAGGTTCAATTAGGAATGTGCGGACCTAAAAGGGGCTAAAAACACCAAACATTGAAAATAAATGTTTTAATAAGGTAAATTTCTCTATTAGGAATGTTTCGTCCCTTTTTAACATTTACATAAACACAAATAAACCATATCCTTACACAAACACAAATAAACCAAATCCTTACACAAACAAAAATGAACCATATCCTTACACTAACACAAATAAACCATATCCTTACACAAACACAAATAAACAATATCCTTACACTAACACAAATAAACCATATCCTTTCACAAACACAAATAAACCATATCCTTACACAAACATACAAAAACCATATTTTTACACAAATACACACAAACCATATCCTTACACAAACACAAATAAACCATATCCTTACACAAACACAAATAAACCATATCCTTACACAAACATACACAAACCATATCCTTACACAAACACAAATAAACCATATCCTTACACACACACAAATAAACCATATCCTTACACAAACACAAATAAACCATATCCTACACTAACACAAATAAGCCATATCCTTACACTAACACAAATAAACCATATCCTTACAAAAAACACAAATAAACCATATCCTTATACAAACACAAATAAACCATATTCTTACACAAACATACACAAACCATATTTTTACACAAACATACACAAAACATATCCAGTATACACAAACACACGTCTAGAAATATTACAATACAACTACATCAATGTAACAACACACATAAAAACCTTCAAAAACGTTGTATTTTGTTTGGATAAAAAGTGAACATTTTTATTTACAAATCAAGAAATGATAATATATAATATATCTACTGAAGTTGTTTTGATAACGTGGAAAGCTTGTGATATTTGCCTCTACAAAAAAGCTTGCTTTTTAAATCTTTAAAGCTATGTGTTCCCTGAATTATATTGTTTGCTTTGCTTATCTTTTATCTTGTATTTACCCTGGGTATCTCTCCATTTTATACTAGGAATCCGTAATAGAAGATCAAGTGAATTTTGTCAGATCAATATAAACATATACAATCATAGAGAATAGAATATATATTAGAGGGGAATTTAAATAATCTCTCGGTATGAATTTGTTCAGTCCCTTTCAGCCTGAAAGGGAGTTCAAAGTAAATGTTAACATTAATACAGTATGCTCCCTAGACTAATCATTTCAATTTCGAATTTTTTAAACTGTTAAATAAACTTTTTAATGAATTAGGTGAATAAAAACATCATTTGATTTATATTTATAACGGAAAATCATCGTTTGTAAAGTGGAAGGCATAGAGTCTATGTGAAATGATCATTGGTCAATTATGAAACCAGCCTATTTCATAATTTGGTTTTCTTTTAACAATAATTTTAGATTTTCTATAAAATTATATTCCAGGTCCCAAAAGATTATATAGCATAAATATGTGAAGAACACCTGCAGTATGAAAACAGTACAACAAAATGGCCGTTTTACACTTTTTTCTAGTAAATTCCTCTCCAATATATATTCTATTCTCTATGTATACCATCCATGATCAGTATTTCAAAACACTATTCTTTAGAAAAATGTTTAAATTCTTCAGTTTCCTGGCTATTTGTGCCGTCACAGTTGTAAATTCGAAGGTATGTTTTTAGTTTTAAAGAACTGCAAAATACGTTAGGATGTATGTCACACTTTTGGGCGTCCGAACTATGGTATGTACGCACAAGTGCATCCTTTTGGGCGTCCGAACTATGGTATGTACGCACAAGTGCATCCTTTTTTCAACAGAAAATAATGATAAATATTGCTGCAGTAAATACGAAGGCCACGGTGTACACTGTAACTGTTAGGGCGGGCACATTGTTGAGAATAAAGTATGAAATACTGAAAAATGTCACAGTGGACTTGATTAAAGGTGTACAAGGTAACCATGGAAAATGTAGAGTAAGAAGACAATTGTTAGACTCAAATTATGATTTAAAATATACCAATGAACATGAAATACAAAAATTGTGCACTGTGTACAGTACAAATGTACACAGAGTCACTTAATAAGTTGATTGTCAAGCTCTGACAATGTCGTCTTCATCTTCCACAGTTTAATGGGTCTCACTGTATATATAATATATCTACTGTCAAGATTGTAGAGGCAATGTTTTTTAATAAACAATTAAATTAATCACTTTTTTAAAACGTGTTGTAATTTTACTCAGAATTGAAACGTTATTATTCTAATTTACCACTGCAGCTGACTTAACATTTCCTATTTCTGTTCCATTGAACCATTAAATACTCGAAAAATAAACACAACTATCAAGAATCATTTTAAATTAATGTTTGCTGACAATCCTTGCAGGTTTTGCATAAGATTATTTTTCTTAATTAAAGTTCGTTTTAAATACTTGAGAGGATACCGACCTTAGTGCATTAAACTCTAAACGAACTCTACAAAAGTTAAAATGTAGAAACCGGGTGACTAAACAAGCAAATACGTGTAACCCGGAATTGAGTAATTGCCACAAACTTAATTCAGTGATCGCCAGAATATTCTGAAATAGGAACTGGATTTTAAAGCAGTTATAACTTCAGTGTATTCGATGTTGTTACAAAGCAAATAGTACTACTTATCAAATCACTATTAAAGAATAAATGAGTCTGTTTACACTGCACAATTGCTGTTTCTACCCAGGTTCATTGGATTATTTATAGTTATAAATTGAGTCTAAAAATCGTCTTCAAAGTTTTCTGGTTATTACTGTAATCACTGTTTCGTTGCAATTTCAAACTTAGATTATTTCATCAAACATCTATCTAAGGTCTACAACATGAGGTTGCAAAAATATGGGGATTAAAAAATTTTGTGGCAAAGACTCTGTTCCTTTACAATCATTCCACTTCAGTCTATAGAGTCAATAGTAATAACGTTTATGAGCAAGTTGCTGAAACTTTAGTGAATATTTCAATACACAATAATTTCAAAAAAAACTGTTTTAGGGTCCTTTTCAACAACTGTCAGCCCCAAAGTCGCCTCAGGTGAAGTTTAGTTCTTTTAAATGGTAAAAAATTTAAGCTTACACTTTACCCTAAATGAAATGTTTAGGATTCTATTTATAAATGTACATGGTTTCCCACGTACATCAAATGTTAAGCATCCTATGTATGTACAGGGTTCTTCCTGTACATGAAATGTTAAGAATCCTTAATGTCATATGTTTCACACTGTACATGAAATGTTTAGATTACTTCATGTAGATACATGGTTTTCCCTGTACTTAATATGATCTAAGTTATACATGTACATGACTCTTACTTCATGTACATAAATGTTTAGGATCCTACATGTACATGGTACACACTATATGAAGATCTACCTGAAGGAACAGCCGAAGTTATAACATATGGAGGTATGCAAGTATAATATTTGCAAAATCACAATATTTTAAAACATCGGATAAAAATAAAATAGACAATTTAACCATGGATGGATGGATGGATTTTTTCTCCCTAAAAAAAAAGAATTCTTTCGTAAAACATAAACGACCACTTTTTACACCCCTCTATTTCAACGCGGCTAGGTGGCCGAGCGCTGCGGCTAGGTCAGGGAGCGGGGCCAAGCACTGCGGCTAGTTCAGGATGCGTCGGCAATGCGCGGCGACAAGGATGGTGGTTCAAAAATTTTTATTTAGAAAATATAACCAGTGTTTTGAATATATAGGATAACTTTACTTTTTGAAACCCTGTTTTGCCCATTTTGTATCNGGAGAAGAAGCAGACTATCAAGTTTGTCATGATATTTAGCCGTTCTTTTGTCAAGATAGATCGCACCCTGACAAATGCACTCGTCCATTTTAAACCACTTCACAGCAATCTATTATTCTTCTACTTTTCAACCTTATTTTACATTATTTTAGCTTAAAATGGATAGTTCAAAAAAGTCAAATGAGCTATAGTCTATAGCTTAAGGTTTAAAGAAATAATTCTTATAATCGAAAAATATTTTAGTTTATAGTGTGTTTGTCTCAGAAACAATCTGATTTACAGAGTTGTACAGCATAACCCCGCCCGGTAGAATATCATATGATTTTATCATAAACTAGTTTGGAAACCCAACTTTGCCTCAAAATTGAATAATTTTTTATTCCAATCTAAGAAGGATCCCGTGGTTCTACCACTTTAAAATTTGAGGCAAATCGGTCAAGGGGTTCATGAGTTATGATCGGACATACAGACAATAGAAACTAAACTTTCGTTATACAAGTCAACCCACTCAAATTAAAGTTTTTAAACCAAGCTAAGAATTTCCCCACTCAAAATTTGGGGCCCATCGGTCAAGGGTTTCATGTGTTATGATCGAACAAACAAACACCAAGATTACCACTTTATATACATAGAGAATAAAATATATATTAGAGTGGAATTTAGAGAATCTCTCGGTATGAATTTTTTCAGTCCCTTTCAGCCTGAAAGGGAGTTCAAAGTAAATGTTCACAAATTATATGCAGTAGAGTACATTAAAACAGTATGTTCCCTGGACTATTTATTTCAATTTCAAATTTTTTAAAGCTGTTAAATAAACTTTATAAAATGAAAAAGGTGAATAAAAAACATCATTTGATTTATAGTAATAACGGAAAATCATCGTTTGTAAAGTGAAAGGCATAGAGTCTATGTGAAATGATCATTGGTCAATTATGAAACCAGCCTATTTCTTAATTTGGTTTTCTTTTCACATTAATTTAAGATTTTCTATAAAATGATATTCCAGGGCCCAAAAGATTATATAGCATAAATATGTGAAGTACACCTGCAGTATGGAAACAGTACAACAAAATGGTTAATTTTAGATTTTCTATAAAATTATATTCCAGGGCCCAAAAGGTTATATAGCATAAATATGTGAAGTACACCTGCAGTATGGAAACAGTACAACAAAATGGCCGTTTTACACTTTTTTCTAGTAAATTCCCCTCTAATATATATTCTATTCTCTTTGTTTATATATATAGATAGATTGATGAATTTGTGCTCTACTTGAAAATAAGAAAAATTAAAGCAAAATAAATAGTTCTAGAACATTGGATGCAGATTGGAGGGATTTGTTTTCTACAGGCACAGAACAAAGATTAGATGTTCCAGGGCCCAAAAAGAAGATATAGCACAAATGTGTAAAGTACGCCTAGCTGCAGTATGGAAATTGTACAACAAAATGGCGGTTTTACACTTTTAAGTTAATTCCACTTTATATTTACTTGTTCTCTTTGGTTACAGGTTATCAAATCATTATTGTTTAACAATTAATAGATGTTTTTATTTAGCTCCTGAGGCGAGTGTATACTTGGTACTGTCTCTCAACGGCGATGGTATGATATATTTATAGAATAAAATTCAATTTTTCTATTTGTTTACGCTAAACAGTAAAACAAAATTAAACATTTTTATCGCCTTCTGACCATGCAACATTACCGGCCGTTGTCGGCCTATGATTCCCCCAACAGAGGGACGTGAAGTTACTTAACGTCTCTTGGGGAAAATAAGTAAAATAACCGAACGCTCTGTGAAGTTTTCGTAAAAGAAATCGCGTATTTAGAACTCTAAATACCATAAAATTGTGTACAAATACTTTTTCGGGAAATTAAAGAAATTAGTTTTGGGAACCTGGAGAAAAATAAAATTGCCTTAACTTCCCCGTAAAGTAAGTGTAAATAATTTAAATAGTTTTGGTAATGCAATTTTTGTTGCATTTGTATTTTAAGATTTTTAAGGGAGTTCCTGAACAATCAGGAATCTGAACGCAGCAACTTGGTTAGAAGCTGATTACGCGCCACAAACTATAATTGTCTAATTCCTGTATCTTTGACAACTGAAAATTTAAACCTTTGATGTAATGCAACCTTCGTCTATAGTTTGATCCAACAAAATCCATGAACATATCGAAGGTCTACGGCATCAGGTTGCAAAGATGTCAAGAATAGAAAAATAGAGAGTGAAAAATGTGATTAGCCCCTTCTTTTTAATACTTATCAATTTCGTTTTAGGAAAAACCTACCCCGCTCCAGGCAGTAGGGTAACTGCACATTATTCATTGTATCTTCCAGATTGCACATTTATAGGTTTGCTAATACAAACTTTAGAAAAATTCATTATAATTTCAAAATTAAATTAAAATATATATAAAAAAATTATGTTTTTTAAACTTTCATCCTTAGTGAGAATTCATGATCAAAATCAAAATAAAAATAATCCTGAGAACTTATAATGTTTATAAATAAAACGTAAAAAAATTTATTTTAAATTTATTTTTTATTTTTGGAATGTGATGCATAGAATTTTTTTTAAGAAAGTAGCAGAGATGAAGGGGAACCCTTAACCTTTACAATTGGAGTTGGTAAGTTTAAATTATTAACTTTTTGATTGTATTTTAAAATTTTTAAATTCTTAGGATCAAAAGGTAAAACTTTACTTTCAAGCGATACTTCTATCTTCATCGTAATCTTAAATCTCTTCTTTCCTGAGTTTGAATTCAATGAAAGCAATTTAAAAAAACTAGAATTTTTACATTAATTTTATACAGCAATATAGGCATAGCATCTATAACTTATTGTTTCCAAATTCAAAAATTCAGACATTAGTTATTTTATTTCCCCTTTTGAAACTATAGAAAACCAAAAAAATAATGTTTAAACTTTGTATGCAACCTAATTTCCCTTTTGAAACTATGGAAAACCAAATAAATATTGTTTAGACCTTGTATGCAACATATTTTCCCATTTTAAACTAAAGAAAACCAAAAAAAAAATAATGTTTAAACTTTGTATGCAACCTAATTTCCCTTTTTAAACTATAGAAAACCAAAAAAATGTTGTTTAGACCTTGTATGCAACATATTTCCCCTTTTGAAACTATAGAAAACCAAAAAAATGTTGTTTAAACCTTGTATGCAACATATTTCCCGTTTAGAAACTATAGGAAAACCAAAAAAAATGACGTTTAGACTTTGTATGCAACATATTTCCCCTTTTAAACTATAGAAAACCAAAAAAAATGTTGTTTAGACCTTGTATGCAACATATTTCCCCTTTTGAAACTATAGAAAACTCGTTTTATACCAATTTAATACCGAGTTAAACGAGTTGGAAACCATTTTTTAAACTAGTTCTGAACAAGTTTGAAACCAATTAGAACCAAGTTTTGAAACCAGTTATAGACAAGTTTTAAAACTAGTTTTGAAACCAGTTAAAAACGAATTTTTTAAACCAATTATAAACGCTTTAGACATAGGATATGCAAATTTTGATTCTAGTTTAAAGTTGTTAAACCAGCAAATTTCAAGTTTGAAAAACCACGAATTTTTTTATTTTTGAAGTGCATGGATAAAATCACAAAGTTTAACACTTGTCTATAGAAAGGAGGAGAATTGAATGGGAAAAACCTTAAAAAATTAGTGGGGGGGGGGGGAGATACATATTCCAGTTTTAACAAAAAGATTTCGTTAGGATTATGAGGTCGGTTTAGGAGGAAGGATTGGATAATTATACAGTTTGGTTTGTTTTAAGTAGATTTTTTTTCAGGAGAAGTAATCCAAGGATGGGATGTTGGACTCATGACAATGAGTTTAGGACAAAGAGCTTCCCTGGTTCTTAGCTCTGATATGGGGTAACTACTTTAACTAATTAAATTATTTAATTTACATACTACTTAAACTACTTTTGTTAATATTTGTTAGGTAGTAAACAATTTGTAATTGTGTTTTGAGAGCAACATTTTTTATTTTGGATTCGGATCCTAAAAGCACAAGGTTTCGGTTCTGACGGATCCGGATCCTAAGCACTGGTTTAATAAAAACTTCAAGAATTCTTAGATGTAAATCTTTGAATGAAAGATCCCTTAAGTATGAACATACTAAGTTTATTTATCTCTAAAGGATAGTAGTTAGGAAATAAAGATTTTCAATCCGTTTTTAAATATCTGACATAAGATATTATTACCAAAACGAAGTTTAAAGTTGATAAACGCGGACTAGAAGAGCCGACAATTTAGCAGTTGTGGTTATAATCTTGACTAAAATTCTTATGAAGGCTGTTGAATGATTATTAACGAACCAAAAACCAGTACTTAGGATCCATTTAATATTGATGCGGACCCAGATCCTGGATCCGCACTGGAAAAAAATGGATCCGGATCCAGGTCATTTCTTTAAGTTTGGTTTTTGTTTTAAAAAACTGATTTTTTAATGTTTGTTTTATTTTTTTCGCTTACTTTTATCCTAAAACTTTATGAACCATTTAGAAATGAGAAAATTCTTATATTCTCTTTTTTTTAAAGTTTAGGTTTGGGTTTTAGGGGTAAATAAGTTTTTTTTGCAGTTCTTGGTTGATATTTTACCCCTTGGATCCGGATCCGTGGATCCGCATATTTTTGCGGATCCGGATCCAGGAAGTCAAAATCTTCCGGATCCGGATCCTAAGCACTGCAAAAAACTATTCCTATTCTGTATTAAGATATGGCGAGAACGGAGCAGGAGGAGGAGTTATACCACCAAACTCAGCTCTCATCTTTGATGTAGAAATTATTAAAATTGAATAAATCGATGTGTATATTAACACTTATGTTTGGCATTAAATGTAAATTATCATAAAAATCGTTGTTCATTCCAGTTTCCATAGCAAAGTCAGTTTATTGTTTGTTTATAATTTAAATCGATGTAAGTATAAATAAAACTCGATGTTCAAGAGATAAAAGAGCCAAGATTATTTTTATGATAAACCTAAAGAATATAATTGAAACTCACCATTTGTGTGCTTCATTTTCATTTTTATTTTCATCTTTTGAAGCCTATGTATCTTTTTCAGCTTCTTCAGTTTTACTTTCTTGGTCGACTTCATTCCACCCCATTGTCATTTGAAACTTCAGTATCAACTTCACTGTCAAATTCATTATCAACTAAATTATCAACTTCATTATCTACTTCATTGTCAACTTCATTATCTACTTCATTGTCAACTTCATTATCAACTTCATTATCAACTTCATTATCAACTTCATTATCTACTTCATCATCAACTTCATTATCAACTTCATTATCAACTTCATTGTCAACTTCATTATCAACTTCATTATCAACTTCATTGTCAACTTCATTATCAATTTCATTATTAACTTCATTGTCAACTTCATTGTCAACTTCATTGTCAACTTCATTATCAACTTCAATATCAACTTCATTGTCAACTTCGTTATCAACTTCATTGTCAACTTCATTGTCAACTTCATTATCAACTTCATTATTAACTTCATTATAAACTTCATTGTCAACTTCATTATTAACTTCATTGTCAACTTCATTATCAACTTCATCATCAACTTCATTGTCAACTTCATTATCAAGTTCATTATCAATTTCATTTTCAACTTCATTATCAACTTCATTATCAACTCCATTGTTAACTTTATTATCATCATCGTTGTCATCTCATGAACAACTGGCCATCTTCATTATTAACTTCATAGACATCTTCATTATCATCCTATATGTCAACTTCATTTCATTTATGTAATCCTGGCCACGATTAATTGTCATTTTCATTGCCGTCTTGAAAACCTTCTTAGTTATGTCCTTTATTATCTTTATTTATTTTTATCCTCTTCTCAGCGATCGTCTCCGTAAGCAAAACTCGGGCAAATCATTACATTTTCATTTTTATCATTTTTTAATTGTTTTTAATTTTGCTTGAAAAGCTATTAAACTGTGGTATATTTATTTGTATTTATACATAAATACTGTAATAACATTGTAAAAAATAATAATACTATAAAAAAGCAAAAATTAATATAATTACCGAACAATTGAGTTGATGTAAAAAATTGACATTTATACTGAAAGAATGATTTTTTATGAACTAGTGAGATGGATATTTCTGAATGTAACCTTGGATGATAAAATCACAAGCTATATTAGATATTACAGAGAACAAAATCAACAATTAAACTTTTCAGTTTTTATGTTTGAACAATTTTACATTAATGATACAGTGTTAGATATCCACAGTGTACAGTAAGCAGGGAAATTTTGTGATTCTCTTCAGTAATATCAACGCTACATGATTTAGAAGACCCTATCCATGTACCCCTCTGTGTGCGCTGGTTTCTGTTGTCCTGCTACCGCCGCGGGCTGCATAACATGAGGTCGACCTCCTCTATGAGGTCCACGAGGGGTCAGGTATTCAAACATACTTTGATTGTGCGCAGACAGCATCTTCTCCAGGCTCTGTGGCATCGGGTCTAGAAATAATCATATTTGATTAACTCAACTAAAATACGACGAAAGGCCCGAATACTCAAGGATTTTGATTTCTAATAATAATAATAATAATAATAACTTTGAAACCAGTTGATGTAAACCTTCAATATTTCAACCATAGAAATTGAGGTCTAGTTGCAAAGATATAAGAATAAAAAATATGATAATTATAAGTAGTAATAACTTAAGAAATGATGTGCTAAAAAAAACTTTTTAGTGTAAGTAACAGTTCTCCTTCATCAAAATTAAGCAATACACGTATTTGATCAAAATTTAGAACAACACAAAAAATAAATACAAGGAACCTATATCAAATAATAACTATATTAATCACCTGTCCAGAAGAAATCATGATTTAAGGCCTCGTCGGCATTGTGTCGTTTAGCAGGGTCGAGGGAGAGTAGTTTGTCAATCAGGTCGCAGGCGTAGGGATCCTTCAGATACGGTCGCAGTCGCTCCTTCACACGTCGCTTACCCTGGAGACAGTAATTATTAGAAACTTGGCTAAAGTTACTTTCTTCTATCAAGGTGAAAGTCAATTTACTTTTACTTCCAAGTTTTAAAATTCAATTGATAATAATGAGAATGTTTGTATTTATTCTTCCAGAGAGGTTTAAATTATTTGTCAATCTTTTGCGCAGAAAATATGATGTTTTTAATCTAAAACATTAAGATGCTTCAATGTTAGGAAATAAATACATATATTTCTTTTATTATAAATTAGTATTTCTACAAGTTAAAAAAAAAATCCAAATAATAATCAAACATATTTTTTGTACCTTCGGTATTTCCATCTTATTATAGAGTTCTAGTTTGTCAACCCCCTCCCACACGTCAGGGGTGATGTTCCCGCACAGCTGAGCGATCAGGGTGATCTGATGCTGCTCAGTGTTACCCTGAAACAATACAAGGTCAAATATTAATACAAAAAATACTACAATATTAGATATAATATAAATACAAAAATACTAACAATATTAGGTTTAATATAAATACAAAAATACTAAACAATATTAGGTTTAATATAAATACAAAAATACTAAAATAGAAGAAAATTAAGCACATACTTTTGTTATAAATGAGAAGGTCCAAAGTAAAAATGTAAATCAAATATAAATGTGAAAACTGCTAGAAAGCGGAGAAACCGGTGGATGGTTTTAAATTTAAATAACACAAGAATTAGCTAAACTAGGGATGGCTAGTTTGACTACATATCTTACGCACTCTCGACCACACTAGAGGAGTTTAACTAATCGTAATTTGGAACCTAGTTCAACTACATTTCCTTATTTATCAATTCCGACCTTAGTTCGAAATTATTATGAATTCTTTTAAGCACCTGAATTTGAAAGTTAGCTCAACATTGGGTTTAATTATTAGAGAGAAAGAGAAGTATTTAAAATTCATATGACCTTTTCAAGTTCTCAATTTTGGTTAATGGCCAAGCATCATCAAACCTGCGCTTTGATATGGTTTTTTTAAAAATAAAAATAAAGATTAAAGAGAAATCTAACCTGAAGTATTGGTACCCTGGTCCACATCTCAGCCATTATACAGCCAGCTCCCCACATATCCACAGCAGGACCATAGTTCCTCTCTCCTAGTAGTAGTTCAGGCGGACGGTACCACAGGGTTACCACACGGTTAGTGTACCTAAACATAATATATTTCACAACAGGATTACCACACGGTTAGTGTACCTTAACATTATATATTTTACAACAAGGTTACCACACGGGTAGTGTACCTAAACATTATATATTTTACAACAGGATTACCACACGGTTAGTGTACCTAAACATTATATATTTTACAACAGGATTACCACACGGTTAGTGTACCTAAACATTATATATTTTACGACAGGATTACCACACAGTTAGTGTACCTAAACATTATATATTCTACAACAGGATTACCAGACGGTTAGTGTACCTAAACATAATATATTTTACAACAGGATTACCACACGGTTGATTACCTAACTTTATACCATATGTCACATAGGTAATTGTACCTAAACATTAGATCATGAACCAGTTAATGTACATACACATTAATTATGTTCATCAAGGTTACCACACGGTTAAATTTAGCTAAAAATTATATCATGAACCACAAAGGTACCACAATGCAAGTGTACCGTCCTAAACATTAAATAATGTACCACAGTGTTACCACACGGTAAGTGTACTTATTATATCATGTACCACAGGGCTACCATACAGTTTGTATTTGTTGAACAAACCTGTTAGCTTGTCCTTGTTTGTTGATTGATATTGCTCTTGCTAATCCAAAATCTGCCAGTTTTAGTATTCCTTGTCTTGTTATCAAAATATTCGCAGCCTTCATATCCCTGAATTTAACTTATTGAAAACTTACTATATAAATGATTGATATTTGTCAGAAATTAACTTTCATTTAACTGATTAGTCTTTTACAATTTTTCTTTTCTTTTTAGGTTCAGTAAAATCAAAAGTTTAAGTATTCCTCTTTTTGTTTCTCTTTTGTTTGTTTTATTTAATGAATAATTTAATTTTCTAACTTCTTCGCCTGTCTTTCAAATTTTGTTTATTATTTTAATTTTAAAACCTTCTTTTTTCCAATTTTTATCTATTATTATTAACAGTTTTCCTGGTTTTATCTATTTTTATTTATAAATCTGCACTTGTCGTACTTACGTAATTTTTCCCCATATTTTTACCTGTGTATTATTTTGTTATTATGAATAAAGAAAAGACCTTCAAACATCTGCTGCATCACCTTTTTAATGTCTCCTAAAATAGTTTCACAATTTAATTACAAAAAAAATTATGTTAAGAACTTTTTAACTATGGATAAGACATGAATCTGTTAAAGTAATAATCTACTGGAACATTCATTTTATACACGAAGTGTCCTTGTTAGGGGGGGGGGGGAGGGGGGTATCAATCTGAAAGAATACTTTACCTAATGAAAATTTAACGTTTATATTGGAAAGCAGGCCGGCCAAGTCATGTTCAGCAAAATCAAAGACAAGGTAGAATGTCGTCTTATGTCGACTATACTGCCGGCAAATTTCTAAAAAGACGAGTTTCTTTATAAAATGATTCGAGTGTTAGAAAACTAAGTAATCAATGATTATTCTTTAACCTCAACACAAAAAAATGTTTCCGATGAATCTTTTTAAAATATTAGTTTAGTTTAAAATATCTCGTGTTTCCTATAAGATTTACAATGTTCTCATGATTGAGGAGCTGCAATATTCTGATCTCTCTTAGGGCGGTAATGGGGAACCCCTCCTTCTCGTTTTCCATCAGAACCTTCTTGAGAGCAACGATCTTGTTCTTGTCAGTTTTACAACGAGCCTGATTCAAATAAATAGTTTAAAATCCAGAACATCTGCAGAGAACATTTAACTGAGGCCGAATTTAAAGAATTTAAACCGCGTCGGTAAACCGCAAAAAACCGGTTCCAATTGAGCGCCGGCTCAAATCTCAAAACACTGAATACAATTTCAAGTGGAACAAATCATGTTTGAGCCGGCCGCGTCCTCAAATTCTTTAAATTCGGCCTCCTATCCGACTTATTTTCTTAATTTGTCGAAAACTATACAGCAATCTTTTCTCCCATTCACCCATAAAAATTCTTTTAAAAATTCAGTAAGCAATAAACCTTTTCAGAGGGAAAAAAAATTTTACAACAGAAAATCAAAAACTGTAAACGTCTGGATTCCCAGTTTTTACTCCCAACTTACAAAATTATTTCCATACCTTGGAAAATGTTAAGATATCCCCCTCCCTCCAAAAAAAACTAGAAATGTAATATTTTCACATACAATAAAAAAATTGTAACATTAATCATTACCAAGGCAACTAACCTTGAAAACCTCTCCAAAGGTTCCCTGGCCAATTTTGGCAAGTTTTTCATATTTGTCAACCTTAGCGCAGTACGGGAAATCATACTTCTCGATATACCGATCCCGATCCTAAGCAATAATAATAATTTTAAATTTTATCATGATTTTGAAGAAAAAAAGTAAAATACAAATAAAACAAATGTATTGAACTTTATTAACAATTTTGACGGGGAAAGCACTCAACTAGCAATCTTTTTCCCTTTCTGAAACTTTAAACCCATTAAAATATACTAATATTTCATAATACAACTAAATAAGATTAACAAGACTTTTGGGCTAAGAAAATAAAAATTTGTACCCTTGAAAGAGATTTCCCTTTTTCTGACGTATGTACAAATGTATTTAAATAGTAATGTACAAAAATGTATCACTTTTCACACTTACAGCATCCAAAAATAAAAACAAAGGACCAAGTCATAACAATTGTTTAGGTTTAAAGGAAGAGACCGGCTAAACAGTTGAGCTGAAAATGCAGTACTGTAGAAAACTTAAGGATTTATTTGATACCAATGAGACATTTTTTTAATACCATTGAGACATTTTAACGGTGGACAATTTTTTAATAAGAGCATAAAGTCGTTTGTAATATCTCACGAGTTGTTTCAATTAAGAAAAGAAACGTTTTTTTTTTACAATTCTTAAATAATACTGCAATACTGCACTTTCAGTTCAACTACCATGTCTAGCCGGTGTTTCCCTTTAAAAAAAGTTTTAGCGACAAAAATTAAAATAAAGTAAAGTTTGCCTGAGCTGCTTGTTGCATAGTTGCCTGTGAAGGGGGATGTGCTGCCCGCTGCGCCTGCTGGGAACTACTAGGATGACCGGGTCGGGTTGAGTGCTGACCAGACGGGTTTGACCGGCTCATTGAGCCGTGCTGAGCGGAGCTCATGGTTTCTGGAATATAGATGCTGTCAATCTTACACCAGGAATGCTTTAAAAGTGAGAAAATAAATTAAAAAATTTTAAAAGATTATGAGAAAAAAATAATATTACATATTTGAAAATTGATTAGATCAACTAATTAGATATATTAAAAACATAAGATTCGAAAAGTTTTTTAATTTTCAGAGAGAAATTTTATAACTTAAAAGTAGATATAAATATAACGCTCATTGATAAATAGTTCTTAAATAGGACTGAACTACTACCCGGTTTCCCTAAAAAATAAGAATTAAAAATCCACAATTCCAGACTTATGCAACTGAACTAAAATGGTGAATATATTTAACAAAGTACCACTGACAACATTATTTAGAAATAAATCACAGTTTACCAACATTTCAATGGATTTACATACATTTTCATTTTTTAAACTAATAAAATATTCTAAAATTTCTCATCTTCATTGAACAAATTTATCATACTAAGACGTAAAGCAGGATCAATTTTAGGGTCAACACATTCAGGACTTAGATTTTATCAACATCTAGTACAGTCGTCGCTCATAAAGTACAAATCACATTCCAACTTCGTAAAAAAAGATTTTTTGATATCAATAGAACTTACATTATTCTCAACAATCCTCCTTTAAAACTATCTTGTGATGTTTGTGTTTATAAATCTATTGCTTAAAACTAAACTTAATGAATATGAATTTAATCTTCCTAAAAACTAAATAACAAGATTTTGTCAAGAAAAATACAAATATGTCGCTGATAACAAAGGTTTGGCACGAAGCAAAAAAAAACCTTCAAAAATCTGAAAAAAAGGGTAAAAAATTCCAATCATAAATGCTGGGTAAGATTTTTTTTTATGTAAAAGTGAGAAAAAAAGTTGTATTTAAGAACTTTACCCTTAATCTTAATACACAGTTTTGGAATAAAAGACCCGATAGTAATAATGTGTTGTCTCAAAAGAAGAAAATTAAGCCAGAATAAAGTATCTATATTTCTTTTTAGAGTAAAATAAAATCACTCTTTTTGATACCTCACTTAAAAAAGCAATTATCACAGTGGACAAAGAAGTACGATGCTTTTTTGGTCAAAGTTAATATATAAAAATCTTCTTTTTTTGAGAGAGTCTAAATTATTTCCGGATCGTCTTTTTTTTACAGATACAAAGCCTAGATCTTTACTGGTGTTGTAGTTAAAAACAAATCTGCTTTGTGTCATGGTCTCGAGCATGATCGTAAGATCCTCGATCATGATCTTGGATTAGAGTTCAAACCGGATTGAACCGATGTTTTCATCTAAGGTTGGGATGGATTTGTTTATCTCACATAGGCGTGGCTTTCTCGTAAATCAACGTTCTGTAGGTTTCTACAACAAAATGATGATTAAAAAAGACATTGGACAATGCCTTGTTTTTAAAAGACTAGTAGCAAACAAATGACTACGTACCTGTATGTATTCTGTCCATGCTCGTAGTCTAATTGTACATAAAGTTGATTGACACCAACGCCGCGGAAAATCATCTGAGTGTGACTGAAAAAGAAGAATATAGAGTAAATGCGCAAATGATGGCACTATAAGGTGATAAAATATAAACATTTGTTAATTTCATCTGCACCATGGAAAATAGTAGTATCAACCCAATCCCACAACCAAAAAATATTACGATTTCTCAACGAACACAATTTAAAAAATGTTTTTCATACAAGTTTCTTGTCTTCATCCAAGCTACATTTATGCAAGTTAACCCCCTGAACGATTGTCAACAAGATGTTAAAAAAGAAAGTTTTAAAGTAAATTTCTTGAAAGGCACTCGATGGATTTTGACGTGGAATTGGTTTTATTTGATAACTTAATTGTACTTTAAGTTAAAATACCCTACTACAGGGGAAGAACTCTCAAACTCGTGATTTACCCCAGACTTGACACTGAGTGTCAGGTTTGGAACATACGCAAGGTTAGGAACTAGCATCCCTTGTATTGTCAACTCGCTAAAAATAGGAGACTTCACTCGTCCCTCTTATCCCCGAACGAGGATTATGAAATCCGCAAATCAGTAGTTTCGGGTCCTGGAACTAGAGAAAACCTACTCATCTTCCTCTCCTTTTATACACTCTTTATTTATCATGTATTTACATCTAGAAGAAATATATGTACTTCTTAAATACATATATACATACAATTACATCGCCGCTTTATATAATAGTATTAAGAAATTACATTTTTTTGTGAACACCCACTGTGGGATAGGATTCAAATTGAGATGTTTTCTACCCCCCCCCCCCCCCGAAAAAAACAAATACTGAATTAATTTACCTAACAATATATTTAGGATCTGCAGTTGCTGAAACCTCCAGCTTTAACCCACCGCAATAAAAGTTGGTGCACAGTGTCCAGAAGTGAGTTTCCTAAACAATATCATAAATACAAGCTGAATATAAATAACTAGCTGAAGTACTGCCCGGTGTTACCCGTGGAATTTTAAAGATTCCGAAGAATAAAATTTCAACCCATTCGGTCTAGCCGTTCGGCCAGGTATAACTAACTGTAACATACATATATATAAACCAAACATGAGCAAATAGCTTTATTATGTAGATTATCAATTCTGCGATTGTATTCAAGCATCGAAAAAACAGGATCCTAGAAATATTAGAAAGAGGGTTAAAATCTAAAGGGAGGGGTGTGAGAAACTGTTAATTTGACGAGAGCTGCATCTGTGGGGGGTGAGTGAGATTATGTAATAGNGGGTAATATAACGACATGACCGTATAATGTTTTTTTTTCTACTTAAAAAGTGTTTATTTATGACAATTATTATTATTATTATGATTAACGCAGAAACTAATTCAAATTAACAATTTTCAAGGATATATAACGGATATTTCATGCATTCTCAATCTGCTTTTAAGGGTACCGCTGTGGACAGCAAAATGCCTTTTCTTGCTCCTTTAAGGTGACTAACCTGAACACCTTGAACCCCTTCCAGAGACATAACCTTCTGATAGCAGTCCGCTAGTTTGTTGTCAAGCTGTTTAGGAGTTCGTTGCATTAAAATAGATGCCGACTCCGCAACCAGGGATCCGACCTTAATAATATTCAATATTATAATTATTTTTCCATTTTTAAGAAAAAAAACCTAATGGTCAAACAAGCATTCTTATATATTATATACAAATGAAATCCTCAGACCGCTTCAGTCTGGTGAGAGGACCAGTGCCCCCCCCCCCCCGGTCCACGCCCCTGTCAAACGTGGACCAGACTGGTAAAACCGGTGGTTGGCTAACCAACTAAGTATAAACCATGAAAGCTTCTTTAAAACTCTTTATTGGCTAAATTAGAGATTTAATCATTTTCATTCATAATTTAAAACGTCCACGACAGTGTGGACCATAAACAATGAAAGCTGTTTAAATCTAAAAAAAATTCCATCATTGAAGAATTTATCTATGTAGGCTTTATCATCGAAACTATAGAATATGAAATAAATTAAATAATTTAACCCCATAAATGTTCCATTGCCACATTTATTAATTTTGATACGATTATCCATAATATTATCGAACAGAGTTTTTTAAAATTTAGGTTTTTTATCACTTACCGATAGTGCAATCATGACAGCGATGAAGATCGAGCAGATAGGATCTGCGATCATCCAGCCAAACATGTGCATCAGGATCGCCGAAATGATAACGCCCACCGATCCCAGGGTGTCAGCAAGGATATGCAGGAACACTCCCTGTACAAATAAAATTTAAAGGGCCTTTATTAGATGAATAAAATTATTCCATGAATTCAAAGAATGATATATATACTTTGGAGAGAAAAAACTCAGCGGAAGCGGTTTAACGAGCGGTTGAGATCTAGCCTAGACTCTACGCAGTCTAGAATAAGAAATGCACCTTTTTCTCAAATTTGTTCAACCGCTAAATTCTAACTTTTTTCATTCAATTTTTTAACATTTTTAACTTTTTTTGCTGTTAACCGCTGCGCTGGTTAAAGATTTTTCAGCAAATTTCTTGCTTTCAACCGCTGGCTAAAAGATGTTCCAGTAATTTTTATACCTTTAACCAGCCCTAAAGATTTTGACTAGAAAAATTTTGATTTCAACCGCTGGTTTTAAAACCAGTAACTTTTTGCTTTCTGCTTTCAACGAACGTTTAAGATTTTGCTTTCAACCGCCGGGTTTAAGATTTTTTGCAGAAAAATCATTAAAATGTTTCGTGAAAAATGTCCTTAAAAATAACTAAGCTGGTACATAAAAACAGAAGGGATATTTTCAAGAAGGAGGGGGGTGCTGATTTTCGATGGTCCGATGGAAACTTTTTTTTGACATTAACAGTCCCTTTTTTGTTCTTTTTTGTCTCTAAACCTCATTCATATTTACAACGAATCAAAACATTTGTAATAGTATTTTTTATGAATATTAAACATCTCATAATCTGAGTTCGTTTCCCTATTGTCCATTTGACATGCCATTTTTTTTTACTAATCTTTTTTGTTTGTTTATTTTCTTGTGGTTTTTAACAATTTTTTTAAATTTTTTTTATCGATTTTGATTGTTATTATATCGTTAGAACTGACGAGGGTCAACCAAGACCGAAATATAATTTCAATAAATGTTGAACTAACATCTACTTTTTTACTCTACAGAGGTTTGGTCCATCACCATCACAGAATTTTAAATCTTTCCTTAACCACTAGCTTTCCACTAAAAAATATCTAACCTGCATAATCTGACTGTTTCCAACATCTTTTCCACCACTATGGCTATGTCCATGTCCTCCATCATGACTGTGTCCGTGTCCGTGATCGTCTCCACCATGACTATGCCCATGATCTCCTCCTCCTCCGTGACTATGTCCATGACCACCATGCTGAGAAAAAAGGAAAATTAACTTTTACAAAAAAAAATATTTTGGAGAAAATAAATAAATTTTGAGACAAAAACCGCAAAACAACTAAATAAAAGCTTTTCAATGGCATCTAGAATTTCAACTTTATCGAATGATATTTGAAGAGAATAATGAAACAAATAATTAACAGACTATCAAATCGCCATTTGGACATGATTAGTTTTTTTCCAAGGCTGTCAATCCCTCAAAAAGCTTGATGCATCTATATCTTTAAAGTAGTAATCGGTTTGTCTGTCAGATAATAACTCATGAACCCATTAACCAATTTCCCTAAAAATTTTGAATGTGGAACTAGTTGCAACCATGGAATGTTCTTGGCTTGTTTACAAATTCTTAATTGAGTGGGTTAACTATTACAAGAAAAACTTATTTTCCAGGCATAGCTGGGTTTCCAAGCTTTACAGACCTGGAAGACGAAGACTCCGACGAGATTAACAAGAAGGCCGAGGACTGAGACTAGAAGGAGACGTTCATGTTTGACCTCAGGGGGCTCAACAAGCCGCTCAACAGCCTAAAGGTAGAGTAACGTTAAGGAAAGATATCTATAAATATAAAGTTGTAATCTCTGTTTGTTTTATTTGTTTGTCCAATCATAACTTCGGAACCCCTGGACCGCCTTAAATTTTGATTGAAGAACTCGGGAGAGCCACGGGAATGTTCTAAGCTTGGTTTTGAGGTTCTAAGTTGGGAGGATTTACTTTTAACGGGAAAAATAGCTGATAATATTCGTAAGTTAGGTAAAGTAAACCTGAGCTATCCCTAGAAAAGGTACAGGAAATGTCCGATGGACGTTAATTCTTTTAACCAGAGACGCGGCTCCAACATAGTTGGTTCCACTTTAAATTGTATTTAGTATTTCGAGATGGTGCTCAATTGGAACCGGTTTTAGGCGGTTCAGATTCTTCTTTAAATTCGGCCTCAGATCCAATCTAATTTTCTAATTATTCTAACCTCTGAGAAGATGAAGAATGATATGAAGAGGAGGAACAGGCCGTTGATAAACCCTGCCATAGTTTCAGCTCTCACGTAACCGTAACTATACTTGTCATTAGACTTCCACTAAATAATTCAAAATGTAAAAACAAACATTAAAAAATATATTCAATAAAAAAGGTTAGTTTTTGTAGTAATTTTGAAGAAACATATTTTTTATAGATTCATTTCATAAAATCACAATTTCATTCAACTACAGTAATAAACCCATATAAACCAACTTATTGAGGTAAAATTATTTTTGAAGGGGTGGGTGATTTATTTAACGGTTTAGGTCTAAATTATTTTATAAAAATCTGACCTTCGTGATTACAGTTGCAACAAGGCCGGCCAAGAGTCCAGTACAATCAAAGAACATGTGAAAAGAATCACTGATTAATCCTAAAGAAAACTCAATTCTACCAGTGCTATCATAACTAATGATATCCAAAAGAAAACGCAGTTTACACTATTCTTAAAACTTGAAAAAGCGAATATCATTTTAATGGATACTTTAAAAATAAGTAATAGATCCTCCTTAATATGCATAATTTGTTCAACAAATATTTCATTCATCCTCTAAGATCTAATTGGACTGAAAAAAATTATATTTTTCTTAAAAATGGCTTTTTTAAAAGTGCTCGTTTCTTCAAAGGAACAAATATTAATTAAAAAAAACAATTACGGAAGGTTAGGGCCTTCAAAATACTATGAAAATAAGTTTTTTTTAAAGATTTTAACATTTATCCCCGACTAAATTTTTAAGATTTACATAAGGCTGTTAGAGTTTCGACATAACTTGTTTTATTGTTTTTTTTTTTAAAGGAAATAAATACCGAGTAAACAAAAAAAGATTTTTTTTGATAAATGGCATACCATAGTTTACACGATCAAGTAACCCTGAATTATCTTATTGACCTCACCTGACCCTAAGGAAGTTTTATAGACGGTCACTATTAAACTATTGAGATTTAAAAATTAGATTTTTCCACAAACTTTAAAATTAATAAATACAGAAAAATTTCCGACAATGTCAAAATAAACCGTACAGCCATGTTTTGAATCCGAATGCTCGAATCTAATGAATCAACAAAATTGATCAAACATTGCGATCAATCAATGTACATAAATCAAGGAATCCGTAGATTATTAATCCCAATAGTTCTAAAAAATAATTTACCCAGAGAATTGGTCCACACTCCATAGAAGAGTTCTACGAAGGCGAAGGACAGATTGAGAAGAAGGAATCCCAAAAGGTTCCGAGAATTAGGATCTAAAAACAGGTTCCAAAAATTAGTATCTAAAATCAGGTTCCGAGAATTAGGATCTAAAAACAGGTTTCAAAAATTAGGATCTAAAAACAGGTTCCGAGAATTAGGATCTAAAAACAGGTTCCAAAAATTAGGATCTAAAAACAGGTTCCAAAAATTAGGATCTAAAAACAGGTTTCAAAAATTAGGATCTAAAAACAGGTTCAACGAATTAGGATCTTAACAGGTTCCAAGAATTAAGATCTAAAAACAGGTTCCAAGAATTAGAATCTAAAAACATGTTTCGAGAAATAAGATCTAAAAACAGGTGCCGAGAATCAGAATCAAAAAAACAGGTTCCGAGAATTAGGATCAAAAACAGGTTCCGAGATATAGGATCTAAAAACAGGTTCCGAACCTAAAATTAGGATCTTAGGTTCCAAGAATTAGGATCTAAAAATAGGTTCAGAGAATTAGGGATCTAAAAAACATTATTAACCTTCAATTCAAGGTTTATTACTTATCAGTGTCAAACAGATGTTTACGTTGTACAATTATAAATATATTGCCCTTATTATAGTTATCATTTCTTGTTTATAATTTAGACTTTTTCAAATGCTTCGACCTAGTTTACAGTTTACACATAAAACTAAAAAGAAATCCCCCCCACCCCCCAAAAAAAAAAATAAAAAAGGAAAGTTAAAAATCAACTATGTTAAAAAATTGTGCATTTTTTGGAAGAATTTTGAATAAAAGTGATTCAGTAAAAACAATGATTATACCTGATAGAATAATTCTGACCCATCCAATGATTTTATCCTTCAACCTTCCAACAATCCCCTTGTTCTTCAATAGATCGTCATGCCTGAAATTTAAATGTTTTTGATTTTCAGAGGCATTGGCAACATTATTGAGATGTTTAGTTCCGCCTACCTTAAAGGAAGCATGTTGGATTAAATCAATTAGTTAAAGCTTAGTCTAAAAACTATTATTGTTGTTCAGCTGTCATTTTAATCTGAAGTATTCTATATCTAGAAATGCAGTAAAATACTCTGACTTAAAGATATGCCAACCCTAATATATTAATAATATTAATAATATTTATCGTTGAGTGGGTCCGTCCAAAAATCGGGTCTGTCCCATTTAACGATTTTTAGACAACCCCCCCCTTCTATCAATTTTGTACATGACCAAATTAGTATTTATTTAGTATTATTTAGGGTTAGGCTAGGTTAAGACACTTTCTGGGCAGAGCGCTGCGGCTAGGACAGGCTAGGGGGCCGAGCGCTGCGGCCACGGGTTAGGTTAGTTAAGACACTTTCTGGGCGGAGCGCTGCTACTAGGACAGACTAGGGGGCCGAGCGCTGCGGCCACGGGTTAGGTCAAGTTAAGACACTTTCTGTAAGATCCATGTACAAAATTGATAGGAGGGGTTGGGGAGGTGGTCATGAACAAAATTGATAGGAGGGGGGGCACAGGGAGGGGGGTTACAATAATTGTAAACTAGGATGGACTCTAATTTAGATAGGCTTGCTGCATTAAAAAAATAATTCACAATATGTAATAATTCTACATGTTCATCTCAAATTTCACAATTCTAATTTCCTATACAGCTCTTCAGTCTTCACTGAACATGCAGTAAAATATGAAAGTTTAAGCTTTAAAACTTGAAAAGAAAATTGATATAAATTGTAATATTAATCAAAAAATTTAAATAGCTAAACGAAAAGATGTTTAAATTTAGGATGAAAGTTATTATTTAGTATTTACACAAGAGAAAATCTGCCGTATAGTGTGACGTATACATGTGTACACTAAAGTCTACCTGCCTAGCTCTGACAAGGGGTGAAAAATCATATTTGTGAAGATTTTAGAATATTTTATTTCAGAAACGGGGTGTATGAAAATCTATTATTTATATTTGAGAAGATTTTAGGGCTGGATAATTCAGGATATTTATTCAAAAATATGGATACGTCAACGAAGCATAAGCAGGGGGGGGGTGGTCAATTCCTTCCCCCCCATTAATTGAGAAATTAAAGGTTGATAAAGGATTGGTAGGTTAAAAATGAGCTTTTCCCCATCAAAAATGGCATGTTTTCCGCATTTTTTTTGTTTTTGTTCCTAATTCCTGAACAATCTGTTTATTGTTCCTTCGCTGTCCTAATCCTTTATTTTTGTTCCTATAATTCCTGAACAATCTTGTATACTTCCTAATCCCTGTCCGAATTAATCCTATATTTTTGTTCCTAATTCCTGAACAATCTTTTAATTTTTCCTAAATTCCTGTTCTAATCCTTTAATTTTGTTCCTAAAATTTAAAAATTTAGTTTTCTGGTCTTTTAAGTCAAAAAAAATTTTCGCCTGCCGTACGATTTTTTGTTCCTAATTATTGATTTTTTTTGTTCCTAAAAAATCTTGCCCCCCCCCCCCCCCTCACTTAAATCCTGTATCCGCCCCTATGATAGTCACACTATGGTTACACTTTACCAGAGCAGTGTAGATATAGATTGATACGACCTATAGTTGTACCTATGGTTAAATGAATACGAAATTGGCCATAAAGTTACTTGATAACAAAATTATTGCTATTTCAGGAATATGTGAGGCTTAACCCGTTTGTACATTAAGGCCCGTAACCAGGGGGAGAGGGTGCAAAGGGTCAGATGCACCCCCAATTTGTAACAAATATGTCCAAGTATGTATTAAAAAACATTTTTTAAATTTTGCAGACATTGCCTCAGTTTCAATATTTTATTTTCGAGATTTTTAGCTCTACATTTTTCACATAATAAATCTGTAACCGAACCTCGAGAAAATCAATGGGAATATTTTTACTTTTCTTGAGAGCAGCCTATTTTCTTTTTTTTTTCTCGCAAGTAAGATTTGGAGAATTTTGTCTCCAAAATATCTCCAGCTTTATTGGAGATGAAATTCTCGAAATTAATTTCTCTAGGAATTTATCATAAAAAAAGGGGAAACGAGAATACGAAAAATTGGTCCCCAATAATTCTCTAAATTTGGGATTCAACATCGGAGAAATATCAGGAAAATTCTGGGGAATACAGGGTGTCCCACGAAACATGACAATAGCAAGAAGACTTGAAAGTCGTCTTTGATATTTGAATTTATTTGTGAGTGTGACATTTAGTCTTCTATCTACTTTAACATGTATGATTCTTGAAACAATTATCACATAATTCTCCTAGCCCTGGCATTTCTAAAAAGTGGTCTGCGTTTTTTGTGCTTTCAATATTGCCAGAGATATAAAGAGTTTGGTTCAGATTTCAATTTTGTTAAATTAAAGCAAAATTGTCGAAATCTGAACTAAATTGCTCATATCTCGGGCAATATTGAAAGCACAAAAAATGCAGACCACATTTTGGAAATGGCAGGACTAGGGGAATTTTGTGATTATTATCTCTAGAAATTTACTTCTAAAATTAGGTTGACTTATAAATGCAGCAAATTATATAAAAAATCAAGAAGATATTCAAGTCGTCATCCATACGTTGTCATGTTTCGCGGGACACCCTGTAGGTCCTCAGATGGTTCCATGGAAAAAAGTTCTCAACTATGTTTACTGGGAATTCAAATCAGTGAACGCGAGTAGTAATATCATAATTATCAACATTTCCTCTCTTCCCGATTTTGTAAAATTTGAGCTAAAACAAAATTATGACAATTTTTCTTATACCATACAAAACATCAAATTCAGAGAAAATCGAATTTTCACTGTAACATTAAGTTCAAGCTTAAATTACTAGTGTTGTTGAAAACTCAGAAAAGTAGAAAATAACCTACGTAACATAAAATTCAAGCTATAATTAGTATTACTCGTTATTTTACCGATATTCTGAAAAAATTTCGATGCCTCATTTACATACTGTTTCACTTGCTGATCCAGGGTCCAAACTACAACAACCCTTTTTGCACCCCCCTTGGGAAAATCCTGGATACGGGCCTGTTGTACAGGACGTTCTACGTAAAGAAGAAGACTTCAATGGAATTACCTTAAACTTTCCCAAGTATATTTTTCGATTTAAAATTTGGTCTTTTGTCTTATACATAGTTATACCCCTAAAAAAATGAGACAGTACAGACGACCGGGACCTCTTAAAATGTCACGATTCCAAGTTTAAATTATGTAATTTGCCACAGTGTCTATAGTTTATAGTAATGATTTGGAAAGGGCACGTTTGACTGTTTTTTCATTTTCTCACTGAATTATCGTTCAGTAAAAGTGTTTGTTCAGTAAAATCATTTTTTCATGTTATAAAAAACGACAATTTTTAAAAATGTTGTTCCAACAAATTTTACGTTCAGAAAATAAGAAACATTCAAAATTCTATGTTAACAACTGAGTAATCCTGGTTCAATATTTTCTTTCATACTGGTCTAGTTTTGAACCTGGAGAAATGCAGCTTTGGACAGGAGGAGATTGATTATCTAGGCCACAAGATCAGTTCTGCAGGAATTATTCCTCTCCGTAAGCATGTGGACGCTCTTCTCCTCCAGCCCCAACCACAGGATGTCCGTGGTCTCCAACGATTTCTTGGAATGGTTAATTTCTACCGCCGTTTCCTCCCTGGTGTAGCACGAACTCTCCGCCCTCTAACAGATGCTCTAGCTGGTAATCCTCGTACTTTAAACTGGTCTACTGAGATGCAAGCTGCTTTTGAGACAGCAAAATCCGCCCTTGCCTCCGCCGTCTCACTGGTTCATCCTTCTCCCTCCGCCGAGGTGTCTCTGGTTACAGATGCCTCCGCCACACACGTTGGAGCGGTTTTGCAACAGCGAGAAGCAAGAAATTGGCGTCCCCTGTCCTTTTTCTCAGCCAAACTCTCTACCACACAGCAACGCTACTCCGCCTTTGACAGGGAACTGCTAGCAGTATTTTTGGCTCTCCGCCATTATCGTTTCGAGCTGGAAGGGCGGAGGTTTCATGTCCTGACAGATCACCTTCCTCTGGTTTCAGCTCTCTCTCGAGTATCTCCACCGTGGTCAGCTCGTCAACAGCGCCAGTTGGCCTACNGTCACGGAAGTTCGTAGTAAGATTTTGACTCCACTGGAGACCACCGGAGGGAATTCTTTTTCACTGGAGGGGTTTAAAAAAATGCTTTTTACAATTCAAAACTTTACGCAGGGTGATTTGCATTCCACTGGAGGGATTCAAATCACCCTGCGTAAAGTTTTAAATTGTAAAAAGCATTTTTTTAAACCCCTCCAGTGAAAATAAAATCCCTCCGGTGGTCTCCAGTAGAATCGAAATCTTACTACGAACTTCTTTGAGTCGATAAAACATAGTTTAGGAATTCCGCAATCCGCATGTCCATTGTTGCAGTAGTATCCATAAATTCCAGTATATACAACAGCTCTAATTACTACCCCTGAACTTGCCATGACCCATTTTTTAAGACTAAATCTTTTGGGAACAGAATCAGAAAATTTTTTGACAAGGGGAGTAGACAAATCACTGTTAATAATCCTAAATGTATTCATTTTGGTGTTGTCAAACAGCAAATCAGGTTTAGATATCTGTTGTCAAACAGCACATCAGGTTTAGATATCTGTTGTCAAACAGCACACCAGGTTTAGATATCTGTTGTCAAACAGCACATCAGGTTTAGATAACTGTTGTCAAACAGCACATCAGGTTTAGATATCTGTTGTCAAACCGCACATCAGGTTTAGATATCTGTTGAAGAGCTCTTGAGTCATTTTCCCAAACTAATTGAACACTGTGGACACAACTCTCTGACCTCAAGTACAAAAAAGTGAGTAGCATTAGTCACAAGAGTTTGTTGAACATGACGTAATAAATCACAGATCACAAAGTATTGATTACAGATCACAGAGAATAGATTACAGATAACTGAGTATGGGTTAAAGATCCTAGAGTATAGATTACAGATCACAGATTATATATTCTTAAAAAGAAAATAAAAAATTCCTTATTTTCTTTCTTTTTACTTTTTATGACTGACTGAGAAAACGACAAAAGAAAATAACTCAATTATGTTTAAAAATCCAGCTTTCTACAAGTCATTAGCAAATCAACGCTACATGCGATTAACAAAAATCATTATCATTTAACCAAACCTAATAGTTAAGCCTAAGGAAAAACAGAAAGCAAGATCAGCCCGCGTAAAATAAGTGTTCACTATGGTTTATAGGGCTACCCATGGTCAAGTTTTCAAGACAACAGCGCAACACAAAACGTTGGGTAATAGACTTTAAATCACTCTTGAGCATAACAAAATAATAGAAAGACCTTAAAAATAAACTGAAAATAGATCAATTGATATATCGTTTTATTTGTATGCGTGAGCTTGTGTCCACACCCCTTAATCAAAATAAATTTAAAAACAGATCACAGATTAAAGATTATAGATATTACTGTGTAAATTGCAAATAATACAGTATACAGTTTACAGATCACAAAATACAGATTACAGATCACAGAGAATAAATTATAAATCTCAGAGTGTAGATTACAGGTTACAATTACATCATGAAGATTATGGATAAAAGAGTATAAATTGCGAAGCATAAATCACAGATTAAAGAAAACAAATCGCTGAAAAAGATTACAGTCATATTGTACAGATTACAGATTTCATGTGTAAGATAAAACTATATTATACAGATTATAAAAGATTATATTACAGATTCCCAAAAACAAAAGATATAATTTGAAGACAAAAACAAACAATAGAAATGTAAACAGCATCTCGAATTTTAATTATTACAACAATATTAGAATTTTAAGATTAATAAAAGTGGAAACCCCAAAGCTTTCTTCGGTGTTGCTGTTACTAGGTTACTGTAGTAGGACAAGTGTAGTATTGGAACCATTTTATTCATAACTCTTAACAGGTATACACAATACACACATTACACTGTACATACAGTAGACAATACAGGGCTACCCAAAAAGGATGAGACTTCAGAGAAGAAGTATTACATTTTTTTACCTTTTTTATTTCCTGGTTCCTTGTACGGTTACACAATCATTAATATAATTTAAAAGAGATATTTCAAGTAGTTAGCAGTTTTTGCATTTTCTTATTTAAAACGTTTCAAATGTCTTACTTCTCATTCTTTCATTAATACACTGTACAGGATAATACACTGTACAGGATAATACAAAACAAATAAGACTTCAAGACAATTGTGAAAACAATTTTAAAAATAGTTAGATTGTCATATTTTCTTTTATTTAGCTTTATAAATATAATGTCTAAGGAAGAAAAAACGAATTTGACTTCTATAAATCATCTACTTTTTTCTCATGGCTTATGGTAAAAATGCACATACTATGCAGTCTTTTTTGCCTTTTATAGGCTTCCTTTAAAATAAGGGGGACATCTGTGATAATCTAACTTTCTTATTTTCTCGTTTTTTTCCGTTACACTTGTTAAAATGACTATTCATTGTCAGTTTTCATTTCAGTAATCTTCTGATTCACATAACAAATGTTTTAACCTCTAAAGAAAGAGGGGCAGCTTATGATATTTTCCAGGGGGGGGGGATAATTGAATTATCGCGAAATTTAAAAGAAAAAAATCCCCACTTAGAATTTTTTTTCAATCTATTTGAAAAATCAAAATTAAAGGGCTAGAAGGTGGCTGCTCTCTCTTCTTGTGCTACTATAGCCCCCCATTAAGCTGCTTCTGTGAGAAATGAGAATTGTTGTTTAAGATGTAAAAACAAAGGTGAAAACCTTGTCTATGCTCATTTAATCAATAATCATTCATCCATTCATGTTCATTTTAGGTACTCATACTCTTGATCCCTTAGTACAAGATGCGTGAGGTTATCTCAGTACACATTGGGCAGGCTGGAGTTCAGATGGGGAATGCATGCTGGTAAGTAAATGCATGCTGGTAAAATTGCCTATTTAGCCCTTCATAATTCAATCGGAAACTAATAATTCTGTTTTAACAACAAAATTGAAAAAAAATTGCAATGCAGGGGGGCCTGCCCCACCACGTTCGTTACTTGCACTTAGTGGTCCTGGGTCCAAAAGCACACCTCCCAACTGTGCACCCCCTGAAGGAAATTCCTGGCTAGACCACTTGTATAGTTAAACCTTTTAGAAAACAATCCTTGATTACCCAATGATTATGTAAAATTTATGAAAAATATATCTTGTGATGTGTTGTTCAATTTTTCAAATATACACATTTTTAATTAACCCAATAAAGATTATCTTAACATTTTCTTATAAAGGGAGCTGTACTGCCTTGAGCATGGTATCCATCCTGATGGTATGATTCCTGATGATGAACAGAACGGAATCAACGATGAATCCTTCAGCACGTTCTTTAATGAAACCGGATCTGGGAAACATGTTCCAAGAGCTGTTTTCGTAGATTTAGAACCGAATGTTATTGATGAGGTAAATACAAACAAACTGGCGCAAATTTTACACGAAAAAAGATCATACATGTAAGAAAATAATTGCAAGAATATTTGATTCTTGTAAAATTTCAAATAACCCTTAAATTCTTTCAATTTGCCTGCATTATTGTTTTCAATCACAATTCAGGTTCGAACTGGTACCTATAGACAGCTATTTCATCCGGAACAGCTGATTACTGGCAAGGAAGATGCCGCAAACAATTATGCAAGAGGCCATTACACAATAGGTAAGCCTGACTTAAAAACGTGTCTGTAAAAAGATGTATTATTAGTTTTGCATACATTTTATCATTTGTATTTAGAGAGATATAAGTTTTTATGTTATAGGGAAAGAGCAGATTGAAGTAACAATGGATAGAATAAGAAGAATGGCTGACCAAGCAACTGGCCTACAAGGATTTCTTATCTTTCATTCCTTCGGTGGAGGAACGGGTTCTGGGTTTGCTTCTCTGCTCATGGAGCGCCTCTCAGCAGATTATGGAAAAAAGCCAAAGCTTGCATTTTCCATTTATCCTGCTCCTCAGGTTTCCACTGCTATAGTGGAACCTTACAATGCTGTTTTGTACTCCCATACCACCCTGGAGCATATAGACTGTGCATTCTTAGTGGATAACCAGGTAAAAACAAAAACACCTCTGAGACAGAAGTTAACTTTAGAAATCTCATATTATAATCAACTTATAATCCAACTATATCATTTTATAATCAAACTTTAATCAACTTATAATCAAACTATAATCAACTTATAATCAAACTATAATCAACTTATAATCAAACTATAATCAACTTATAATCAAACTATAATCAACTTATAATCAAACTATAGTCAACTTATAATCAAACTATATCAACTTATAATCAAACTATATCAATTCAACTTATAATCAAACTATAATCAACTTATAATCAAACTATAATCAACTTATAATCAAATCATAATCAACTTATAGTAAAATTATAATTAAATTATAATAAATTTGGAGCAAATTATAATAAAATCAAAAAAGTTTTTAAATTGACAAAATTCAATGAAAATTGTTGCACTCCAAAAAAACCTTTTTACATAGGAATGTCGATTTATACTGAATGTGCATATACAGACAATTTATAATTCTATAGAATAGCAACTTTTTAATATGCATTATAATTTATTTTCTTTTCTCCATGAAATATACAGACATATTAAAGTTTGATGACATGTTTAAACAAATCTATATGTGCATTGTACAGTAGCGTTAGTCATTGTTTACAAAAAACTATATCAAACCAAGTAAATGTGAGCATTCACGTAAAATTTTTTGATCTGAAGTGATCCATGTTAATACATTATCTATGAAACGGAAGTTTCCTTACAAAGTTAAAATAAAATCTTCACAATACGCCAATATGGGGTTTAGAATGTTATTGGATTGTTTTTGCTAAATATGGGCTATAAATTGCTTCTTTTTCTTATAAATATTCTTAGATTAATTTATGGAGCCAGAAAATTGTTTTTAATTTTTTTACTCGGACAAACATATCAATCTTAAAATTAGTAATTCATGCATTTGTATTTATTTTTAGGCTATTTACGATATTTGTCGAGATAATCTTGGTATAGAGCGTCCAACCTACACCAACCTTAACCGTATAATTGCACAGGAATTCAAACCTTTATTTAGACCATTGGTAATCCCAGAACAGTGAATATAACTTTTATAATCAATATTTTAGGAAAGTTGGAACCGCCCCCAACCCCCTCCCCCCAACCTTAATGTTCTTTGTATGTATGTATGTATTATTAATCAAATTGAGAAAGCCATAGTATTCGTAGTATGACAACAATCTATAATTTTTAGGTTTTGTAAACTTTATTATGTACAGTTTTTATTTCAAATTATGAAAATCATTATGCAATGGCAATCCCTTGTTATACATCCTACTGATCATACCGCCAAAGTTCTATACAGATGTAACCAGAAAACAGGATTTTAGAAGCTGTAATAATTTTTTTTAATAAAATGTGCCCTGAGTTCAGAGCTTTTGTGTGGATATTACTTAAATTGAACGCTTGATCTCAATATCCAATGTTAGCCCTTATTAATTTGAGGATCAATCCCTTAATCCCTCAATTTTAAGTGATCCCTGCATTGTTAATAATTAAGAAATAAAAAAAAATTAGAAAAATCCGAATTTTTACATTCTTTTCTAAAATTATTAATAATGAAGGTTGAATGATTGATTAGATTATCTCCTCAATAACAGCATCTCTGAGGTTTGATGGAGCCTTGAACGTTGATCTAAATGAATTTCAGACCAACTTAGTTCCCTATCCTAGGTAAACCTTTCAGACCAACTTGGTTCCATATCCTAGGTAAACTTTTCAGACCAACTTGGTTCCATATCCTAGGTAAACTTTTCAGACCAACTTGGTTCCATATCCTAGGTAAACTTTTCAGACGAACTTGGTTCCATATCCTAGGTAAACTTTTCAGCCCAACTTGGTTCCATATTCTAGGTAACCTTTTCAGACCAGCTTGGTTCCATATTCTAGGTAACCTTTTCAGACCAGCTTGGTTCCATATCCTAGGTAACCTTTTCAGACCAGCTTGGTTCCATATTCTAGGTAACCTTTTCAGACCAACTTAGTTCCATATTCTAGGTAACCTTTTCAGACGAACTTGGTTCCATATCCTAGGTAAACTTTTCAGACCAACTTGGTTCCATATCCTAGGTAACCTTTTCAGACGAACTTGGTTCCATATCCTAGGTAAACTTTTCAGACCAACTTAGTTACATATCTTAGGTAAACTTTTCAAACCAACTTGGTTCCATATCCTAGGTAAACTTTTCAGACCAACTTGGTTCCATATCCTAGGTAAACTTTTCAGACCAACTTAGTTACATATCTTAGGTTAACTTTTCAAACCAACTAGGTTCCATATCCTAGGTAAACTTTTCAGACCAACTTATTTCCATATCCTAGGTTAACTTTTCAAACCAACTAGGTTCCATATCCTAGGTAAACTTTTCAGACCAACTTAGTTCTATATCCTAGGTTAACTTTTCAAACCAACTAGGTTCCATTTCCTAGGTAAACATTTCAGAGCAACTTTGTTCCATATCCTAGGTAAACTTTTTTGCTCTTTCTGATAAAAACTAAAAACTCTAAATCCAAATTAGATAATTTAATAAAGGAATGTGTTTGAAATGAAATCCGACCTTGCACAAAAATTGAATATTACTACTCTAAACCCTGCAATCTGGCTCTAAACCTTTCAATCTGACTCTAAACCTTTCAATCCAGCTCTAAACCTTTCAATCCATCTCCAAACCTTTTAATCCGGCTTTAGATCTTTCAAACCGGCTCTGAACCTTTCAAACCGGCTCTACCCTTCAATATGGCTCTTAACCCTGCAAATATCGCTCGTATCGCTGCAATTTAGCTACAAGCAGTGCAATCCTGGTCAAAACCCTGTAAACCGTCAGAAACCCGACTAAAAACACTGTATCTGAAGCAGGATTGCAAGGTTTGAAGCAAGATTAAAAGATTTTTAAAAACTTGCTCCAAAGTTTGTAATCCTGCTCTATAACCTGCAATCACAGCCTCTAAAACCTGAAATCCAGCCAGATACGTTGAGTCACCAAACCCTGCATTTTTGCCCCCAACCCTGCAATCTTGCAACAATCTGGAAAAAAAATTAAATTTGGTCTCATGAGGGATCACTATCCCCTAGCCACCTATATGCTCCAATGGCAAATAACTAAATCTTTTTAGGATTCACTATCCCCTGGCCACATATGCTCCAATGGCATCTGCAGAAAAAGCCTACCACGAAACATTAGCCGTAGACCAAATTACAAAGGTTAAAAAATATTTAGTATATGAAGCTGTGCAATTCTATAATATCTATAAGAAGTGGTATTCATAACAATTGTAATAGTTTATGGTCTGATAAACATATTTTAAATTAAATTTTGAGTATGTTTTTTAGTTTTTGTCAACTTTTGCAGGATGTATCAGAAATGATTTTAAAATTGAGTTCTTTTAGTCAGGAATCGATAATTTTTATGGTATTCCTTCGGGAAAATACGTTTTTAATGCTCCATATATAATATAACCAATCGTTATCAATTATTAAGCAGTGTTTAATGGTTCAGTCATAAATTATAATCTTTAATGGTAAAAAATTGGTAATATAACGTAGAATAAGAGAAACATGATCTTTCTAGGTTGACATTTTTGAACTCCATGGAGCTTATACCTTTATATATTTTACGGTTTAGGTCTGTTTTGAACCCAAAAACCAGATGGTGAAATGTGACCCAAGAAAAGGTAAATATATATATATATATATAAAATATACGTTATTACATATTTAAAAACAAACCCGGGAGGCGAGGACGTTTTAGAACAAATTTGTCATAAAACAATCCTTAATTCTCTGATTTGGAATTCACAGATTCCTCAATAATTAAGTGAAATATGGAAATACCGAAATCTTTTCCAAATTCACGGAATCCACTGAAGTAAACCATGTTTTCAATAATTTTATTGAAGAGCTTTTGAGAGAAACAAAAATGATTTTAATTTGTGCAACAGGATAAAATTGTTTTTCTTATACTTGAGCGCAAAATCAAAACTCAAGGAGCTACGAGGTCACAAAGTTGGACCAGCAATGTCGAATACATTTGAACTTCGAAAAAAACGTTCGTAATTCCGAAATTTTAGGTTTTATTCTAACTGTTCAGTGGCTTGATTTGGAGTATTCATCTGTTTCTATAAAACCATCAAAGAGTTTTACACAGGGAGTACGGAATAGAAGGGAGATATAACTAACGCGGTTCGCCCTGCCATATTATTATACATGCTTTGAAGACCGTACTCCATTTATAAAAGAAATATTTGTCTGATGTACAATTACAGCGTATACAATAACCTATTTTGAATATTTTTATACAAATGGAGTACTCGTCTGCAAAGCACGCATAATCATATGGTAGGGCGAACCGCGTCAGTTATATCTCCCTTCTATTCCTTACTTCTGGTTTCACACTCAATTCACAGTTAAGTTTAAGTACAGGGTGTCCCAAAAAACATGGGAATTCAGTGACGAATTCGATATCGTCTTTGTTATGAATTAGCATTGTAATACCTAATTTCAAAAGCCATAATATCATTATGTCTGTTAGAGTTTATTTTATGAAAAGGATAAAAGACTGTAAAGGTGTGTCTATAATGTCTCCGCAAGATGAACAGTGAAGACGGACAAGTTTACTCTGTTTGTGTACTGTAATTTTCTTGTTTTACTAAGTACAACCGTATGCAGCCAAAACATAAACAAACAAATTCCAAACATAGCAGACGAAAATCTTACAGAGTACAGCTTTCTCTGTAGGTATCACTATACGAAATCAAAGAATTATTTGAAAAGACGATATCGAATTCGTCACTGAATTCCCATGTTTATTGGGACACCCTGTAGTTACCTGAGCTCACTTCCCATTTTATATCTGGATAGAGATTCTGTAGATGGGTTTCATAACTGTCCACATGACTAGGGTCTATACAAATATATATACATGAGCGAAAGCTTTTTCATTTAGATAAATAAAGCGTTATTTTTGATGTTGCACAATGTTGTAGATACAGTGTACAGCGTACAGTGTACACAAACAACATAATATCTTCTTTTACAGGAAAGTACATGGCCGTCTGTTTGTTGTACAGAGGGGATGTTGTACCAAAGGAGAGTTACGCGCACTTTTTTGTCAAGAATATTCATTTTTTAGAGGAAACATCTTTAAATTGAAATGATAATTTAACATTTAAAAATTACACATCATTTAAAAAAAATTAAAATTCCATATTTTGATATTTTTTGTAATTAAATTAAAATTTTTAAGAAGCATTTTAAACATTTTTTTTGTTCTGATTTGATTTTAAAACTTTTTTTCAATGAATTAGAGTTACAATTTTTCTTTGTGATTTTCTTTTTTTTATATTTAATGGGGTTTTCATGCATTAGTAGCCTTTTTCTTTTTCCAGGTGAAAATAAAAGTAATTGTTTTCTTAAAATTTGAACTTAACATTAGTGAGGTTTCAAAAAAGGCCATAACTCTGAATTAGGATGTAAATGATGCGATTGCTTCAGTAAAAACTCAAAAATCTATTCAGTTCGTGGACTGGTGCCCAACCGGGTTCAAGGTTGTTCTGCAATATACATGTGTACTTTTATGATAATAATAATAATAATGTTAATAATGATAATAATAATAATAATAATAGTAAAAATAATAATAATAATAATAATAATAATAATAATAATAATAATNTTACCTACTCAGTCTCTCCCTATTAGTTTTGTCGGACACAAAAACTGAATTGACACTTGTGACGTAAGAATACAGCTGTTCTGAGAGTGTTCATATTCTAAGTTGCTATCTATCTATTTGCTTACAACAGCAATTAGAATCTTTGAATTAAAGAATGTTTTTTTTTTGTTGTCGTTCATATTTTTATACAGGGCGAGCCAGTCCCCACACCATTTTGTTGTCTTTTTATAGAACAATCAATAATTTATGGAAGTATAAGATTTGGGGAAGTTTACGACTAGGAATCGTTAACGAACAGTATCTTTAAAAAAGTAAGGAAAATACCGTTTGTTTAGTTTTTACCTAAGAACGAACGACTACCTGAAAAGTTGCTCCGTACTTAGTTTAACAGTTTAACTAACCGTTAAGGAACGGCAAGAAAAAAGTCTGTACGTGCCCAGCCCTACCTACAATGTGGATAATTCTAATGTGTAGATACGTATAATGATTTCAAACTGTATTGTAGTTTTGTGGAAAGCTATGAATGTGCAAATACCATTCCAATGAAATTAAATTAAATACTTGCAAATTATGAATCATAATTACAAGTAATGTAGATATGAATATTCAATTACAACCTAATATTTTGTAATAAAGAATTCAGTTTTATACTTTTAGGTTGGAATTAATTACCAGCCTCCTACGGTTGTTCCCGGGGGGGATCTTGCTAAGGTAAAAAAATACATTAAATATTAAATTATTAAAACATCTGGTAACTCGACTCAATCATAAACTATTCATTTTTACCAAACATAATCACATTGCATATTGTTAATTGTTAAGAACAAAAGTAAGATGAATAATTCAAGTTAAAAATGTATGGTTCTTGTTGAAAATGTATGGTTCTAGTTAAAAATGTATGGTTCTAGTTAAAAATGTATGTCTGGTTGAAAATATATGGTTTTAGTTGAAAATATAAGGTTCTAGTTGAAAATGTATGGTTCTAGATAAAATGTATGGTTCTAGTTGAAAAATATTGAGTTCTGGTTGAAAATGTATGGTTCTGGTTGAAAATTTATGGTTCTAGTTGAAAATGTATGGTTTAGTTTAAAATGGTTCTAGTTAAAAATGTATGGTTCTAGTTAAAAATGTATGATTCTAGATAAAATGTATGGTTCTAGTTGAAAATGTATGGTTCTAGTTAAAATGTATGGTTCTAGTTGAAAAATATTGAGTTCTGGTTGAAAATTTATGGTTCTGGTTGAAAATTTATGGTTCTAGTTGAAAATGTATGGTTATAGTTGAAAATGTATAGTTCTAGTTGAAAATGTACGGGTCCTGGTTAAAAATGTATGGTTCTAGTTGAAAATGTATGGTTCTTGTTAAAAATGTATGGTTCTAGTTAAAAATGTATGATTCTAGATAAAATGTATGGTTCTAGTTGAAAAATATTGAGTTCTGGTTGAAAATTTATGGTACTGGTTGAAAATTTATGGTTCTAGTTGAAAATGTATGGTTCTAGTTAAAAATGTATGATTCTAGATAAAATGTATGGTTCTAGTTGAAAAATATTGAGTTCTGGTTGAAAATGTATGGTTCTGGTTGAAAATTTATGGTTCTAGTTAAAAATGTATGGTTTTAGTAAAAAATGTACAGTTCTAGTTGAAAATGTATGGTTATAGTTGAAAATGTATAGTTCTAGTTGAAAATGTATGGGTCCTGGTTGAAAATGGAAAGTTCTAGTTGAAAATGTATGGTTCTACTTGAAAATGTATGGTTCTACTTGAAAATGTATGGTTCTGGCTGAAAATGTATAGTTCTAGTTGAAAATGTATGGTTCTGGTTGAAAATATATGGTTTTAGTTGAAAATATAAGGTTCTAGTAAAAAATGTATGGTTCTAGTGGAAAATGTATGGTTCTAGTAGAAAAATATTGAGTTCTGGTTGACAATGTATGGTTCAAGTTGAAAATATTTGGTTCTAGTTGAAAATGTATGGTTTTAGTTTAAAATGTTTAGTTCTAGTAAAAAATGTATGGTTATAGTTGAAACTAAATGGTTCTAGTTTGAAATGTATGGTTCTAGTTGAAAATTGATGGTTCTAGTTTAAATTGTATGGTTCGAGATGAAAATTTCGAATTTATTTTAACCTTTTTAATAAATGAGCGAAGAGATTTATTTTAAAGATATTTTTAATTTTAGGTTCAACGTGCAGTATGTTGTTTATCTAATACAACAGCAATAATGGAAGCTTGGGCTCGTTTAGATCATAAGTTTGATCTTATGTACGCTAAGAGAGCTTTTGTTTTTTGGTAAGTGATCATATGTACGCTAAGAGAACTTTTAAAATAAGTGATCTTATGTAAGCTAAGAGAGTTTTTGTTCATTGGTAAGTAATATAATTTACGCTAAGAATGCTTTTGTTCATTGGTAAGTGATATTATGTACACTAAGAGATCTTTTGTTCATTGATTAGTGATCTTATGTACGCTAAGAGATTTTTTGTTCATTGGTAAGTGATATTATGTACGCTAAGAGAGAACATATATGTTAATTAAAAATTCATATATTGATTATCAATAAATAAAATTTTTCTGAAAAGACAGAGTAAATCTGCCATGTTATCAATGTACATTGTAGGTACAAGTAGAAAAAAGGTTCATAAAAATGATTTACTTTAGCTTAACGTGAATATTGCATATTTCTAAAAGCTGGGATATAAACTGATTTCTTACCTCCATTCACCTGGTTGTGTAAAGGTATGTTGGTGAGGGTATGGAGGAGGGAGAGTTCTCAGAGGCTCGTGAGGATCTAGCTGCTCTAGAGCTGGACTATCAGGTTAATAAGAGATTTATCAGAATCACCATCTTTAGCTAACAAAAGTTTGTTAGCTTACCCCCAGTTTAAAAAAGAATTCCCGTTCACAACGGTACAGTTTCGACCTTAATCTTGAGAAGACGACATTTAGTGTTCTATCTGTATTATTAATGAATCTATGGGTTTGGCATAGAAAGTTAACGGCCTTCACCGTTTACGGAACGTCGCCAAGGCCTATTTCAAAATTACGACAGAGAAACCCCGACGCGGTTTGAATATCTTCCAATTATTACAAAATTTAAAAAGATCGTTTTTGAGGAATTCAATTTTATCATTTTTACTTTCAGGAGGTTGGTACAGAGAACTATTCAGAGGAAGAATATGAGGAATGATGAAAAATAGAAATATTTTGTGAAACTAAATGTGATTTTATTTAAACAATCTTAATCATTAAAAATATTTGTTGAGCATGAGAAACAGTTTCAAATCAAAAGTGTGTTATTTATGAAATATATGATAAGATTTAGCGCTTATAGTGTTTAAAATGTTTAAAATGAAGATGGATTAGATTAAAACTATTAATTTCATCTTTCGGGTGGATTGTTGTTGTTGATGTTTTTATTGTTATTTTTGTTGCTATTATTGTTGTGGTTGTTGTTGTTGTTGTTGATATTGTTATTGTTGTTGTTACTGTTATTGTGATGTTGTTGTTGAATTTATTATTATTGTTATTTTTCTGGTTGTTGTTGTTGGGTTTCTTATTGTTGTTTTTACTCTGGTTGTTGTTGTTGTTGCTGTCGTTAATGTTGTTGTTTGGATTCTTATTATTGTTCTTATTCTGGTTGTTGTTGTTCCTGTTGTTATATTGGGTTTCTTATTATTCTTATTTTTCTGGTTGTTGTTGTTGCTGTCGTTAATGTTGTTGTTGGGTTTCTTATTATTAAGTTTTTATTCTGATTGTTGTTGTTATTGTTAGTGTTGGTGGTTTATAATTTTGTACTCCGTCCCTTTGATGACCTGACTGAGATCAAGGATGAAAGTAAAAGTGATGAATAAATAAAGATCCCGCTGCTTCAATCCCTGGATCGATGATGGAAGAATGGATTGTCCCAAATCCCAGGGTACTGCAGCAGCTAGGCCACAGATACAGACAGAACACAGAATATGGTTTATATCTATCTTATCATCTATTTTTTCTATAAAAAAATGTTAATAAAAAAGGTTATTAGGTGAATAAGAATAATTATAGATTTTAAGAAAAGATTTGTCCTATGGCATTTTAAAGTTTGTATAAAAAACAAAAAAATAGAAAATAAAATGATTCAAGATGGTTTAACTAAGGGTTAAAATAGAGGATCTTTCATATTAATTGTAAACCGTAGATAAAGTACACTCAAGGGTGTTCTTTATTTTTTAAATTAAAATAATAACGAAATATAGAAAATAAGAAATTAAGAAGTATACATGTTCTATTATATATATAAAGTAGTAATCTCTGTTTGATGTTTGATGTCTGATCATAACTAAGGAATTTCTTGACCGATTTACTTCAAATTTTGATTGGGAAACTCAGAAGAACTAAAATAAAATTTTTAGCTTTGTTTTGAAATTCTAATTTGAGTGGGTCGACTTTTAAAGAGAAAAATAGCTAAAATCGTATTTACGATAAAGCACAGGTAAACGGCGGGAGTAACTATGAGTAATCTGAGGAACGCTGGTAACCAAAGCTTGTAATATATATAAAGTAGTAATCTCCGTTTTTATGTCTGGCTGTTTATATTTCGGTCATACTCTTGATCGATTTGCCTTAAAATTTGATTGTGTAACTCGGCAGAAAAATGGGAATTTTCTTAGCTTGGTTCAGAAAATCTTAGTTCAGTGAAAATATAATTTCTTTCAGGGCTTACTTAATTTTGCATTATCTTAATGATCAGGGTCAGCTCAAACATTTTCTAAAAAAATTTTCTGCATGAAAATCTAAAAATTATCATGAAGTTTGAACAAATAAATAGATTTACCATGAAGTTTGAACAAATAAATAGATTCATCATAAAGTTTGAACAAATAAATAGATTTACCATTAAGTTTGAACAAATAAATAGATTCATCATAAAGTTTAAACAAATAAATAGATTTATCATGAAGTTTGAACAAATAAATAGATTTATCATGAAATTTGCACAAATAAATAGATTTATCATGAAGTTTGAAATAAATAGATTTATCATGAAGTTTGAACAAATAAATAGATTTATTATGAAGTTTGAACAAATAAATAGATTTATCATGAAGTTTGAAAAAATAAATAGATTTATCATGAAGTTTGCACAAATAAATAGATTTATCATGAAGTTTGCACAAATAAATAGATTTATCGAAGTTTGAACAAATAAATAGATTTATCATGAAGTTTGCAAATAAATAGATTTATCATTAAGTTTGCGCAAACAGTTTATCAAGTGGTCTGAAAAGCGGTTGAATTTAAAAGATATAAGGTTCTGGGGTTTAATTTCTTTACATTAAATTCCAGTCCTTGAAAATACAGTTGATGTAGTCAATAGTAAAAGTACAGGTTTAGGTAAAAGTTCACACATACGCGAAAGAGAAAGATAGAGTAAACGAAAATGAAAACAAACTTTTTCTTATGTANACAGATACAGATACAGATACAAGTATAATTACAGATACAGATACAAATACAGATACAGATACAGATACAGATACATGTATAATTACAGATACAGATACAAATATAGATACAGACTTCACAAAAAATCTTTCTTAAATATTTTCATTATACATTTATTTACTTTAATAAAAGGTTTAGCTGTTGTGTCCAAAATTACAGCTCTGTAAAAAGAAGTTAAACTTTAAGTAAACATGAAACATAAAACTATAAATTGTATAAATTATAGAACTTTGCCAGTTTAAACTTTGTCAACGTTTAGGTACTCATACTCTTGATCCCTTAGTACAAGATGCGTGAGGTTATCTCAGTACACATTGGGCAGGCTGGAGTTCAGATGGGGAATGCATGCTGGTAAGTGAATGCATTCTGGTAAGTGAATGCATGCTTACATGTATACAGGTTATCAGTTTTTTCGTTCATTTAATAGAAAGTTTAAAACAATTTGTTTTCTTGTAGTTTTTGTATAACGCTGGTCACGTAAAATATTCCTTTATTCTAATTTTCAACTAGACGATTGTGTGGTCAAATTATTAGCTGTTTTTAAATAAGGCTCATTTTTGTTTGAAATGCTAATACTAGTAATTTGTAATTTCGTTTTACTCTCAAAAGTAATTCTAAAGTTTCAGTTTGTAATCGCTTTATTCTTGTGTAGGGAGCTGTACTGTCTTGAGCATGGTATCCATCCTGATGGTATGATTCCTGATGATGACCAAAACGGAATCAACGATGACTCCTTCAGCACGTTCTTTAATGAAACAGGATCTGGGAAACATGTCCCAAGAGCTGTTTTTGTAGATCTAGAACCAACAGTTATTGATGAGGTAACACATAATTAGAAGACACAAGACACCATTTTAGTGTCTTGTCCTAGATAGATCATAAAATTGTGTTTACGCTTACGCCTTACACTTGTATTACTGCCCTTGCTTATAATAAGCATATCACGTGGATTTAACAGTTCTTTCAATATTCCAGAAAGCTGTGACTTTCGATCACAATTTTGCTATTAAACATATTCTTTTAGCTTTTTCATTAAATACTTTTTTGTCGGCAAATATATGTTGAATGAAAAGTCTAAAACAAACAAAACCGTAAATTTAAAGATTTTTTGATTATAGACCAAAGCGCATAAGTTTAAATAGAGGAAACCGAATCCCTCTAACTCTGGTTAGTCCAGGGTGATATGCATAAATCAAATGCTATTTAGGTTTATTCGGCGATGAGCATGCATAAAACAGAAACAAGATACCATTTAGTGTCTTGTCAGATAGATCATAAACAAATTTTGTTTACGCTAACACTTGTATTAGTGCCCTTTCTTTGTATGCATAAACCACGAAGAGTTTATTCAGCGCTTGCTATACAATATGAAAACAGACACAAGACACCATTTTAGTGTCTTGTCAGATGGATCAAAAAAAAAATTTGTTTATGCTAACACTTGTATTAGTGCCCTTTCTTGTATGCATAAACCACGAAGAGTTTATTCAGCGCTTGCTATACAATATGAAAACAGACACAAGACACCATTTTAGTGTCTTGTTAGATGGATCATAAAAAAATTTTGTTTACGCTTACACTTGTATTACTTCACTTGTTTATAATAAGCATATAAATCACATGCTATATAGGTTTATTCGACGCTTGCTCATACAGTATGCATAAAGAACACTCAAGACACCATTTAAGTGTCTTGTCAGGTGCGCAAATGCCCAAACTGTCCAGAATCTGACATGTAGTGTTACAATTATTTAACAACCCGGTCGGTAAACGTAATAATGATACTTCTTGTTGAGAAAGATTGAGAAAAAAATTTAACTGTTATTATTATAAAATAAGTAATTTCATTCAGTTAGCGGTTAATTTCTGTAATGTTTGATTCTTCTCAAACGTTTCCTGTACATTTCCTTCAATTTACTTGCAAAATTATTTAATTTCTCAATAATTATACACGGTAAAAAAGTTTTATTGGTATCAAAATCCTAAAAAAAATCTCTTTACTACTATGGGTTCTGTTTAACTCACGGGCAGCCGTAGTAAAGGAATTGAGTCTTTGGAACAAAATCAAATATTTAAACCTCAATATCTTTGGAACTGGATGTTGTAAACCTTTGATATTTCAAACTCAGATTATTTGATTTAACAGAATTCATAGTTTGAAATATCTAAGGTCTGCAACATTTGGTTCCAAAGATATAGTGATTAAAAAATCAGAGTTTGTGACGAAGACTCAATTCCTTTGCATTTCCAAGCCGGGTCAAACTTTTCGGTTCCAGTTTGTACTGTTTCACCCATACATTAGGTAAATAAAGCAGACACTCAATAGGACTTTAGCTGGTGCAACAAGGTTGACGCGGTCAGACATTTAAAGGTTGAATTTACTTTTTCTAAAGGGTCAGAGGTGCGTGAACTGCGTTACCTACTCAGTCTCTCCCTATTAGTTTATCATAAAGTATTTTTCTTTAGTGTTGCTTGGCATAAAACAATAAATTATTTATTCAGAAATCGATATTTGTTAAATGCCAAAGTATTGGCTGAACGTTTATAATTTCAAAACAAAACAATTTATTGGATAATCAGGTAATTAAATAATGCTATATTAATATCATGCTATTTAATATTATTTTTAGGTGAAAGTAAAAATATTTTTATTTAAATCTATATGAGATAATGAGTTGCCGAGGCATAAGAGTGATGTTTTAACTATCAAGTATTTGCACAATAGAGTTGGCACATCAAAACTTTTTCGTTTAATCAAGCATTTAGTGCAAGGGCGTAA